CCACCGACCTGCTTACGCCAAGACCCTCACGGCAGTAGCGAACCACGGGGCGGATGAGTTTTACTGCAAAGATAGATGGATCGCCCGAGCGAGTGTCAAGGCTGCCCGACATAGCTACTTGCAACCAGGTATTATTACCCTTGAAGACTGGGAAGGTGAGTCAGATCCATACGTTTAAACTTGATTTATTCTGAATCGACTATTTGTGAAGGATATAAGGTTGAGATTCGAGAACCGGCCAGTATCCACTATAAGGGCCTTAAGCTTACCTCAACTGTGGCACCCTCGTCAGGGACTGTCGTTCTTGGCGCGTTGAACATTTTGAGCGGATATGATCTGAGCTACACAACGGATCCCACCACGGGACTGGTAGTGGATTCAAACTTGACGGCACACAAACTAGTAGAGAGTTTCAAGGTAGGCATCATTTCCTTGACTCACCGTCTTCAAACTGATAGTGTCCCCTCCAGTTTGCATACGGACAAAGAACAGTACTCGGTGACCCAAAGTTTGTAAAGAACGTGACCAAACTGGAGCTAGAGTTCATGGAGCCTCAAATGGGAGCGAAGATTAGGGCCGTGATGCCAAGCAATTCAACCGGGCCACCATCGGTGTGTTTGCCTTCTTCCCTCAAAGCTTGAATTGAGCATCGAGTGATGATAAAAACCACAGCTGTATGATCCAACCGGCTTCGAAATCAAGCAGACGCCAGGCACGAGTCAAATCGTTGCCGCCGATGAGAGTGGACTCGTTATCAGGCATGTACTCACCACTTCACCATACTGCCCATATGCTAAGCAACATGGATCGCATGCTTCCGGGAACAGTTTGACAACTACTGTCAACCTATATTTCGGCTCACATATCATGGTTCACGAAACGGGCGTGATTTTGAACGATGAAATGGTGCGCCGTACTTGGCCAAATCACTCGTTTTGTGCGCCATAGTAACGACCTATGATTCATCCTCAGGACGACTTTTCTTCACCTGTAAGTATATACCCACCACCTCTCCTAGTTGATCCACCATATTTACGCAAACCGTATAGGACTCATCGAATGCGTTCGGATATGTCGCTACACCCGCAAATTATATTCAACCCGGCAAACGCCCCCTTTCTTCTATCAGTCCAGTTATTGCGGAAGATGAACATGGTCGCTTTGTCTTTGCCAATGGGGCAGCGGGCGGCTCAAGGATCATCACCGCTAGCATTCAAACTCTGCGTCACTACTTAGATCACAACTATACAGCTCGTAAGCAATTCTTTCAATTCCTCAGTTTACCATGTTTATATATCTTGTCTATGCACAGAGCAAGCTGTTAATGCCCCGCGAGTACATGATCAAATTTTTCCACAAGTCACCACTGTCGAGTACACATCTGTTTCACAGAACGTTACGGGCTACAATAATGCCACCGTTGCATCCCTTGCTAGCCTCGGCCATAATATTAGCTGGGTAGCCCCTGGAGTGAGTGTCGCAGCCGTGATTGGACACAGAGATGGGGTGTTCGATCCCGCCGCTGATCCCAGGGTACCGAATTCTGGTCATGTCGTTATTCAATGCTGATGAGTGGCGGGGTGAATGAGGTGAAGGATGCGGTGTCAAAATTCATTCCCCGTTATAGACATCTATCGAGTAACATTGGAATATAATACGTATATCCTTCCTGTTCCTTTTTGCTAACGCGGAGCGGATCGTTGCCATCCCTTCACATTCGAGCAAGGCATATTTTGTGCAACGACTTCATGCCTGTCAGCTAGCTATTACGTTCAGATCAGCTGTGTATGTATCTTCTGTAAATTTGGACTCAGCAAGAATACAACGGGTCTTGTCTTCATGCAGAGGTGGCTCAAAAGGAGATGTAGCGTGACGACAGCCCCGACTTGCACTGAGACTTCGCACAGAGAAGACAGTGTACAACCAGAAGGAGATGTGAAAGCAAGAAACTCACAAATCACGGGAACACCCATAAATGTCGCAAATAAACGGGCTCCCCATAAAGCCCGGCCCTTCACCTACTGCAAGACCGAAAAATTCACAACACAGATCCAAATGAAGGGACAAGTAACTCAAGAAGTGCCTGGACTAGGAAACAAGGCAGCAAAGAGCAGCAGGTTAAGTGCAGCAAACGAAGAGGATAAAGGCATATGAGCCATGGTCTGCGGATACTGTACAAGTCTTATTTAATCTCGTTCCTCCATTAAATCACGAATAACCGATGCGCAGCCATCTTAATTTGAGCAGCCTTACTGTATGTTTCACGATCACCTGCCGTTGTGCCCACAGAATAGGGTGCACGGGTGAAGTGCTCCTGCAACAGGGTACGTTAGAGGGGTTGGCCATCGAAGTCCCTGTGCGTGTGGCAAGGCAGAGTCAGCCATCCCAACCTCTGCCGAGATCGCAGCCCAGTTGGACGGTTTGGGGCCTGGGGAATTGAGATAAGAATGACGCCTGCACTTTGTCTCCACACCAGCTCTTCGTGGGAATGACCACAGACCAGTCGCAGAGCAGCTTCGAGAAAACAACACCATAAATATGAGTAAAACGAGTATAGGTACTTTAAATATATGCTTAACATTCTCAGAACACAAACTGTAGCCTATGGACATGATTGAGGTTGCTGCATCTAGTGAGACCCGAATTGGAACCAGGCGACTCCGAACACCCTAAACCCCAAACCCCATGACACCTCTCCTTGAGTAGCATCACAGGCAATGACTTCTGACCTCTACGCAGTCTCATACGACAGCCAGTTGCAGTTGCTGGCCACTCGCTTAGAGATCTCTCTTGATTGAGCCATTGGCGACACCATTGGCGCCCTTCTTGGCACTAGCTGCTGGCTTATACGTCCGCAGGTAGAAGTCGATGAAGAGTAATAGATAGGACGAGATGAGAAGCATGCCAAAAACAGCAGCTGCATTCGTTCCTGCGCAATCCGCAACGTGGGGCAAGTTTATGTTGGGGATCCATTTCTCATGAGCCGCACGTTGCCAGACTGTTTTTCATCCATTTCAATGCGAAGAGCAAACAAACGGCATCATAGTGTGAGAAAACCGGAATAAAGCTAATTGGAAAAAACGTACCGGAGAAGTAGATGGCGATGAGGTCGATAACGAACTGCGTGATTTGCATCGTGGTGAGATATTTCTTCCACCAAATCTTGCGCCCACCAGCGGTGGCCCAGTAGTAGTAGTACATCAAGACGTGAACACCGAGGTTAAGAGTGATGGGGACCCATGACTATTATATCGTCAGGGAGTTCGTCAGATCATGCATATCAGTTGAAGACGTACCACACTGGTACGGCCATCGAGCTGGGTATAGCATAGAAGAGCAGTGGCGGAGTGGTGGAAAACGTGCAGGAAGGCTAAGAGGTATTATTGAGCTCAGTCATTTTTTTGGATCAACAACGACATACCGAGAGGCTTTTTCTTTATGGCGAGGAAAATGGTATCGATGAGCTCAATATACTTGAAGTAATAATTGATTATATAGTAAAACTCCAATCTCTAAACGGTGTGAAATAATATAATTTGGGGGGACTGGTCAGTGAACCCGCGAAGGTATGTTAGACGTGGGGCGTGTCGGGTGCCTTGCTCGCCGATGTGAACACCGAATCAGAAAGCACCTACCGGAGTCCACGACGATGTATGGCAAATCGCGCCAAACATGCCAGCGTTGAATAACAACGGGATAACTTCCTCAAGCATGCATGCGAGTAACAACCCACTCCCAAGGGACAAAAACATATTGTGGACTTGAAAAAGAAAGGTGAGCTTGTAAGGCTGGTAAGGTTTCATGGCAGCCTGAATGCCGAAGATGGTGATGAGGTATGCAACAATTATGCCAACGACGATTGGGGTTGTGCTCAATGGAGTGACACCTTTCTCATACTGCCGGAGGTAAGGCGGAAGGCGGTAGGGGACGACAGAGAGGATAAGATCTGCGAGACCCATTACAGAGGAGTAAGGGAGAGGACGAGAAGAGGTGGAACGAGGAGAATTTGGAGGGGTCAATGAAATTTTGAATGGCTCAAATTTCCTGGCCAGCCAATCCAGCGGAACCAATTTTAAATCAGGAAACTCTAAATCAGAGGATTTCTGTTACACAACGTCGCTTGTTTCTTGGCTGAGCGTTATATAGCAATTCGTTTAGGTAGAAGGTCATTTTGGGGGATTTCTTCTAGCGCCGCTAACAATACTGTATTCTCCTTATTGTTTCCTGGCGCTTGGCCTTCCCCGCTGATCAATTACCGGCAACCTCCTTCCGCTTCATTGGTTGGGGACGACGTGCGGATGCTCCGAACAGAAATATTCCTCCCCAGGTGTATCGATCATCTTCATCGTATGGAAACATGATTCATGTAAAAGTGTCCGGGCGCTTCTTTCCAAGCTAACTGGTAGATTGGAGATCAGCGCCAGACGCCATGCAAGCACCAACAGTGTGGTTCTGTCAATTCACTCACAACACCCAATGCCACTATACCATCCGTCATGCGAGATCCCATCTAAGCGAGAGGTTCCTCAGATGTGTGTTGGCGTGTACCCAAGTGGACGTAGCATCTTGCACATTTTGCTATACGATGGCTATTGTCAGGGATTAGGTCTCAATACCCAGATATTGGATCATTGCGCAGATACCAAAACGCCGAACTAGGGACAAGGGTGGTTGCTTAGCTTATTAATCAGTCCTAACCACTGCCCACCCAGCGCCACTGTACTACGTTCATGTCATAGTAAATCTTTAACCAAGCGGACCGTCATACTTCAAAGATGAAACCCCCGGAAAAAATCAGTACGTATATATGTGATATGATTCCAAGATGGATATGAAGCGCGGTTAAACAAATGGCGTGAGGTCGTGTCCAAAAGCTCGGCAGGAAACAGGTCGAAAGCTAGGTTCCCAGAGAGACGGTCTTCCGTACAAATTTGGCTGCTGGCCTGAATCGGTAAATTCTGCCCCAGCATTGGCGGTCCCAGAATCTAAGAAACTTCATAGGTAATCTCATGAGTCTCAACGAAGAACCTCAAGCCTTGAAGCAAAGTCGCTTAAATGCCAGCGACTTCGGTGTGGCCATTAATCGATCTAGAGCTTAGACATTTGTTTATTTCTGGATACTTAGTCCGCAACTTCAGGCTGCTCGTAAACGTTGGAGCATACTTATATATTTCTGGCTCAGCAGCTGCACTGCCACAATTTCAACCAAAGCTGGCGGACCTTTGGATGTCGACTACCGTGCCCACCCTTCCGCATTCATTGGCCCCGCATATTCTTATACATGCATCCCCGGACGTTGAAAACCTCTTGTTAAGCCCAAAGGGTCTTCCACCTCTTCCCGAGCTATTGTCGGCATTCGCTCACCTCTCTCAAGGTAGGCCTTGAGTTTGCCTGAAGATTATTTTGGGCGCTTTACTGGTGTTCGGCATCCTCATTGTGACCGTACACATCTAGTTACCACAAGGACCAGCACCCTCTCTCAAGTGACTCATCCAAGATTTCAGGTCAAGTTCTCATCGTTGGTGGACGTTGAAGAAGAATGCCGCGAGGACGAGGAGCGGCGAACGAGTCGGATAATCGACTGGATAGGTGGAAGAATCGCCCAAAGGGCTTCCACATGGCTCGGCGACGCCGAATCAAGGGACCGTGAGCGTTGGTGGGACGATGTTAAAGCTTGTGCAGACAGTGACAGAACTCCATGCCGCACCGAGGGCTGGAATCACCCTGTTGCGTGTAAGTGGTTTGTGAATACGGAGTATTGGTCTGATGAATCCCATGAAGTGATTTTGGCTACCTCTACTCTCGCACCCAATCCACTGCAGGCCATTACTGCCTTACATGCTCGAACCTTGGATCTTCCGTCATGGGTAGACACGACCCTATTTCGGTACACGCTAATTATCCATCCCACGCCTTCGAATCTCAATCCGGACGAGTGAGTAATATCTCCTATTATTGGCATCAGTCTAAGCTGGATCCTCGATCAATAGGGCGGTAGCTCTGTTGAACGCTGTGAAGAAACAGTTTGATCTCAATACTCATCTTTTGCAACTTCCGTCGTCATTAGAGAAAGTGAACGTACGAATACCTTTCGCGAGCAGCCGCCTATCCCCACCATTGGACGTTTCACGATCGCCTGAAATTCGGCGGCCAAAGCTTGAACGTCGAACAGTAGTGATGGAAATCACGATGTCAGAGACGGACGCGCAGAATACCCAGAGATTTGTTCGTGAGTTTGTGACAGTTTCTCTTATCCCTTGGATGGAGAGATACGTGATAGAATGGAATAACGCGGTAATGTGGAACATTTCACGCGTCACGCTGACTCCACTGACCATGAATCTATAGTTTTCCTCAACCAGACGCCTCCCATCGCGTCTACTATCCTCGACGACACGTCGGATCTTCGGGTCTTCTTCTCCCGCCCCTACTTCATCTGTTGCCAATGGCATTTTTTCTCTCGAGTCTCAGACATGGATGCATCGCCGTTTGGCTGAATTTTCAACTATATTAGGGGATTATAAACTTGCCTCGTTGGTTTGGGAAACTCTTCGCAAAGATTTTACCACAGGTTCGGACGTGCTGCCGCTCATCCTTGCTCCAGCCTCCTCTCTCTCTGTTTACGCAACCGCTGCCCTGCAACTACTTGGATTGAATAATGAGGAAGTTTCTGCAGCGCCACAATATAGAGCACTGCTGTATGCCGTCAGATGGGAGATTGGCATTCCCCAATTTGCAAGTATCGATGGTGAGAGATGGCTTGCCATGGCCGCTGGCAATGCCGAAGAGCCATTTTCCGCTCTTCTTCTGGCGCGAGCTGCCTCCTTAAGTAGTCGTCGAGGTGCGAAGAGACGTGCCGCTTTATGGTACACCTTGGCTGCCAAGAAACTAGAACGAAGTGGTGTCGTATGTACTTCAATGGCCAATGGGGTAGATGAACTAACGGACTTCTCTCAATATATCCCAGAAACCATTGACCATATACTTCTTCCAGCAGGCGAGCGATGCACATGCATTCAGGAAAGAAGTGCTTCTATCTCCATCGTTCTTTGAGATTGAAGCTCAAGAACAGGACCCGAAGATTGATCCTACGCAAGCTTGTATTCAGCATGCCTTAGGTATTGCGGTAGTTCTAATTGGCAATGCCTTTTTTATGAATCTTTTGATAGGAAGGTTAAAGTACTCCAGTGGCGATACGACTGCAGCCATCAAACTCTTCCTGAAGCTTCTGAGCCCACAGTGCAATCCTTTTGATAAATTCGACAACGATAGGATGTATGTAGAAGATTTTCGGCTTGCATTTGAGGTGAGCAACACCGGATTAGGTTGTGCTGCGTGCCCTGCTCATTCTTTTTGCTCAGCATTATCTTTCAACCAACCCTGAAACCCCTTCCTTCACAGAATCCAAATTGCCCCTGAATGTCTGTTTACCCTCAAGGACCCGTGTACGATTTTCCTCAAGAGATGTCTCTGAATCATCAGTGTGGACCGAGATGCAAGAAAGGTGGACAGCTTACCAGAAAACTCGAGGCGATAGGTCAGCCTTGGACCTTAGGGAGTTCGCCGAAGTGGGAGGTACGTGGGTAGGGTGAATCTCGAGTCGATTCTCTAATTCATTCCTTTAGAACCTTTCTGGATCGACTTAGCACTTTGCAACCCTCTGGATACCGAAATGAATCTCACTGGCTTAACGCTCGAAGTTGAATGCAAGGATGCCTCGAAGGACGCACTGACTTCGGTTGTGCAAATTGAGATCATTGAATCGGTTTTTCTCAACTCGAAGGAGAGGACAACGGCAAGTCATGTTTATAAATATTACGTGATTGTCGCTGATGTGACATCCCTAGGTCCCTATCAAAGCGACCCCCCTCATCCCAACGTCCTTGAAATTCATTAATGCGCACTACTCATTCCTTTCTCTCCTTCGTACTTGTGAAAGCCTGGCCGTGCGTGGAAAGCGTCTAAATGATACCCCCGCCCAGCGTCAAGGAAACGTACGCGCGCCTGATGCGTTCGTAGTTGCCAATGTCCGACATCCCGTTGCCAAGCTAGAACCACGATTCGATGATACCTCTATTAATCACGAAGATGAAACGACCTTTTACTGCGGCGAAATACGTAATGAATACTTTGAGGTTGAAAATACCGGGAAATTGACCGTGAACGATATATGGGTGGTACTGCCATGGGACGGCTCAATTAGGATAAAAGATGATGGGGATCTTGAACACCTGGAGAGTAGGTGCAATCTCGGTTTTGGTTGCGGCGAAGCTCACCGTGCCACAGAAATCGCTGGTCCAAACACATTAGCCCCTCCCCAGCCGTATCGATTATCTTCCGGTCCTTTAACACCCGGTGCTTCAATAAAGCTGCCGATCCAAGTATATTTCGGGACTCCAGGCGCAATCACCAATTCCATTCTCGTAGTGTACCGAGAGGTGCGGCCGTTTCTAATTGATGGTTTAAGCACTTACTTTTCGACATCTGAAGGATGAAAATTCCCTCGCTTCGTTTGTGGCCAAAGCAACACGAACTGCCTGGGTTGAAACACTCCTTACTCTCAGGACACACCTGGTACCAAGTTTATCACTGGAATCGGAGTACACGATGATGCTCGAGGTACGCGCGCGTGTTGTAATACCTACCCCTTTTCTCCGTCGTGACCTTTCCCTAGATTGAGAATTTAGGAGGGCCATTGGGAGTGCAAGTTAGGCAAGTTGGTGGTTTTAGTCCCTCATGGTGCCTCACCCCTGCAGAGACGTATGTATACATACTAGGAAGCTCCCTTGCGCCTCTTCTGACAATGACTACCTGGTTGGCCATTTTCAGACCATTGGTTCCGTTACTGGCCTACCGCCAACTTTGGCGTCTCGTTCTACCTATCCATCTAGTGCCTGACTTTGAAGTGAATGAGGTTGTGGCACCTACAAGAAGACTCATTGACTCATTGGCCAGCATACTTGCTGCCCAGGAACCCTCGCCGCCAGAATGCGTGAAACGCCCTGTAGTTACATGTAGCACCCTTCTAGTAAGCACCAACCTGAAATTACACGTCCGTTATTGATTATACCAGCATGGGAGCAAATTGTCTACCCAACATCGCGACTTCGTGTGGTCTTCCCATCGTATACGAACACGCAACATGATCTCTACAACATTCCCCACGATACCTATGCAACAAGCCGAAGCAATTTTCCCCTTCTACAGTGGTACCGATATGGATATATGCGTTCTATGGGGACTACCTGGGACAGCTCGCTCCGGCCAAATCGACCTCACCAATCTCATCGTTGGAGTGCAACATGGTGCTCTGAATAGGTTATTATCAGACATCACCAGCAGCACCAAGGTATCTACCCGAGAAATGTATGCGGAAACGGCTCGAGAGAGGGAGTCCCTGGTCGAAGCAATCTCTGCCTCCCCCTGGAATGTAAACGACGATCCTTTACGGCTGGACCTCCAATTTGAACCCGTTCAAAAACATGACTTCGAATTGGGGTGAGTTTGACATAGGTGACATTATCCCAACTCCGTGCTGATATTGCGACTTTAAGCAAACCTTACATCGTACCAGTTACATTTCGAATTCGGAATTTTTCATTTCAATTCTCCGCTCGCTTCTCACTCAATACTCGAAATCCTTCCCAGTTCGTTCTTTCCTTTGTTCTCAATATGACTTCACCCTAATCCTGACGATGATGCAGCATTGGGCATCCTCAATGCCAGTATCTTGGGTTATTGACTCACCACGGTGTCGTAGTGCCTTCATCTCATACGCTTGTGACAGGACGGGCAATCATCTTCCGCCCTGGTCTTTATTCATTGCCCCCTTGCGAACTCAAGATAAACGTCGGATACGAACAAGACGGTGTCTGGCACTCGGTAGCCTCCTTCGTCCAGTCAGGCGTTGGCCAGGAACGACTGGAAGTTTCTTCCATGAATTATCCAATCATCTCTAATTAGACTGCATTGTTCGCATATCATTGCCACCCTGCTTCATCTCAAAGCGTTGAATGCTTCCGTGAACAGAACATATACGACCATTATTAATCATTTAGATGTACAACAGAACTCAGCATTAATCAATATACGACTACGAATCGGGTTTCAGTGTATTCCCTATCCCCTCTGTTGCGACTTCTTTCTTCGCCTCTTTCTCCTTCTCCAGCTCGCGAGACCTTGCGACGTATTTATTTGGATGTGTAACGCTTTCTCCGTCTCCCAGCCCTTCTCCATCATGAGTGAGCTCAAAAACGCGCGTGCATGCAACATGATAATGCCTCATCTCCACTGCGCGGATTATGTCCGACATTTCCTCTGACATGATGGGAATACCGTAATAACCATTGATAGCCGATTGGAGGTTACTTGTCGAAAAGTGCCTGAAGGGGCATCCGTGTGTTTCTGTAACTGCAGGAGGATTTTCCATGATGATACAGCGACAGCTAAATCACCGATGGTGTAAGCTAGTATCAAATTTCCAACCAGAATCTTACTCTCTTGCCGGATAGTTCTTCCTTCCGCCTTCCAGACCATATGAATGTCGAATATTGTAACGATACTCCTTATTGAACCTGTCATCGGACATTGTGTTTCCATAGGAAGCTCTCCAGAAATGGATGGCCTCATCAATAGGTAATCCCAGCACCTTCGAAAATTATGAGTCTGGAATGGAACTCAACTAGTCAACTTACCTTGAGGAACAGAGTGTACTGCAGTCGCCCTTGATGTTTAAGATGGCGATTTTGCCGTAATCCGCCGTGGACATGACGCATGCAAAGTGGAAAGTGCTTCCATGCGAGGTCATCAATCATGTCAGCAGTGACGGCATCTCCATACTGCCCGACCGAACGGCCGTGTTCCCCAGCGACACCAGCTAAGAACCCCTGAGAGAAATGTGTGATAATTGGAAGGAGTCGGTCATCTTCGTCCAGTCGAGGTAGCGCACGGGCCGTGAGTTCGAGTGCGTTTGCGAGCCTTGCTTGGAACTCTTGAAATATGATTGAAGATTGGAGAGTGGATGGTACATAAGCATGACCTCGTTTGAGAAATACGCGCCGTTGTGCGACGAGATCGGTCACTTTCGTCCAAGGTACCTTCAGAATAAACGTCAGTGACACACCCGCACATTGTGATCTGGATAGATACCCTGTAGAAATTCTCCTTCGCAAAGTCTTCCTCTGTCCGGATACTGAATGTCGTGTCCATAAGCTGTCGCTTAAGTTGGGCCTTCTCATCGTCAGATATTGGCTCCCCACTAAATCGTTTCGAAGCCAAAAACGCGTCCCTTTCAGCTTGTTTTGCTTCAGCGAATCGAACTCGGAACAGATCTGTCTCTGCTCTCACAAACTTCCCCCGTAATTCGTCACTATCGTTGGGCGGCTCGTTATCCATTGTTGAGAATTCGGCTTGATTTGACACTCACGTCCGGCAGAAAGCTAATCGTAATATAAAATGGCTGACTCGATCCTTCCATCTTTCCTCGTCAAGATTGTACTCCTTTTCGGAGTTTGAATGAAGTTGAAGGTGCTTTTCGCATTGCGTGGAAACTACAGTCTTCAATGCTTCAAAATTTCCACCTCGTATTCGTGCCGCCTCGATCTCAGCAAGCACTTGTGGAGTAAAACTCAATTAAACGCTAAACAAGAGCAAATCCCCACATACCCCGAAGACGGTCTATTGCCCATGTCTCAAATTGTTCAAGTGTCACTTGCTCAAGTGGCGCTTCTTCATAGCTCGGTGCAACTCCGCGCATCAGGATGGTTGTAAGAAAACAAAGTGGGGAAGTCTTACAAATTCAGTCGATGAGGATACTTCAAGAGGGGGTTAACATCCCCAATACTCGCCGTCTGCTGGTGTCGCGTAGCGGTACGGTTGAACATGATTGGCCTTGTGGAGGCTAGAGCACTGTCTATAGGTTGACAACGCGTGTGTGACAACGCGACACGATGTGACAATGTAACGATATATATATATACGGTTGCCGAGCAGGGCCAGGTCTAAGTTTGCATCCGACTCAAGCGCCGCGCGTCACGACCTCATCGCTACGCGTCTATACACAAGTCAACCTGCGTTTTAACGGCTCCAGCGTTGTTGTGGACATACTAGGCACCACATCGTCACTTTTTCTCGCTTTTTTCGAGCGAAATTCGTGCCCTACTTACCTGCACTTCGAGCTCACTGCTACGCGTCCACATATCAAGTCAACTGCGTTTTAAGCGACTCTGGCGCTGTTGTGGACATACTAGGCACCAGACTATCACTCTTTTCGCTTTTTCCAAGCGACATTCGTGCCTCACATACCCGCACTTTGCTACGCGTCTATATATAAGTCAACTGCATTTTAAGCGACTCCGGCACTGTTGTGGACGTACTGGTGCCGCACTATCGCCTTTTTTTTTGCCTTTCAGAGCAGAATTTGCACATTTGCATACCTGCACTTGGCTGCGCACTCTATACCTACAATTAGAATGAAGGGAGGCAACTATAATCCATCCGGGAATAATCAACATGGTAAAAAAGGCACGACTCTGTTTATACATATTAATTCTGTCTAACATTGTGGTAGTTCAAGCAGATAATCCAAAGCTTGAAGAAGCACTTCTTGAATATAATCGGCGCCTTATTACAAATGCTAAGACAATTAGTGAACTTCTCCAAAAGGAGTATGGATGGGAAATAAGGTATGCTTCTGCTCTCTCCTGCCAAAATTGTTTCCAACCTTTGTCTATGTGGCAAGTGAACGGACTGTAAAGTGCCGAAAGGCTGCCCTTGGCATTTATGCAAGTGGCAGGAATACTAAAGAAATACCAGACAATGCAAAGGCCCAACTGGTACTTGATGCCATTGAGGCTAATCCTAGTGGGAGTCATGGTCCAAGGACAGTCCAACAAGAAATTGCATACAATACTGGAATACCATTGACACGGTGATTGCAACTAACTTCTGAGCAGGCTGGGTGCTAAGGAATCATCCCCATTACTATTTAGGGACTTCATAAGTGAGACCATGCATTGTCATGCTCCAGAAGGTTTTGAGGCCCGCAGACCAGATGCCCATCAAATCAAACGTTCTGGACTGACATCTGCAGGTATTCATGAAGAATGGTCTGGTGATGGCCATGACAAACTGAATAAGATGGGTATTGGGATTTATGGAGTATGAGACAAAGCCAGTGGAATGTGGCTCGGTCTTTGGGTCATCCCAAACAATCGCCTTGGTGAGGTAATTGGTTACCTTTACTTGTGTTTGGTTGAGACTTTTGGTGGTAAGTTTGAATATACTTAGATAACTGGTTGTATGATTCATTTGGGATTCAATAGGGATTCCTAAGCAGTCTACCACAGACCATGGTTCTGAGACCACTGTTCAGTTTGGTTTTGCAAATGCACTTCGGTATGGAACATGTGCCCATCTAGGCCTATAGCTTACCCTATATAACCAGAGATGCATTTTACCCTGATTCAAATTCATGTGACTCACCAGCTCACAGGTTTCTTCAAAGTATTCATAATATCACAATAGAAAGGGGATGGCATCGACTCAAAGTGCAATGGGGAGATGATGTACTTGTCTTCTATCAACATGGAATAGATGAAGGCATCTGTAACCTAAGCAATCCCCTGCAGAAGTAAGCACATATTTTCCCATTTAATTACCATTGTATTGAGTGCATCCAGGACACTTTCATTATGGCTTTGGTCCTCAATTTTGCGCAGAGATATCAAGGATGTCCAGTCAAAGCTGAATGCTGCACGTGTGAGGAAAGTACAAGGGAAAAAACTTCCTTCTGGCACATCAGCATATGATGTTTTCACTTTCCCTGATAAGTATGGGTTGGAGAATTGCCTAATCCCTGTGGATGTGAACATAGTCCATGAGATGAAGAGTGCCATGGGTGGTGACTCACTTTTGGAGTTTGTTTCCCTGGAATTTTCACAGAAAGCAATTGCTGCATATGAGGCAATAGGCTCTCCAGCTCTCAGTATGCAGAATGCTTGGGATGTATTCAAGCTACTGTTGTCTTACATGTCTATGTGAAATAGCAGATTCAAGATATTAGGACAATTTGGCCTTTTGTCACAACTCAATTGTAAGGAGATAGATTGCATATTTGTAGCCCTGTCATGGCCCTGCAAAAGGTGCCCACCCACTATCACTCCCCCACTTCCTCACCACCTATTCTGCCCTGTCAGCTTTCTCCATAATCCATCACTCAGTGGCACCACTAGTTGACCCCCATCTGCAGTCCTGCAGCAGTGCCTTCTCCCTTCCCACCACCACTTTAGCATTTTCTCCTCTTCTGATGTGATCAAAAAGTGTCCATCCATGCTGGGGGATACTCTGCCATATGGTATTTGGTCTGCCAGACTTCCAGGTGCCAATATATTTCCCTTGAGTCACATTACTTTTTGTAAGAATTAGCAAATAAATATATGTGAATTATAAGGTGTTTCACCGTTTGAGCTATATCTCCATCAGTTTTGAAGCTTTTAGAATGAAACAAAATCGTGGATAAAGTTAAGAAACAGTCCTTTCAGATGGTAAAAAGATTACAGTCAAAGGTTTTCTGGTTCCCGAGATATTCACATTTCTTTCCCAATGTTCCCTCTTATTCTGCCGTCTATGTGCTATTTTCTTGTTGTAGGGATATATTCTTTGAATATTATATTTTCCTACACCTTTGCCAGGTTCTAGGCATGCTTGTAGTAGCTTAAATCTCATGCTACATGGGTGCAGATAATTACAATGAGCTTCTAATGTGCATCCAGTCTCATAAAGATCATGAGATCTGTTAAACATTTGAACTTGTCACCTGATTGTTGACTATTCTGATACATCATTGTTTTATTCTTCAAATATTATTTCTCCTACAATTCATTCTGACATTCTGCACCACACATATGTAAATACAACAGTTGTACATTGTTTACAACAAGGAATAAATATCACACACATCACCACTGCCACTCATCCCTTACATTATTCCATACTAACTAGTTTGTTGGAATATCAATGCTCATCAACAACAGCCGAGCTGCAGCATGGATTGGGGAGTTTTTATTTTAACTTAATATCGTCGTGACTAACAACAACTATACCTTTTTGTTTCAGAGTCGCAGTACCACACACTCCCAATTTACTTTGTCTTATATCACCAGTTGTCACTGGCAATTGCTTTAAGCGATATTGGCTCCAGTCATATAAGTTACGCTGGACACCGTAATTTTTCTCCCTCCCTCAGTTCTCCATTTCGAGACTGAGGTGATACCATTTCTTTCCTATCTGTGTTTGCGCATAACTCATTGTATTTTCATGTTATAGTTACATGCGATAGGTAAAAATCTTAATACTAGTTCTCCATTTCAAGACTGAGTTACGCATGATAGCTCCTATTTCATTATAGTTACTACATTGATACATGGTAGCAGGTTGAACTGCTTTGCTATTATTGACCCACTCAGTCCATTTCTTCTGCCTCCTCACTCATTTTCTTGATATTCTCTAGTTGTAATGCCACACATACTTCATTGCACTTGTGAGACAGCTCCCAGTAGTGGAGGTACTCCATCCCTCCATCCCAGGTCCCAGTATCACCTGCCCTCCTATGTAGGTGTGAGTTGGGTCTCCAGAATAGAAGTGCATATCACATACTGGGAATGGGATTGAGGATCAAACAGGGTAAAAATCCCATCCCTATCTGTAATTCCTATTCCATGCCATCAGTCAGGTTAATATGGATCATAATGCCCATTCATACCTTGAAGGTCAACCAAGAGAAGGTGCTTCTTAGAGTAAAGGTAGGTAAAATGAACAAATGCATGGAGTGTTTTTGAAAGCAAGGTTTTGGGTGGCTCATCCTTGCGAGGGTCATGACCAGTGATTTTTTCATACTGACCATCTGCTTTCTCTGGATTGTGTGGAATCAAGGGGGTTGCAAGAAAGACAGGATAATTCAAGATAGGTTGCGAATTATGAGTAGGGGTACTGTCAGTAATTCTCCCCACAAAGGATTTTGAGACATTGAAACAAAATCCTAATGATATTGATTATGTGAATAACAATTCAGTGGGGGAAATAATTGACACACCAGGAATACGTCGGTCCAGAGTATCTCCCAGATCAGTAACACGCAAGAAGAATGCTTTAGCAAAATGATCTCCATATGCAAGAAGCTGGAGTTCATCCTGCAAACCTTTCTCAATTCCTCTTATGAGTTCTTCATTGCTTGAACTTGTACTAAGCTTAGGTTGGGAAATGAGCATCTCCCATTCGCCCCTAAAAATTAGGGTTGAGCTGTTGAAAAATTACAATAAAAGAACCCTCACATAGATAGCCCTCTTGGTAGCACCTTCACCAATAATACCCCATCCATACACATCATGCTTTACAGAGCGCCAATCACCAGCAATGTAAAGCCCATTTGTGGAACTTGAGTGGGTAACCTCAGGTTTCCCAGTCTCATCAATGGTGATAGTGGTGTAGCTGTATTCAACTTCCATAAGGTGTCCCTGGAAATCTGCATAGGATACAACAGGAGGTTTTGGGGGGATGAGTGTAAGCTTCCAAGAGCAGTTGATGTTCGTAGGATCAAATGTGCTAGATTCAAGCACTGTGACCCTTTGGCGTCTTGCTATGTGACCACTAGCCAAGCCTAAACACATTTAGAGCAACTATTAATATCATAAGTGGTATTGGCACATACTGAGAGAACGTTCCCGCTTTTGACCAACAAAAAACTCCTCATTGTCACCAAATGGTTTCTATATATATAAATATATATGTTTGTCAAGTTTACATTTAAGAGAAAGTAACATACCAAGGTTTCTTCATCAAATGTAAACCGAAGGGATAAGATTTGCTCACCACGAGCTACATTGGCATGCTTCTGATAGAATTCCAGGACAGTAGAAGTACCCTCAAGGTCTTCCATTGGAACATGCCGAAAAGCTGTTGGGGTAAAATGAATATCATACTTAAATGCATGCCTTCCACCAGGAATTAGCCAAGTGATATGGACTTTTGTAGATTATTACCTAGTGAAGGCACCTCTCTTGGCTGTTTGAAATTCTGCATAAAATGCAGCTGAGGATGTTACAAGAAGATGGTTGAATGCCTCATGCATCAATGTGCTTGCTGTATACCGCTGATGGTTCGAGAATCTCTTCAACTAAGTATAGATACATAGATAGCTGATAAAAAGCCAATTTACGGTAGCTATATCTGGTAGGCTCACCATAACTGATGCAGTATTAACTGCGCCACTTCGCTGGAAAAGATATATCTTGAAGGAGACAGGACCAGCTTTTGCATCCTTTGTTGACTGGTTCTGTTTGAGGAGACTTGAATATCCTCGTGGTGGTGCAGGTGAATGTTGTTTTAGCCGAAAAGTTGAAGCTTGGCCTTGGTAGTGGACAGCACCCCCAACAATAGAAGCCGCAGTAGGGGTAAGTGAAGAATCAATGGCAGCTCCGGTAGAAACAGCTGCCTGGACTGTTGGAATAGCAAAGCTTGGCTTTGAGGAAGCAGATTGAAGTACAGGAGTAGGGGGTCCCCTTATACTAAGGATGGCTGTCTTGGCCTGCTGGTAGAGGTTTAATTCAACTGGAAGTGGTCCATGATCTTTCCCTTATAAATTATTTGATGTAAGTATGAGATGCAAATTATGCAATTTATAGGACATACCAAGCTCAGTTAAGCATTTCCCACAAATTTTATTAGGCAGTTCAACCATAAAGATGGCAGAGCAAACACAGCACTGCTTCTTTAAAAGCTTCTACAAATATTTCAGATAAGGAATCATGTTAACGCAATTGGGAACATGTTACATACCTTTCGCAAAGTGTCCTGATCTTCCTCCCGAGCTTCAGCCACCTTGGCACACAGATTACATATCTCAGTTTTCAGCCCAGCAAAAGGCATAGAACATGCAGCACAGTATGGCATGGCTGAGTGAGAGATCAATGTCAAGAGAGATGATCGAGCGTTCGATTTGGCACAGCCACAGTATGTATTTGCATCCATATTGCGGTCATAAATGCCGTATGCAGTGGGTGATAATAGTCTGGAATGTTACCAGTATACATGCAAAACTATGTGATACATAATCTATGTGCTCGACTACACAGCTTGATCAATCAGTGGTTTGCGGACCAAAGAGACTTGAAGTGTGGTATGCAATGCGCAAATTTTAATCAGAGAAGAGAAGCTGGAAAAAAGGTGATAGCGTGGTGCCTAGTATGTCCACAACAGCACCAGAGTCGCTTAAAACGCAGTTAACTTATGTAGAGACGCGTATCGGTGAGTTCAAAGCGCAGGTATGTAGGGCATGAATTTCACTCGAAAAAAGCGAGAAAAAGTGACGATGTGGTGCCTAGTATGTCCACAACAACGCTGGAGCCGTTAAAACGCAGGTTGACTTGTGTATAGACACGTAGCGATGAGGTCGTGACGCGCGGCGCTTGAGTCGGATGCAAACTTAGACCTGGCCCTGCTCGGCAACCGTAATATATATATTGAATATTTCATTTATGTAAGCGCGCATTTTTCTAAAGTCGCTTGGACTCGAAAAATTGTGGGATGGCCTAAATTAGAGTTGTATCTCATGGCTAGAGTGTTTGGAACCATGAGTCTGTGCCGCCACCATTGGGTCACAATGTCACCTATGGGCCGGGCGTTGTAGCAGCGATTGGACATCAAGATTTTCGATCCTGCTGATCCTAGGCTGCTTGACGCAGCGCTAATGACTCAACAGGATTGTACACCTCGAAAGTTGTGTCAAGATCTCTTTTTCCTTTCTTTTTGGTTGAACCTCTCGTAGCTTTTGCAGGGTAAAATTTACCTGGGGGGTTCGTAGGCAGGGGCTGCACTCCTGGGCTGTCATCGGCGCTTACCATTTTCTTGGAGACTCCACCACAGGGAAATGCCTTTTCGCACTGAGGGGTTTTCCCAGTGTGAGTCCCACGCTGACTTGGGGGGTCAGGATTACCTCCGTTGGCTTTCAACTAGTCATTCAGTGGCTTGTGTTCATCTTTGGGTGTGTCTCTCCATGTTTCTAGTATGAGTTTTCCGGGGATGATGGTAATAGAGGCTGGTCACCTGCATAGGAGGGCGGCGCCTTGGGCCCGTACTTTTTCAGGTTAGTCCTTAGTCTGTCGCTTTGAAGTCTTTCGTTTAATCGTGTTGTGTGCTTTGTTGTGTTATCGTTTCATCGTTGTTTTGTTCCCCATCTGTGGCTCCGAAGCTTCCATATTTGCCAGGTTGCTTCCAGAACTAGAGTGCTTGCACTTCGCGCTTCGCAGGACTCTGCACTGCCCACTTATTCCGTTCTCATCAAATAACTATGTTGTTATATTGCAACCATCAATGGAATTCGATCATCTTTCTCACAACAACACAATACAGGGAAAGACATTCAAGAAAATCTAAAAAAAAAAAATGGATGCCACAGCAGCGAGTGAAGGCCATACATGGCAGCCTTCAGATACGATGGTACTGATCAAACTGAAATGATACCATGGAAAGCTGAGCCATAATAAACTTGGTAAAGATGCGGCCACATAGACCACCTATAACCTTGCAGAATAAGAGGAACTGGTTGAGCCTCAGAGTCAAGAGGCCCATAAACAGGAGGAAGCACAGGGCGCTTCTGAGAGTCAGCTCTCAGCATAAGCTAAGAACACCAGTGAAAACGGGTAGGAATACGGTCACTGGGACTGTATCTAGCCTTCTGGAATGAAAGGGAAAGAAGTAAGGGCCATATCCTGTCAGGGCACGGCCTAACCAGCTACCCTGACTCCCTATGCCGGAAGGGAGTTGCCGTCAGACGATCTGGAGTGATCCGAAGAACGCAGGTAATCTCGCTTAGCTCTTGCTTAGCATCCCACTTCTATCTTCCATCCACATGTCACCCCTTTCCCACACCTCACTTACGATTATCCGAATGAATAGCTATCTTTTCATGTCGTCATTCTATCGGCTGTTTCTTATCTCGCTTGTAGCCACACTCTAGTGGATAGCGGTATCCATGTATATAAGCCCTATCTCTGCTGAAGGTGGCACTTCAGCGTTAACAACGACTAGGATTCTTGGGAACACCCTTATTGTCGTGAACTGACACGCGGTCCCTGACATATCCTCAATGCACCCAGGATATGGTGAAGTGCAGGTGTTTCCAGAGCTCAGCTCTCAGCTGAGCTCAAAGAGTCTTAATACCGGTGTAAAACCAGTGGAGAGATGGTCGCATAGACCATCTGAAACCTCTCAGAATGAGTGGAAAAAAGAGTAAGAACTTGAAATCTGAAAAAAACCCTGGATGCAACGAAGTGCAGGGCGCTTCCTGAGCTCAAAGAGTTATAATACCGGTGCAAAACCGGTGGAGAGATGGTCACCTAGACCATCTCCAGCCTCGCAGACTGAGAGGAAAGCAGATTGGCTTTCCATAGGGAAAACCCAGAAAAGGAAGGAAGGAAGGAAGTGCAGGGTGCTTCCAGAAACAGCAGTGGCTCCTTGGGCTAAGGAGCCAATAAAATTATTGATAGATGGTCAGATAGACCATCAGAAACCTCTCAGCATGAGAGGACTGCTGCCAATGACTGGCAGCAAAGCCCCGCTACATTTGTCTTGGGCTAACCTGTACAGAAGTTTACATTCATTAAAACAAAGTACATACAACAATTGCTGTCCATTTATTCAAGTAACGTAGCAAGCCAGGTTAACGTTAACCCAAAAGTCTTCTGTATACTACATTCGCAATGTCCAGCTTTGACTCAGGCAAGAACAGCATCACATGAGACCTATGTCGCACACAGCTTAGCGCAGTGTACAGCTGCCCATGTGCAAAGACATCCTCTACAATCAATCACTATTCAATCAAAAGTGAGTCCTTGGTAATTGTTGAACGTTGTGGAGTAAGCCAACTTCAGGGGAGACTGTTTCCGTTGGACTGTGTATTTCGCATAGTTGGGTTTAAAGTTGAAGTGAAGTTCTGGAACAGGAGGACAAATGGGGAGCAGAAAATAAAAGAGAGAAGGGACAGGTGAGATGACGTAAAAGAAAGCATGTAAACAACCCGAAAGGGAAGATGATGACAAATTTTCAGCATCGCCAATTGCGTAACATCGGGAGTGGTTAGTGACTCTGTGTGCAGAGTAATCAGGATTCTTAGGAGGCAACGGCCCCCCCCTTCTTACCTCTCCATTGTGATATCTAGTGCGCAATGCTCATGTTATGCAGCCATTCCATATCTTTACCTGAACATAGGGATCTAACAGTATTCCATATTATTGTGCTGTGGTTGTGTGGGCATTCAAACAGGATATGGGGATGTCCTCGGTTTTGCTATGCTTGTTGTTTGGAATCTTGCTCCAGTACTCGCTGATTTTATGGCCGTTGTGGAGTGTTCTCCACACGAAGTTCCTTTCATTTGTTGGAATGTCTCCCCCGTTTTTCAGGGTTGCCATCCAGATTCTGTCGCCTGTTGGCTGGTCGTTCCCCAACGTTTTTGGGATTCAGATTGGTGTGGTCGGTTGCCGTTTTTTCTCCCCCCTTCCCTGTGGGCAATGTGAGTTTTAGTGCTGTTGCTTGCATTAGGGCTCATAGTCGGCACCCTTTGGGCAGGGGGTTTTACGGTTCACTCTTATTGAAGATATGAACTAGTCATGTATAAGCACTCAGTTCCAAGTACGTGAACTGTAGGATATATTGTAGTTACCTAGCGTCATGCAAGCGCTGGTAACATATTTACACATTGTTAGCTATTACTACATTGTGCAGTTAGATCAAGAGTGTCTCACCTCAGTTCTAGATACATGAACTGAGGGAGAGAGAAAAATTTCGTCCTCATGGCTTTTAAGCCATCCACGACTGTGTCCATCAACATGGACTCCAAAAATGGAAGCATCGGGCAATCCTTCAAGGACATGTCCGTACGCAAGAAATATGGTCCGACGGACTCAATGGACGGTCCACAGCGTACCAAGAAAAAAGAGATTTCAACAACTCTGGTTCTAGCTTGTTGATGAACACCCATTATTATAGTGGATTCCGAAATAATGGAGAAAAGTTGAATGAGTGAAGACCCTGTTCAACCCGAATCAGCAAGAGCTAATGATTTTGTTGATGTACTCGTCAATATACTTGTCAATATACCCGTTGTAGGAGAAATAACGGCCACACTATGGAAACCCATTATGGAAATATGCCAGATAAATCACAAAACCTCATACGACAAGTAGATATGAGAACATAGAAGAACCTGAATTTTAACGAATTTTACGAATTTCTACGAATTATTATGACTATACACGATAAATCGAAAGAAAGAAAAATAACAAAAATACTTCAAGCTTACCATCAACGAGACGGAATTCTCGGGGGAATTTATAGCAAATATTAAACCAAGAATTAGGACAATCGACCAAGATTTGACTATAAAAATAATCAGAGAACCTCCACGGAAACTACTTTCCCACGTCCGCACACATAGCAAGGATGGAAGTACCATGGAACAAAGATTCCTCAGGAACTAATGCAAAAGTCAAAGTCGTGTTTATAATAGGAAATGTAGATGTCCCCCAAACGGAACCAATGAGAGTAATTACAGGGGAAACTACCCATAAACGACGGAGATATGACTAAAACTCCTGCAAAACGAGGACAATGTCTAAAAAGCAAGCGCGAAGATTAACTAGTAACGACCGAGACAAGCTTGATAGCCCATTAGAAAGGAAGGGATCTACTCTTAATCCTCCCAAATTTCCATAATAAAAGGATCATGCGTTAATGAGAAATCCAATAACGGGAATAGCGACATCAAAAGTCCGAGCTCAGGGACAAGACGATGATTGCGTAGGATCCATAATTAAAACATACAACGAAATTTACACGGAAATTATGAAAAATAGGAAACTATAGCTATGCAAATTCTCAGCCCAAACGGTCCAGCCGTTGTGAAGTTATACCCATGATGGGAATATAGGAATCCGCATCATGTGTAATGACATGTGAGGGTGGCGATGCGCAGGGAACTGGCCGTCGGAATCGAGATCCGCACTTCGGCAGATCGCGAAGACCAATTTCCGTCCAAATAAGGAAGAGCCCGGTCAAAACAAAGCACGGAAAGTGCAAAACAACCTTAGATCATGAGGGAAAAATCTGAAATAAATCACAGAAGCCCATATGAAAGAAATAAACACCCGCGCATATCATAAATCCCAAACAAATAAACGAAAACGGCTCCTGCATACGAACGATGCACGTGATTACCGAATGTGCGCGCGAATCTTTGCTAACTCAACGAATACCAGGAAATAGGACACAATATTAGTACCATTGGAAAGGTGGGAATAAATGAAAATTTATGATACTAAGAACGTGAGAAAACATCCAGAAATGAATGAGATACAAGGACATGAAGTTAGAAACCTGAAAATGCGCGGGAAAACAGCTTCAAGAGGTCCAGAGTCCTAAATAAAATAGATAAAAATATGATATCTTCAAGGACAACCTACTATAACAACCAACGATACATATGGAGGATTAGGATGCGATAATACAAAAGGAAATCAGAGAATATGAACAAAATTCACGAAAACCACTAAACTACGACGGACCATGGCGGGAATTTTAGGGAACGATATTCTAATGAGGTGGAGAGCTATAACACATTCATTTGAGTAATTCTTGACTACTACCAACTTTTTCTTTCAGTTTCAAACCTGAATAATTCACTCATTTACCATTTCAGTCTCATTTTAACTAAATGTCACTAAATAAAAATGGAATAAATCAGCTGGAGGTCTCAACACAGCCGTACGCATAGTAATGCGAAGTTTGAATTCAGAGTCATCGAGTCATAGCAAATTTAATGGTATATATATAGAATTTGAAATAGGTAACTGCAGCAAATGCAGCGCAGCCAAGTTCTAATTAACCATTAAAATAGCTTAGGCGAGGGAGGACAATAAGAATTCTAGGCGCAGTCTGACCGCAGTAGAACCGCAGTTCAGCGCAGCAAAAGCACAGTAGAACTATAGCATGAAAATTTCATTTTTATTCAGTTTAAGAAAAATACACTGTAAATAAATCCTGTAAATAGAAGGTAGAGCGTGAAAAAGGAAGGCGACCCAAGGAGTATAAAAGGGAGACCCTTTCTGTGACTTTTCGCCCCCCTTAGAGAAGTAAGAAAATAGAGTATTATTTTTCTCAAGCATTTCTGGTTGTCACTCCAGTGCGAAAAAGTGATATACAGTTAAGATTGCCACTGTAGTAAAAGGCAGCAAATAAGGAGAGAAATATTAAGTAGATATTTCAACAGGAGAGCTGGTTAACACTCCAGATTTCAAAGTGTAAACACAAAACAGTTATTTTGCTACTGTTAAAACAAGCAATAAAATAAGACAAAAATAAAAACGAACTCAAGGGACACTCCAGACACCATCCAAATTCATTAACTGAATAGAATCTTTGAAACTTCACCAAGTAGAAGATTAAATTCAAGTTTAAATCCAAATTAAACAACGCTACACAGAATTACACCTAGACAAATTAATAAATTTCAATAAAGAAACAGCTCCGCAGGGCTCGGTTTATCTGTAAGTCAATTCCCAGGAACTTTAAAACTAACCCATAAAAATAGAATTAGCCAAAACACTCGGATTGGTACTTTATTTACAATAAATAACACTAGTACACTTCCCCATCCTAACTAAAGAACCAGGGAACAGCTTGGTGGTGGTCTCGTTTGAACCTCCCAACTGACTTTCCTTTGTTCTCTCCTTCACCGTCAATATACCCATCAATATACCTTTGATGCACGTCAAGCAGAAACATATTGATTTCAATCCCAAAAAGGACTACACAATGAGCACGGAAAAAAATAATGGAAAATGAGGTGGGACCATCCATCCTGCGTTTGACCACCTGAATCCCCCATCTGAGTCGTGAACATGCAAACCAACTTCCAACTTGGAGGGACGCCCCTGGGTGCAGACGAAGAAGATGCACAAAGTGAACAGTTCAAACCAATCTGTGTCACGGTTACACTTTCAGTGCCAAAGGAGGGCAAGAAAGGGAAGGTCGCGAGGAAACCGGACACCGTGCAGAAGCAATTCCAACTGGATGTGCTTGGAAGTAACAATGTGGTCAAGCCCTCTGTCTTTTGGAAGTCCGCACTTGAAGCATTGGGTCCTACCTATGTCGCGACATACACTCCTGGTGATGACAGCGGTCAATGGCCAGATTTCAAGTGGAGGAAAGAGGGTGCAGCGTACGTACCTCATTTGCATATATTTATTAGATTATAACCAATCCTCGTCATCAGAGCCAACAAGGGTCTTCTAGTTGAGACAAATGATGAATTTTCGTTGATGATTCAAAGCATCCGCGACCGGATGTTGCTTGGCATTGTTGTCGCAGTTGATCTGGACAGCTTTCAGGTGATGCTGCAGTCAACTCAGATGGTATGCAGCCTCTTTGTTGTAAGATAGATTAGACTGACAGTCAAATAGACGCCCAGTCATTCGGCAGGTGGTTATGGCACTGGAAACAAAGTAAGGACAAACATTGTTATCGCAGATAAGGTACTTAGGGTTATTTAGGCACCTGGGGCCACAGATCTTACTCCGGTAGAGATAGAACGCGCCGAAAAAGTCATCAAACTTCAGGAGCGGTGGATATGCACAGACCCTGAGCACGGAGGACAATACTGTTATGTCCACAAAGTTGGTGACTCCTGTATTCCATTGTCACCATATGCCCTAAAGCACTGGGCATCTAGCTGGGTGAGTCTGCATAATGAGTTCACAGTAATGATAACAATTTTACGCGACTGTGACAGTTAGAGGGCTTAGCATCATTAGACAGCCCACCCAACACCCAATATTTCAATCAGGCCACTCACCACCGATCCAAATCCCAGTCTCAAGGCCCAGTGAATCCACCTAGTAATAGTGTCAGGGGACGACTCCCGGGTCCCCATGACCCTCCCCTATGGTCCACAGTCCCAGGTGTAACCAGCCCTGTCCAGGGCACAACCTACTGTGGGTCAGAGATGAGAAGGAAGTTAACTTCTCATCTTCCCACAGTGGCCACAATACATCGAAAACTTCCGGAGATATCCGGAAGTTACATGAGACCTGAGACCCGAGGTCCGGGCCATCCGGCCGCACTGAGCATCTGGCACAGGGCGCGCGCGGGGAGTGCAACAGCCAGGTGCAGTCACGGGTGCGGGTGCGAGTGTGGGTGTGGATGCGGTATGGGCTAGGTCAGGGTGTATGCCCTGACAAATAGCCAACTCGAAACCCTCACAACACTGGCACTTGCAGCAGTTATGTCATCGCTCAATCTGAAGCCTTCAGTGGCATCACCTGACAAGTCCCCGGAGTCCCCGTCACCAAAGAAGAAGGCAGATCTACCACAACCCCCTAGTAGCCCTCAGAAAACAGGGCCAATTCTCACACACTCCTTGATTGAAAAATTTGTGAGTTGGTGCAAGGTGACGCGTGGCGAGGATTGGAGTGCTTGCATGAATGGCATGCAAAGTGAGGAGATCTATCCAGATGATTATCTTGGGAAGCTTTCCAATGAAGAGCTACGGAACTCTCTTGGTCTTGGTCTTGGATCTGTTCACTGATTTCGCGCAGCAGCATCTGAGTTCTGGAAATTGCAGGTCAAGCAGTATCACATGACCTTTTCTGATCCAACACCGAGTGCGCAGATGAACCCAGCTGGTCCTTCCTCAGCCAAACAGAAGCGCAAGACACCTGATGACCCAAACGACTGGGTTGTGGTCCCCTACAAGCGGAAGTACCCTGATGGTGGTGAGAAGCGATTCCATTTCCGCCACTTCAAAGATGGCCATACTCCAACTTATGACGATGGTATACTGGTATTTGTCAGGGCACACCCACCTGACCCGCCTCCACCCGGGCCCACCTCACCCGGTTCCCCTTCTCCCACCCTGCACCCCTCCTTCATACCCCTTCCCCCTCTATCCCTCTCCCACTTCCACTTCTATTTCCATTTCCATTCCTATTTCTATTTCTACTTCACACAGACGACCTTTCCCTTATATCCATGTATTATTGACCCACCCGCGATGCACACACGACGTGCCTAGCCCCGGATGACCCCGGACGGCTCTAGGGCGTAACCTAGTGCGCGCACGTGCAGCATACACCCTCGGGATCCCCCACGGGGACACCTGGGTGACTGTGGCTGTATGCGGGGTGACGTGGCGGACCTCATGTGACCCAAGCCGCATGTATATAAACACACCTGGGGTGGGAACCGAAGAAGTAACCTTCTTCTCAACATTCCCACTTCAGGTAAGTAGCATAGTTCCCCTTTTAATAATAACTCAACATTCCCACTTCAGTCTAAGTGGCCAGGGATCGCTGTCCCACATCGGGGCTGCCAGTATGCACGCCCGATCCACCCCCCGTGAGGTCCTTAGCACCGGACGCTACGCCCAGACCGCCTTGACCCCGGACGCGACCCTGACAGTATTCAATCCCCCTCTCAGCGACAATATCGATGACATGAGGGACCAGTATGTTGAAGAACAAGTCAAGCTACATGATGAAGGAGTCAAAGATTATGTGATGGTCGCGGAAGGAGGGTATTGGATGCAAATCCTGTTGGAGGAACCGTGTGCTATGGGAGGCCGGACGAGTTTTCGTACAGCCACATTCCCACATCCAAGCGAGGAACTCGCCCGGACAGCCACATTCCCGCGGTAGCGTGACTACTTGGTCACAACAACTTTTCTTCTTACTTATTTTGGTCACTTCGGACCTATCTGCGAAGTCCACAAACTATATTCATTCATTTGGATTAGTTTCCTTTTTCCCTCAGTTCTCGTGCATTAGCTTGAGACTGAGGTTAGTTACAACATTCTTTTACTCTGATTTCTTATACATTGTAACTCATTGTATATTACCTTATAGCTTTAGCATTAGGTAATATTATAGTTCTCGCGCATTAGCTTGAGACTGAGCTTTAGCATTAGAGCAAGCGGTTATTCCATTAAATCCCACCGACTCGAGGTGACTTCTTCAATCCACTCACTGACAATGCAAGTCTTTATATGAACAATGAGGAGTGGTGGTGAACCATGTCATAATCTCATACATGCATATATATATATTCGCGGCCATACTACAATGTGAACATGGAAACAAATTCAAAAATATCCCAATGCACAATACCATCCTTGTGCCTGTGAACTGCTAACCTGAGAACATGCATCATAAATGAAGGACAGGGGAGTTGCATGATGGACAGCATGGTCATAGTGACAGCGCATCCAGCTCTTGATGAATGAAAATGACAGCTCAATTGGATTGAAGTTGGGCGAGTATGGCAGCAAATACAACAAACGGCCACCTGAAATATGTTGAATCAAAGAGAACAGAGAAAAAAGGACATATCACACCTGCTTCAACCTCAATAAGCAAACGGACCTCATTGCTGTGGTGGATAGAACAATTGTCTAAGAGGAGGACACTCCATGGTCCAGGATATGGCCGCATGATTGGCACCTAATTACTCTAATGCATCAGTGGGCAGCGACAAAAACAATGGCCAAACTGACAACATGCTCACATAGAAACCCAATAAACCTTTCTCCAGTGATTGGACCCTCGAAAACCTCACATGCAAGATATCCACCAATGCCCATCATGGGAAGAATTGAGTAGCAAGTCCCTCGGATGAATTGTGCACGGACAGGACAATGCTTCCCAAGGCGAGCATATCCCCACCAGCGTGAAATAGTCCGTTCATCCTTTGAACTTTCATCAGTACAGATGAGCATGTCCAAATTGTGGACAAGCTCTGTGAAGTGGCACTTGAAAGCAGCATGGACAAGCTCATTTCGCTCAATTGCAACCTGGGTCACCTGCTTACATGTGAAAAGCAGAGAGTCAAGTGCCCACTTGAGGGTGGCTGCACCAACATCAAGGCCAAATTCTGTGCAAACACGAACTCGGAGCTCATTCAAGTGTAGTGTCCCATCATTGTCAAGATAGTTCTCAATGAAGGTAATGGCATCCCCTGGGAGAGCATGCGGCCGTCCGAGTGTTCCAAGCTTGGGTGGCCAAATGCTGTTGGTAGCCCTCCATCGCTTCAGAATCCTGTAGACCAGGCATTTGCTCACGGAAAGGGTACGACTGATCTGGGTGGCATCTAGCCCATCAAGCCAGAGAAATGGAATGCGTAGCTTGAGGTCATCACTGAGAGTTTTTATGTAGGGCATGGTGGTAAGATGTGTGGGGTGTTGGATGTTGTCTATGTTCAGTCCAGTTCACACTAGCGCAGCCGGGCGAGTTTTCATACAGCTGAGCGAGGAACTCGCCCGGACAGCCACCTATTACATTCATTTCGGACTATTCCGCTCCCATCACGAAAGCTATATTGTCATATATTGACGGGAAGCACAAGCGCTTCCTCTTTAGAGACTTGATATCATTGGTACGTAATTTACTGCACTAACTACTTTGGGTTGAACAGGGTCTTCTCTCATTCACCTTTTCTCCATTATTTCGGAATCCGCTGTAATAGAGCGTTTGGGAATTCTTCTGCGACACCTATGAACAATCCAAAGGATGATTTGACTTTACTGCGGTTTTGAGGGAATCTGTCAATATCCAAGTGAATGGGGTATCAATATGTTTGTCAGAAATCAGCGCAAAAATGATCAAATTTCGGGGATTTTTTATTTTCAATACAGTTAGGTTTGTATTGCAATATAGTACGTTAGCGCTGCACTGCCATTCTCTGTTCCCCGTTGATGATGAATATGCCGCCCTCATTGATGATGACTGCAGCACTAAACATACTGCTTGGCTCTCCTCCACGCATCATCTCATGACCAAACACACCTCTCCAGAGATGAAGCGCCTCATTGTCCTGATGTCCCAAACCCTCTCTACCAAAGAGGTTGCACAGGCTGCCCAACTCAGTGAGCGCACGGTTCACCGGGTTATCTCAGCTCATAGGCAAGGAATTCCTTTTGAGAAAGCTGGCAACCATGGGGGTACTCGCAAACTCAACAACTGGGATTTGGATGTGAGCACGATAAATCACAGCCATCTGTTGATTTCGCTGAATCTCCCAAATAGCTGATACAAGGTCATCTCGAGCTCAAGCCAGATCTATATCTCCATGAACTACAACGTATATTAGAGAGATACAATCGTGTCTCTGTATGCCAGAGTACGATCTGGACCGGCCTGAAGCAGCAAGGTTTTACATACAAAAAGGTGGATATTTTCACATTTTATTCAACATTCCGAAGAATTTATTCCTTATGATAGTTGCAAAAGCCGGCTTTTGAACGCAATGAAGAACTCCGCGCTGCATTTAGGCAGTATATGGGTCGGCACTATCAAGCAGATCAGCTTGTTTTTGTCGATGAAACTGGTTGCAATTGTAACACTTCTTCACGCTCACATGGCTGGGCACCATCTGGTGATCGAGCGCATCGCCGGGACTTCTTTGTCCGAGGCACTAAGTATGTAACATGTGCCAAATCTGTGCTTCAATCCTAACATCCCTTTCTCAGGTACTCTATACTCCCCGCTCTCAGTGTTGAAGGAGTACTCCACGCAAATATTCAGGAGGGAGCATACACAACAGCCACATTCAACGACTTCATCCGTTCTATTTTCCCACGCATGAACCCGTTCCCTCTCCCTCGGTCTGTTCTGATTATGGACAACGCGTCGATCCACAAGTCTGATGAGCTCGAGCAAATGTGTGCTGACCGGTATGAGTGCACCACAATCACCAAACTCGCTCTCACTTGATATTGTAGAGGCATTCATCTCATCTTTCTCCCTCCCTACTCCCCCGACTTGAACCCAATTGAAGAAGCTTTTTCTACAATCAAACACTGGCTTCGTCTCAATAGGAACCGCGTTGACATTGTCTTGTCTGGGAGGGATATGAATGCTGCCAAAGTTTTACTCTTTGAAGCGGTATACTCAGTGACTGAAGTCTCAACACGCGGCTGGTTTAGCCATTCAGGCTATTTGGCTTAGATGATGTACATAACTGTTAGAATAATATGCTATTTTCTGTCCTATAACACGGCGACTTGGTGACTTTTTTGACGGTAAATACATGCTGCGCGTGTGCACACTTGTCCTCTAACATTTTGTGTACTCTATGTCAAAACCATCAGCAGAACTGTCACTGCAAAGGTTGAAAATAACGGGATCCTTCTTCTTGGAAGGTCCTGGGATGGGGGAAGATGAAAGATCAACGAAGTCAGTTCCGACTTTGGATGAACGGCGACGGAGAAATACTGGTGTTATTGGGTCAGAAGAAAGGATGATGGTTTCTTTTTCGGGCTCTTGTTTGGCTGGTATCACATCAACCTTGACCTTCTTTGCTGGAGGGCTTGTGACTTTTTTGGATTTAGTAGGGGTTTTTGGTGGACTGGTGTCGTGTGAACGCTTCTTAGATTCTTGATGCTGCTTCTCATTGACAGCCTTGGTCTGTTTTCTCAGAGCTGCCACATCAAACCAGTGATGGGCTGGGGGGTTGTGGAGATCAACTCCGGGGATGTGGTCAGTCTGCAATAACCATAAGCTCAATGCCAGTGTGATTACAGTGAATTATACATACCCACTGTTGCGCCCATAAGGACAGCATCGCATTACTAAGGTGAAGGTGTTTTCCCCTTGCGTGTGTATGTGGCCAACAGTAACTACGACATCTATGACACTCCCATTGTTTTTCGAGCATGGTGTATTTTTCAGAAGCTGGGTTGGACAAGATTGTGTCATTTAGAGTATTAGACCGACGACTTTTCCCACGTTTCCCAAGGTCTTCAGCTTTGGGTACCGGTTTCTGGTGGGTTTGTGTATTGAGAATAAGCGCCACATCATGTAGGTATGGTTTCCAGGACTTACAATATTGATAATGTATAATTTTTTACTTGTTCGGGCTCGAGACATGCATTCGCGAAGTTCACGCAGTGCCTTTTCCATCTGCTCTACAGTCTTGAGTTGGATTGGAGTATCACATCACCGCTTTCCATCAAAGGTTGGAAGATAGCCAATTTTGTGCTTGGTAACATCGGCATCCATCCCTTCTTCAATCTTGCAGAGTGCAAATGATGCAGAGTAGTCGATGGGGAGATAGAAACTCGCTTCTGTTGTTGCCTTGTCAGGATTTAGTGTATTACATTGGTAGCAGATTTCAAGTAATTCTGTGCAAGTTATTGAGTGAAGTTCATGAGCAAAAGAACCACATACTTTCTCCTCTTCCGTCAGATTGAGATTTCGATGGCAACTTCATGTCGGGTGCTGGAGCAAGCGTGGCAATAGGGGGAGAGCCTCCTGAAGGAGTAGTAGATTGTTGAGGGAGGAAGAGGGACGGTTGGCTAGGAAAGGGAAGAAGGGGGTACATGATTGGGTATGCAGTGTACAGGTGTTGAGTCGGGGATTGTGTTGTCACAGCTTGTATGGAATGGGGGGAAGTGGTCACTGGTTGTCCATGGTGTTTACACTCTTGTTCGGCTTTCTGCTTCCGCAAAATAAATGTTTCACATTGGACGCGCGTCGGATCATCAAGCTGGAGTGCTTCCCCTGAATGTAAAGTCAGCATTTCTCGAACTACGTGAATCAGAATTCCTACAATTCAGTGGGAATGGGATGGCCCAGCTTGAGGGAGACAAGTCATGAGCTGAGGGATCAAGAGCGTCGAGGACTCTATCGGAGTTATCTGGCAAGAAGAGCGCATCACCCCTTGTGAAATACTGCTGGAAAGCCTGCAGCGGGGTTTTGGGCAGTGGGCGTGGAGCTAACCCCAATATGTGATCGTCATTCCAGCGCGGGCGCTTGTCTTTATTCTGTACATAATAGTTGAGATCAAACATAGCGTTGAGAATGTGAGGCTGCGTTCAGAGAGCGGATCTGGCTACTCAACAACTCTGCCTCCACTAGGGCCTGTATTTATTCTTTAGCTTGACATCGTACCACTACATATGTCTCTGTGAGGGTCCTGCCGTTGAGCTTTCTAGAAGACAGCAGAGACATGCTGGCGTTATTGTCTCATGATGGCTCTCGCACTTTGACATTGGGCGCATCATCAAAATATTAGAAATAATTCATGAAAGAGGGAAACTAAATAGCCTCACACAGTCTGATCATGGCCGATGTCAAGACTGAGATTGACAGCTGAGTCTTAGCAATGTAATCATCATCAACGGGGAACAGAGAATGGCAGTGCAGCGCTAACGTACTATATTGCAATACAAACCTAACTGTATTGAAAATAAAAAATCCCCGAAATTTGATCATTTTTGAGCTGATTTCTGACAAACATATTGATACCCCATTCACTTGGAAATTGACAGATTCCCTCAAAACGCAGTAAGAGATCCTGGGTAATTTGATCTCCTCCCCCCCTTCACTAGTACCACAACTCCACCTGTACAGTGCAGACCCTCACTACCCCGCATTTGAGGCGAGATCTGTGAGATTCTTCCAAATAACACCAGGTCTAGCGTAGTGGGGAATCCTAGGCATTGATGCTATAGACAACAATAACAAGTCTATCAAGAGAAAGGCACCGTACAAATAGAACAACACTGCATGACTGACTTCGCAACAGCAGAGGGAGCGGCTGATTTTGAGACTAAGTAGGATTGAAAGCGGAAACTCGGAGGCGATCAATCTATCCACGCGGAGCCCGCTCAATACCCTGAATCGGCTCATCGTAGATGAACTTTGAGTCGGACGTAGGATTAGGCTGCCTATTACGACCTACGCCACCACCTCGGAGCTCAGTCTGAGCCTTCGTTATGGCAATTTGACGATCATCAGCATTGACGGTTCCGAAGATGATATCCATCTCTTCGAGGGAGCGGCCTTTGGTCTCTGGAATCAAAAGGGAAAAGACTGCCATCCCCCCAATATTGATGGTTGCAAAGGTGATGAACATCTTGTACCCAAGGTGAGTCTTAATTGTCGGAGTGATTTTCGTAATGACAAAGTCTAAGTAATCAATGGAGAAACATCCGGTCATCGAAGGCATGTCGTTAGAACATGTACGCACTGAACAGCCATTGCGAACATGAGGCAAGAGCCAACCCATAGTGACGCGTCCGGGTAGGGAAGATGTCGGCAACATAAATCCATGGAATTGGGCCCCATCCGAACGAATAGAACGCTACATAAATGTAGAGCAATCCGGCCATAGCCTTGCTCGCCCCTGCAGGACTATTCGCACTTGGGTCCGGTGGGTGCGTTTTGAGGATGGCGCCAATGATGTAGAACACTGTCCCCATACCGATAGAGGAGACGAATAAAGGCCATTTACGCCCGCCAACATCGACGAGAAAGAAAACAAACACCGCGGTAGCAACAACCTTGACGATGCCATAGACACCAGAAGCAAGGAGCGACGCGCCTGTCTTGGAGTAACCGATGCTCTGGAATATGAGCGGCGCGTAATACCCTACCGAGTTTTGACCAGAGAATTGCTTGAAACACAACACTTCAGTTTCTCTTTTCAATAATAGGAAGAATGGCCCTACTTACCTGTAACATGAAAATGACTAAGGCAATAATAAATCGAATCCTGTTTCCTGGAGCAAAGAAAGCCCCTTTCCATCCAAGACCAGCTCGCGCCTCTCGCTCCTCTCTCACAGCGGCTTCGATCTCTGCGAGCTCAGCGACAACCGAGGGATGGTCGGCAGGGAGGCGACGCAGGTGAGCGAGGTTGTTGAGAGCTTCAGTCTCACGACCCCAAGTTATAAGCCAACGAGGGGATTCAGTTGCAAATAACAGACTGTGCAAATCATCAGCGACCCTGCCATCGATGGACTCCGTAGACAATACCCGATCGCCATAAGTCCGGCAGGTATGAGTTGAACACCGAACGGAATGCGCCAAATTCGGGGCCCCGGGCGCTGATGCTGTTGAACACCATCTATGACATTGCGTTGTATCAACTTACGCATTACTCACGGAAAGCAGCCCCTGACGATTACCCACAGTTGGTCCAGTAGCTCAACATGACGCCCGTAGCGACAAAAATCTGAAATAATCCAGTGATCCGTCCGCGGACTTCCTTAGGTGAACATTCAGAGACGTAGGCCGGAGCCACAGCTGAGATGGCCCCAATGCCGACACCGGAAATAACGCGACCTAAGAGACATCAGGATAAACGGTTTTTTTCATAGTTAAACATTTGCACTCACCCACGTATATTTCGTTCAACCCCGTTTGGCCTGGTCCTGCGACCGTCGTCAAGATTGCCCCTACACAAAAGATAGCATCTGACACAAGTAAGGTGAGTTTGCGGCCAAAACGAGCTTTTCATTGCAAGTCCACCATTCGTAGACGGGAGATTGTGTTAACGACTGTATATGAGGGAGTGAAGTGCACTTACCCGTCGCGGGAATGCTGAAGAGAGCACCAAAAAAAGCACCACCCTGAAGGACGGCGACGACGTTTGAACTGACTGCATCCTACCAAATTTGATATGCCCAAATTGAATCGGCCGTCATTTCGCCAAGAGAATTGTGGTGAATGAATTGCGGCGGGTCCGTGAGAATTTCCGAGGATGGAAAAGATGCAGCGCAGGAAAGACGCGAAGCATCGACCAAGCACCCAGAACGCTGTCAGATGCGTGTGAGAACATGTAAAGGAGGGGCACACCTTGTGGGCTTGACTAGCACCAGTCAGACCAAAATTGTCGGAAAATGCTTTTTGGGACACGATCCCTCCAGCGACGCCTAGATGAGAGTTCCAAGTATATGAGGCACGTCCAGGATTGCACTCTGAAACTGGCTTGCGCACCGGTATCATATCTATGAGCCCGGAAAACGATGACCTAGGTTAAACACACTCTATCGAGCGGAATGGAGGCTCACAGGGCTCACCCAAAGAGAATGATACCCAAGTAGGCGGCCGCAGCCAGTTGGTACACGTGGAGGTTCTGGAACAGCAAATTACCACCCATGACTTTCATTCTGTCAAGCACGAACGAGAGCCATGGAACGATTCAGCATGTCTCCTTTTCACGATTGGAACTGCTTCTCGTTCTCACCTACTCTCGAGCTCGGGGAAGGGAGGGGAGAGGGGACGCGTCCCTTATGAGTTCTTTCCTACTTTGCATCCGGTGTGCGGTGATTGACCATCATGCGGCGAGGTCGCCAATACCACTACTGCCCCATGTCCGTTCGTGCAGAAATATTATACGTTCTTACCTACTGTGAGTAGAGTTTCGCAAACCTACATGGCCGATCAAGTATCAGATTCAATTCCGGAGCACGAATGCCAGTCGCGTCAAGCGATTGCGCGTTGGCGGTTATTGAGAAGCACAACAAACATTCTTCTACAGAAGTTCGTTTATATTACTACTCCCAGAAAGGAAGGGAACAAATCCAACGGAATCCCAGTCCGCTTTGCGATCACTTATCCAACTCTCCTTGGACAAGAATGAGATGAGAGCCCTTGGATCCGAGTTATAGCATGGCCAGTATGTAGAGCCGGTTTACGCTAGCGTGTTACGCTCTGCATGCAGTATCAAATGTTGTTGAACTCAATTGAACAAACTGCGCATCAGTCATACATATAGAGACCAACACGAAAGAGAAAAAGTCTCACCTCAGTATCGAACGTTGTTGAACTGAGGGAAACGTAAACCAATAATTTCCTCTGCTTTTATAAGCAGTTGCCTCAACGGCCCACTGGCTTTGGTACCAAGAAAGGAAACTTAAATAAAGTTCAATCTCGCGTTCTCACCACAGCGTACAACAGCTAAGCTACTTGATACACGCGACGCGAGATGTGCACTATGATTTTTAAAGTCCACGACACGGGCACGGTGATGCGCACCCGATGTCGCATGTGGCATCCCCCAAGCCACAATGCACACGAAGCTCGTGAAGTGTCTGCACTAGAATTGGCTCCACACGCCGATCCGAATGGAAGATCACAACGATTCGTTATTTTTCCCCAAACGCCTTTCTACTCGATCTCCTGCCTCCTCTTTGCATCTCTGATTCTACACAATCTAATACACATACATAGGACCCCGAGGGTCCCGCAGGCAATGTGTGGGGTCCAGAAATGCACGTAGAACCTGCATAGCACAGCAGAATGGCCAATTCTGGTACCAGCTTGATATTGGGTATATCTCTTGTGATGGTGATGGTTATGTGCATGTACTTGCTGCCAGCTTCTTCTGAAAGTATGCTTATGGTCCAGTCGTTATGCCGACGAGCACTACAGATATCTTGGTCCATACAGCAAAGAGTATTCGTTACAGACTTGGGATGTGGGATGGTTCCTTTAGGTTGGCTGACAGCAACGAGAGACGACGTCGAACCCGTATTTCTTTCGTCACCACCGATCCGTTTGATGTACAGACGTACGCCTGCTCCATACTCGGCTTTGGCATCCGCCAGAGTTCATTAACTATCTACGGGAGCGGGCGCCGATAGGTCAATTGGATCAGTGGCATCGAAACCGTAACGCTTCGAGTTCAGCCGGCGTAATTCGGTCATTACTGATGGCCACTCTATCCATCGCTTGACCTAGCCCTTCCCGGTGCGGTCCGCACCCCAGATTCGTCCCTGCGCGAAAGCATTTCCTTCCACCGCAGTCCCACCTAGGAGGTGAGAGATAAATTGGTTTTCAGGTCTCGATCTCGATCTGGTGTCAAAATGCATCCAAAACTGCTTAGTTAAGATGAGGAGCGAAGCACGATACGAGAGTTACTCAACGCACAAAACACACTGATGTCGCAGTATCCCTACCAACCTTTGTCCGATTCATCTCTCAAATGCATCGGTTTTGGGTTCAACCCTCTTTTCCTCCTCTTCGCACCATGAAACGACGGGTTTGATTAATATAGTGGACTATTCATCTTTACGGGTCCCCATTTTTGCTACTAATCGTACCAAATCCCAACCAACTTGAAATTCTCACAGCTACACATTTTATTTACCACCAGCAAAATCCCCCTGCTGCCGACGTTGGCCTTTGCTTATTGGGGCTGTCTTGTCAATCTTTAGGCGTCGAACAACAATCAGGCAGTTGGAGCTCCTATTTCGGTACACACGTGCAACCCACGCTTCACACTTGTTACTGTGCTGTAATGACCAATAACTGGCTGGGTATGGAGGGTGACAAAAATTTATCCTAGAGATCCAACTGGAAAGACTGAAACTTGCTCTTGGCTTTGCATCTGGCATGCGAGTATTGTGAAAAATTCCAATAACTGGCGGACGCCGCCCAGTACTCCGGTCATTTCACACCTCCGGTCGCCTCCGGTCGCTTGCTGCCCTGCGGCAGCCTTGGCGCGGCCATGACAAAGCCAGCGTCCCAGCCAGATCCCGAACACACTCTAACCGATAGCTTCGTCCCTCTTTCGTGCCATCGAGTGAGTTGGTCCCCGGCTTCCCTACGATTCCCCGAGGTTCAGCGCGTAGTAATTGATGGATGTGATCAGATCACGAGGCCGGGGGGTATCAAGAGAGTCCACTCGAACAATAGGTCCGACGCAAGTGACTACATTGTTTTCTCGTTCGTTTTACTTCAACGTTGCGCCACTCGGCCCGAAGGCGGACATCGTCTGCTGCCAAGCCTGATTTAATGCATCCCATTGGTTCTGTTTGCGAAGGCGGAGAGTGCAGGTACAGTTCTCTGACGGTACTGATAACCGTTCCAGGTTGACCAGTCGATGAAGGTCGAAGTCTTCTTCAATTGGGTCATGTCTACGCGAAGATTATGGTATGGAGCAGCCTCAAGGGAGCCTAGCGCCGAAAAACTGCATGCCCAAGAGACTGGAGGGTGAGGACCCAAACGGGGGCGCCACAGCTGTCCCAAACATCAAGCAAATTAATTGCCCACGGGTTCTATAGTGAATGCTGACTGTTGAGAGTTGGTCACATCATCCCACAAGGATCGATGTGCTTGCTGATGGAAGAGGTTGGGACTGCGGTCCTCGGATCTCATAAGTCCTGAAGCAATCAATTGGCCGACCCTGTGGGGAAACGTCCTTATCAGGGGTAATTCCTTGCCGCATCCTCTCGATATGAGGGAAGCGCAGAGAATCGAGTGACAGCTCGTTGGGAAGAGTCGTGCATTGCCATACCTTCTCTCCCAGGTTACCAGGCAAAACAAGATCAGAGAATCGTGACGGTGACACAGCCTGCGCAACTGCATCAAATATATCCACCAATTGAACTTCCTCGCGCCCACGCACCTAAGAAGGGAATGAGCTAATTAGGTAAAAAGTTTTGGTCCGTAACGAATCAGACTGTCCGTGGTGGGCCGTTTGTTCGACAATAGACCTCGCCGCGTGGAGGGCTAATGGGAATTGATTATGAAGATTGCCACAATACATCTACATATCATACTAGCGACTTCGACGGTCCTCATGTATCCAACAGCCGCACCACTAAATACGCAGGTGGGCACCATACTCAGACTGCATGTCAAGAACGGCAGGATTGACGGACGCGGGGACTAAAAGCAGTGCCCCTCCATTCATCTCAGAGAGGGCAAAAACTGGCTCTCCGGCTGGCGATGGGACTGTCGGGTGCATGTAAACAATTCCAATCTCCCCCAAGTCTTGGAAACGGTGCGAGGGAAGTGCCTCTGTATCAGGCAAAGAAAGGTATGTTGGGGGTTCATAAGATGGCCGGGACCCCCGCCACATCACTCTGCGGTTGGATGCAATGCTTCTCTTTAGGTATTCCTTGTAGAGTTTGAGTTTCTCCTTGTTCTATTAGAGGCACTGTCCCTTTATCACCCACGAAGAGATGGAAGTCACCGACAAACCTTTGCCCACATTGGCAGTTTAGAGTTGAAACCCTCGCAGTGAAGCCCGAGTCTTTTGCATTCCTGGCAGCTCCCAAGATGGTCAGGATTTAAAGGACACTTCTTTGTAAACCAGCAAAGGTGTCAGTCTTCATCCCACTATCTGGAATCATGCCTGCTGGAGATGGCATTAACTGACTCGCCTTCTTTCGAATCCGGCAAGGCAAACACCCTTGGTTTGTTTTATTGCGAGGACGAGGAGGACTGGTCATATCAGGGGCCCCTAACAGCATTAGGGGATGGTCCAGGAGAAATCATCCGTTTTATAGCGCTCAAGTTTGGGTCGTCCGAGTCTGGCTGGGCCCGAGTGCCGTAACGTTGGAGATCAACGCATCTCGGAAATCACCACAAATTGACTCAGTAACCGCTCGAAGGCTCGTGGCTCAACTCATCTTTCAAACGGGTTTTGCGTTAGGACCAACTGATCCAATAACATTGGAGGGTCTGACACATAGTGATGTCAAAACGTGTTTGCTCGCACTCGGCAATCAACACGATCCTCCAGGGGTATTGTATGGGACCCTACAATAGGTCAAGGGTCCTCCACATCAATGAACGAAAGTGGACGTTTGAAGATTCTCCTTAATCTGACTTTCAAATTCGTTGGAGCTTCCATTGTTTTACCTTGCAAACAATTGCTTCACGACTAGGACTTCAATGTAGAGCTGCACCAAGAAACCAACCATACACTCTTCTCAATGCCATTGAATTATGCGGCGTAATAGATGTTGCGTCGACCCCCCTCGCGCGCGGGGGCATGGTTAGCATAGCACACTACTTAATTGAGGAATACTGTGCATTATGGGCAGCGACCCCAGATTGTAGAAATGCATGGGTGTGTAATGTCGCCATCAGACGGTTCATTATTTCTCGAGGGATTCAATGGCTTTCGATCCGAAGGTTGCTAGGAGCGTGCTCTAACGCTTCCGGGCGCACATCTGCCTTTCTTGCTGCAAGGTAAAGTAGGCTGTTCAATGAACGCGGTTGTTCCACCTCTCACAGCACGCGGTAGTCAAAGCCAAGGGCAGACTTCTCCAGAACTCTGAGGGTGACAAGGCACCCCCTCGCGCATTTGCAAGATTAACCCCGTATCAGTCAGCGACAACAGGGACACATGTTGTGAACAGCTACCATATTGTTACAGCCACCTCCAGTGCAAGAGTGAACCCAGTGTTCAGGACCCTGGCCAATCATTAAGGCCGTAAGGCCGAAAAGCGTGTCAGACCCAGTGCAGCCGATCCGAGCGGTTTTATATTGAGGCCACACAGGATTATTGATCCGACGAGCACCCGGACATCAGCAAGTCCTGGCTTCGTTGCAACCCTGAATCAAATTGGACCGACCGCCCACATTAGCCAAGGCCACGAGTGCGTAATGCACTTCCCCGCTTGTGCAGTCCCCAACAGTTTGGCCGACTCCAAGCCCGGGAAAGATATCCCCTCCCAAAGACCAGCCCCACGGAAGCACATCGGAATAAGTTGGGGGTAGGACCCACCAAAGAAGAAAAGACGGACCGAGCGCTGGCGATATGAGTCATCGCTGCTTGAGAAGCAGACCAGACTCAGACTAAATTACTCATCCGACCGGAGACGAGGTGCCGGAGTCAAGTAAGATGGCAACGCTCCAGAAAATAACGATCACAGACATCGCGCTGGATGTCAGTAAATGTAGAGGCATAGGAGTATCTCCCACATCAGAGATTACGAAGTGCAAGGTATTTCTTCCGATCACAGACGAAGTTGGACAGTGACCAAGAGTGCGGTTATTAAGGCAAGGGAGAAGGGTTTCATTTTTGCCTCAACAACAGCCCAAGCAAAATAACCCAAGACATAAGCAGTTTTCAAATGCCATAATAAGTGCCGCCAACGCTCAAGCTAACCCACACCAATCTCTATATAGAAGGCTGACCAAAGGGTTATGCCAGATTCTCCTGTGTGAGGGGCGCCGGGCCCACAGGAACGAATCCTGAGGCAAAACGTTTTCGATGATTTTGCTCGAAGAACGTTGCCATACCATCGCGTTCGATATGGACGGGGAGTCACCTGCTAGTCACCTGCTGCGTGCAGGACACATGTGCGTTTATTGTTAAGCAGGACTTTGGCTATTACTACAGAGGCTGGTCACCTGCCTAACTTTGGTCTCCGTTGGGAAAAATCAAGCGCCGAAATTCCACAAGACCGGACATTGTGCGGCCAATCATTGAAATACCTGATGGGCCGGTTGGTGGCACCGCGAAATGGTCCATACAATTGGGCAGAGCAGAGAAACAGTGGCAGCAGAAGCGATGTGAGGCTTCTTCGCGATTGCTGAGGGTGATATCCACGGTGCAAGTCGCCGCTATACGTAGTAACTGGGCCTCGGTGAGAAGGTCGGAGGTCTCCCAAGGCATGCCGCACGATCCTAGCCAGGGAGTGTGACCAGCCTCCAAATTCTGGCCTTGTTTCCTTCGACCGTTAGCCACATCTTTAGGGGGTGGCTATATCAGTGGCAACAGTGGAAATTCCGGGGGAATTGTGTAGACAATGCAGAGAGGACGGATAGATGTATATGTAAAGGGTGTAGTGTAGAATGAGGCTCATCGGGGGGTAAATTTCAGACCGAATTTCAACTATGGCTGCTATCAAGCCTCCTGGTGGGTCCTGAAGCACCATTACATTGTAGTCTTTATGCCGCACACCCCGGACAAGCCCGGATCAGCTTGTTACTGTCAAAAATGGAGACTCATGATGCTGTCGACTGGATAACCAGCTTTAGGATCAATGTGATTGATTGTGAGTGCCAGTGACTGATGAGTCCATTTGTCGCTCAACCACCATCAAGCCACACGTACTTTCATGATGTGACTTGTTCAACAGACGAATCTCGCTAAGAGGACTTCCGAAGACCGACGTTTTAGCGAGTACTTACCCGTCAGAGAGATGTCCGGAGTTCTCTCGAGATGTATGGATTAAGAGCACAGGCCGAGTTCGATTGAAGAGACACATGGTACGGTTCGCAATTTCAAGAGAGTGAAATGGCAGTGTCAGCCACTCTTTTACATGGCAGATATACAGCAAGTGTGTCGCCACAAATAATCCGCACGCTGTTACACGCCCTTGGGGCTCCAAAAAGCAGCCCCCAGTCAGCGGGTCAGAACGTCCAGAATCAATCAATCGGTTCATATGTTTATATCAAAACCAGAATGCAAAGTTTGATGGAAAAAGGAAGGTGACAGAGCGGAGACGAAGTTTATAAAAGAGACTGCGCCCAAACTTGAATTAACCCAAATATTCTCCACCGGCATGGATCTTCAAGTTAGCGAGCGGGACGCCTCTAAGCGAAATAATAATGAGCGTATTGGGCGTTCTGTTGAGCGTTCCATGCGTTCATATTGACCGCCACGTCGCTGTGTCCCGCCGGACTCGAGGTTGAAAATGCGCTGCTCGCTTCCCAAAGGTACACGGTGGAGGTAGCGGCCGGCGTGGGAATTTCTATAGTCCCAGGACAAGGATGGCCCATGAGATTTTGAGGGTTCCAGGGCGCGGGAATGTCTCCTACGGATAACCCGGCATGGTTAGGTGGCTCGCCGCTGGGATGTGACCTCCCCAAGTCCGTCCGAAGCGCAGTCCAGCGAGTGGACTTGGATGCAATCTTTCCTCTTAGCATTTCTTTGTACTGCTTCAGTTGCTCCGGATTCTGTAAAGCGTAGTCGTAAGCACATATGACAGCTGGGAAGCAAAATACAAACCTTTGTCCATGAAGGAAATCTGGAGTCAAAGCCTTCACATTTAATTCCAAATTTTGTACATTCTTTGCAACTTCCAAGGAGATCGGGATCGAGGGGGCATTTCTTCATGAAAAGACAAACACCTCAGAGACCACGCCGTGCAGCGCGACCGGGGAAGGAAGAGACGTTATGCAGGTTTACTCACCTTCCTTCGAATGCGACAGGGGATACAACCTTGGTAGGTCTGATTACGAGGACGATGGTCGGAACTGGTCATGCCGGCTTTCTGGACAAGGGCTTCAGTCATAGTTGGGAGACACCGTGTCAGTGGGTTTATATCGATAGCCACGCCGCTCCGTAGTTCAAAAACCTATTTCGTGTAGCGCGAGGTAAGGCTATGCGTTGTGTGGGCAGCCAATACAAGCAGGAATAACTTTTCGACTTGTCAGACATGCGAGACCGTAACCAAACCGGGAGAGGTCCAATCTCATTTATGAGTAGTACTGCTAAATAACGGCTGAGGCGTTCCTCGAGCATAAGGTTGAGCCCCTTCAGCAATCTGGATGTGGGATCCAGAATATTCTCAAACTACCACCTCAGCGTTTGAGGAGTTCTTGAGTTTCCGCTTCGGCGCTCGGGTAGGCGCCCTTCGTCGCCATGCAGGCGTGAGCTTCCAAAAACATACATGCTGTACAGCGGCGTGTAAGTTCTATCTCCCTCGATTCATGTTGCAGTCTTCTCGCATATGTATGAAAGAGCTGGGATTTGCCAATATGACGGCGCCCAAATCTTCGGAAACTGCTTTACGTCCTAGAATGTATAGAAGAGAGCTCATGAATTGGAATCAGAGGCAATCCGGTGTTCATCAGCCCGGTAGGCGCATCCAGCAACGATAATCAGCTGACACGGCCACGGCCATCAGCGCCGCCACCCTTTCTCAAAAGGATCCCAAAGAGCCTGGGAATGGCGATCGGTATAACGTGGCCCGTGGGATTGGAGCAAGGTCATATCTTCAATGGGCGCCCCACATCACAGCCATATTCAGCACACGTGTGGAACTAAGATGCTTTGCGAGCATTCCGTAAAATAAAAGTATTGTTTCGAGAGTGAGAACATAAGAAGTGAGAAAATCACTACCAGATAGGCAGATCGGGTGTCCGTTGCTCGTGGCGTTATGGCCGCTGTCAATCAAGAACGATCCCGGGAAAAGACGAAGAGAAAAGAAGCACCTAAACAACGGTTTGTCTCGGCAAAACCATAGTCGAGATGATTAGCGCGCGCCCGCATGGTGCGTCATTCAATCGATTTGGCGCTAACCCCTTCTTCGGGAGGGTGCCGTCTACGCCACTCGTCAACCCCTCTTTTGAACGTTGCGTGGTCCATTCCCCGCTCAACCAGGATAAAAGTTACACCTAAGAAAGAAACAATGCGATGATATGGTTGTATGGATGTCAACAGCGAAAGTATATCCCTCCCGTCATGGTCAGTTCGGCTGAGAAGTTGAGAAGAACACATACCAAGTTCTTCGACTTCTTTGTTCCGATATTCGTCGTCAAAGAAGAGCTAGGAAATGATACCAAATGAATGGGAGAAGGAAGGTTGACGAGCATCTCGAATTCGCACCATATCTTGATACGCTATCCCTGTATTGGCGTGTAATTGGTTGAAGTGACGAGTCTTCGAGCCTGTGAAATCCGGTGGGGAGGATGACGATGGAGGCACAAGCGAATGAGGCGTAAGGAGATGGGAGCAGGTATGGAAGGATAACTTGGATCAAGAGAAATCACCTGGGTAGATCTCTCTTTGATCGAAAAATGCAATCGCTGGTCGGGCAGGGCTATCTGGCTGTGCCTTCGGTGGTGGCAGCAGGAGTTTTGAAATAGTATCATGTGCGCTATGGTAAATAGATCTCAGTCAAGGTAAATCACAAGCGTGTTCCGAGGGAACACCTCACAGATCGACGGCAGACGTCCGCGAGCAAAGCGCCACACTTATCGAAAGCTCCTGTAGCGCGTATAGTATCTCGGGGACATCGAGATAGAACGATATAGGTGATTTGTACCTTGTTTAGAGAATGACACAGGCACCTGTGTCGGTGTTTGGGAGAATGACATACCTGTCGTAAACGAGATTGAGCTTGTCGCCAGAGGGACTTATTGGGCCTGCGAGTAAATAAGCATGATGCCAATGCACTGGTACGGAAGGCTACATCGGCCTCAACATGCCGTCGAATTGATCGATATAAAGGCCCCATAGGGTGAAGCTGGACGAGTCATTTGATCAACGATGATGAACAGTACGAGGATGACCGAAGAGAAGTACACACTCTAAATCGAATGCAATTAGTTTTGGAAATTGTCTGTCGTCCTGCATATTGGTGCACACTCGAAGCCGCCCAATGACTGACTGACAGCCAAACACGGGCACGTGCACAGGCCTAAAGTACTAGTGCAGTCACGGCGCTTTCAGTTTACGAATAAATTCGGCCAACACTGCAAACAGTTTACACTCAATCAGTCTTTGTTCACATGTTAACTTCATGGTGCTATCTTTCTAAACTCAGCCCCGCAGTCACGTTGTATGACGTTGATATCTGTCGCGGCATCAACACGAGAAGCTCCATGGCCATATATCCTCTTGCTCTTCACCCAAGTTCCCACTAAGATACACATCTACCTGTCTTCGACCATCCCACGAGCAAGATATCAAACAATGACATCCTCATTGCCCAACGAACTCATAACGGAACCCGATTCACGCCGTAAGATTGGTGTGAAAGGAGATGTTCTTCTCGAAACGTGGGTTACACGCTGTGTCGCCATCGCCCTCCAGGCATTCATGTGTAGCGTGTAGACCTTATTGGAATAAAGGAACTGCATTCACAGCCAAGGAGCGTGAGGAGTTTGATCTTATCGGGAGGCTCCCCTATCGTGTCAATACACTCGACCAGCAATGCGAGGTGGGTTTAACATGTGAACAGTTGTTATCGTAGTGATCTTGGCCTGCAGCGCGCTTGGAGACAACTTGAAATTCGCGAGACACCTATGCGAAAGAATTCATTCTTGCAGAGTTTGAAGGTGCGCATTGCTGCGCATCCCACTGCTGACGTTTGTCGCCGATGGTATCGTTTGCAGGCTCAAAATTGGGTGCTCTACTATGCCCTCATCTTGCGCCACCTGAGGGAACTCATACCCATAATATACACGCCAACTGGTAAATTCCGCTCTATCCCTGACTCGGCTTCTGCAAATTTCCACTTGTGGCACTGACTGCGTTATTTGCAGAGGCCGAAGCCATCTCCAACTACAGTACCCTTTTCCGCCGGTCTGAAGGATTGTATCTTTCTTTCCCCAATGCTCACCGGATGGAAGAAGATTATCTATCCCAGACCAGAAACATGGAGATTGAGTTGGTCGGCAAGTGCCTCAGGACCCTTTTGGTGTTGCTGAACGAATTGACGCAGTTTGAGCAGTCGTAACCGACTCTCAAGCCATATTGGGTATTGGAGATCAAGGTGTGGGTGGGATCGGAGTACGTACATGCCCCTGACCTAAAACCCTGCTGAACACGACACTTTGACACACGCTGGGTTAGATCAGCACGGCCAAAGCAGCCATATACACGTGCGTTTGTTCTTTCCCAACAAAATTGCCATTGCTCGTACCCTCTTCATTGTTGCTTGGGGCTGAACAAAACTTTCTTAGATTGGTCGGAGGTGTGCATCCTGCCAAAGCCCTTCCCGTTGTCCTCGACGTCGGGACAGACAACGAGCATCTGTTAAACGACCCTCTGTATGTCGTGAGTGTTGCTCAGTCATCTTTATGGTGGACAGGATGAATGCTTACGATGAAAGGGTTGGCCGGAACGGCGAGTGACCGGAGACCAGTATGACGACTTTGTCGACAAGTGAGTTAACCCAGCGCTGGGATGTCTATGTTCTGAGCCTCCACTTTCCATGTAGATTCGTTCAACTCGTTAGAAGGCATCATCCACACTGCCTGCTTCACTTTGAAGATTTCGGTAAGCCGTCATAGTGCCTTTCTCAATCATCCTCAACTGAATTATGGTTCCCAGGTGTAGAAAATGCTGAGAGGCTGTTGGAGAAATATCGTGAGACACATGCAGTATTCAACGATGACGTGTAAGTTCGCACCCATCCACCAATGCCTCGACACAAAGAATGGTGAATCACATGTCTCACACAATCAGACAAGGCACTGGAGCAGTAACACTTGCCGCTCTCACGGCTGCATGTCATGTAACGAAGTCAAAGCTTTCTCATCAAAGGATCGTTGTCTATGGTGCTGGTGTGTTAACTTCGTCTGAACATAACTACGAACTTTGCCGATGTGTATTGTTCCAGGATCTGCAGGTCTAGGAATTACGCACCAACTTCGTGAGGCAATTATTCAAGAAACCGGCCTTCCCCATGAAGAAGCCTCCAAAAGATTCTATCTTATTGACAAGGCAGGCCTTATCACCGAGTCTGTGGCACGTCAAACGCACCTTCGAAGAGGTCTTTTGGATTTCGTCCGCCCGGACACAGAATGGACCGATGTGAAGAAGGACGATAATGGTGCAATCCGACTTCTCGAAGTCGTCAAAAAAATTAAGCCCACAGTCTTGATCGGAACGTCCACGCACGGGGGAGCCTTCACGAGAGACATAGTGGCAGCCATGAGTGAAGGTGTCGAGAGGCCGATCATCTTCCCGCTTTCGAACCCAAGTCGCCTGGCTGAAGTTGATCCGAAGGATGCGAATGAATGGAGCGACGATAAGGCGCTGTTGGCTACGGGGTCACCATTTCCGGCGGTTAAGATGAAGAGTGGTAAAGAATACCAGTGAGTGCTGAATCCAGTAGCCCCCCGAAAAGGATTGGTGACGCATGGACATTTAACAGGATAGCAGAATGCAACAATGCTCTGATCTATCCAGGTCTTGGATACGGTGAGGATTTATTTGTTGGTTCATCCAAGTTACTGAATTGGTTGTTGGGCATTCGTTAGGCAGCATGATCAGCAAGGCCAGACAGATGTCGAATGAAATGATCGTCGCTGGGACACAAGCCCTTGCTAAATTATCCCCAGCCCTTAGAGACCCTGATCTCTCACTACTTCCAGACTTCGAGGATGCGCGCGCCGCCAATACTGAAGTCGCGGTGGCCGTGGCAACTCAAGCGATCAAGGATGGATTGGCGGACGTCGATTGGGGTGTTGATGAAGTGAGGGAAAAGGTTGAGGAGAAAATGTGGGTGGCGGAGTATGAGGAGTACGGATGGGATGCGGATGGGGAGAAGTTGTGATGCGCTCCTAGTGATGCGCATGATTTGGCATTTCAGCTCCGGCGTTCGATCGCAACGTCCTTACATGTTTGACCGTTGAATTGGGGGGCTGTGCTTATGTAAAAGGTATAACATACGCGAAGCCGCATCAGAAACTGAGACTCGATGAAACGTTTTAAACCTCTTCGGGTAACTCGGCTGACTCCGGTCTCGTTAAGCGTGAATCACGAATCCCGGTTCGTAAAGGATTCCACCTGGCTGCCCTGTAGCGTCTTTTGTGGCAGCTAGTAGAACGTGTGCAGGTAGACATGGGATCGGAGCCATTGACGTCGTACGTCAGTGTGTCATTCAATCTTATGAATCAAAACCAAAATTAGCGATCATTACCAATAATGTTCCTTGAAGAAGCGTCGTCGCAAACTAACCGCTTCGGAGTCGATGGCAGTCCAACGATGTCCCTGAAGACCAGGGCGGAATGTACAGCTCTCAGCAATACCGCAGTTTTCGGTTTGACCAAGCTGGTCACGTGTAGCGGCGATGCAAATCGCGTTGGGCGCTCTTTTGTCCTGCAAAGCTGTGTGAGACTCGGCTCACACCAACAGTGAACGATCTCTGTCATTTAGGTCATTTTGCTGAGCCATTGGTGCCCCCTGCACCGCCTTCACGCTCGTACGTTATTCCTGCCCACTCGGAAGGAGGTGCACATCGACCGGGGCCGTTGTGAAACTTTTTTCTGAGCTGGTCACGGTGCAACCACCGGATCGCGATCACACTGCCCGTTACCTTAGCGTGTTTAGCCGCTGAGTTGCTTCCTCCCTGAAGAATGCCATCATTCTTTCATAAATTGGCCTGCGGGCTATGCGGAGAACGTTCTGCTCCTCTCACTCCTCATGATGCTCCAATCCCTGCAAACCACCTTCTGAGACCGATTTCCCCAGAAAACACGATGGTTGGCGCTCAGCTCAACGGGTTGCAGGTGATCCATGATGGCACTAAGAACTGTCGGCGTAGGTCTCAACGCACATCCACTGACACCCGGTATTAACATCCCTTTTCATTGTCAGCGGACTCGAACGGCTCATATCGTGCAGCCATCACTATCAAAAACCAGAACCCCAGAGGCACCGACCCCATCATCTTTAAAATGATGGTGAATGTGCACAATGTTTATGTCCGGCCAAACCGCGGCCTGCTGATGCCTGGAGATCTGCTCTCGGTCCAGGGTGAGTGCCCTCGCAATTCCCTTGATGTTTCCCACTAAATCCTTTCGCCTGAAATTCCTTTAGTTCGGAAAGACGAGGATTCTAAAAATGCTCAAGAAAAACCACCATCGAGGAAATCTCCCAAACTTTTAGTCAAGAGTACCTTCGTTCCTCCGCGACTGCTGCGGAGATATGGGGAGCACAATCTTGTGGACATAGTGGGTGGCCTCATGACAATTCGCGACCTTTTTTCCACTCATACATTCATCGTTCGCAGTGGAACCACATTGAAAGAGATGGCTACACGCAATACGAAACCTGGTGCATCCGGTTACCTAAACCCAGAACTGCCACACCATCCCACCATACGGCCCCCTCCATCCATTCGTCCATTACCCCATCGTATGCCCCAAATGCGAACAACCCAAACTCGGAAAGCCTGGAAATCGCCCGTCTACGACAAGAAAATGCTCAGCTGAAGGAGCAAGTGGCATCCATGCGCAATGGCGTTAACCTTAGCAACACCAATTTATCGCTATATCCAGTTGTTTCTGATATTGGCGCAATTGGTCCCCGATATTACCCTCCTCATGCTCCCCAACCCCAGGTAATACAATCACCACAATCAGATCAAATCAGTTTGGCGGGTACGGACATGGATTACTTCGACGCCCCCGTGCCAAGTTATGAGGAAGCAACAGGGTATGTAGCCAATGGCACCATCAGAGGGAATTCTTACATCTCTCGTCACAGGCGGTCTTCTGGTATACGACGTCTACCACAGATATAGCCCATATGCATATTGGGTTTAGGGAATATCTGACGGCATCGCTTTATATTTGGGTTTTGGGACCATCTCACCTTGCATTAGTATTGTATCACCCAACTATTTCACGTATACCCTATCTACATGTTCCTTCCTGAACTTTCTTGTTACTCCTGGGGCTGTATTCAATGCGTATGTCACTGTTGTTCATTAGTGTTGTGCTGTGGGCAATAAATTCGGCCAACTCCGCTAAGAGATGTCATTGAGTGAACGGCGTGTGACTTCTGTATGTAACGGGTCGTGAGAACCGTAGGAAATTTTCCACCCAGACATTCTCCAATGTTCGCATATTTTAGCAAGGCAACTGTCTTCAGCGTTGCCCGTTCTTGGCGAGCATCAACAACCACACGCGCATCACTCACATCCCGATCATGCAATGCTTTAAGAACGGTCTCTGCTCCCAAGGCGCTCTCCAGTACTGCTTCTCGTCTCAACCAAATTTCTCCCTTGGACACCGTCACAGAGACTACTGCAAGCAATAGTATCCCATCTAGGACTTCGCCATCTGAGCCGTCCGCGACGCTGTTTGTCGGGAATGTACCCTTCCACATTGCAGACCGCGAAGTCGCGGCGCTTTTCGAGAATACACCTGGGTTCGTGGAAATGAAATCCCGTGAGTCCTCTCAGATTATCAACATAGCCACCCTCCATATCGTCTCTCCTACTTATGGCTGGCGGTGCATTTAGCTGTTGACAGGCGGAGCAAAGGATATGTGTTCATTGCCTTTTCATCTCTCGATCTTGCCAAAGCTGCATACCAGAGCTTTACTCTCGACCCACCAACAATTGGCGGACGTCCATTGAGGTTTTATTATTCAAACCAGAATAAAAGTGTTATCACCCAACCTATCAGCAATACTGTGTTCATTGCAAACTTGAGCCCAACCGTTACGGAAGACATAATTCGAGAGTCTTTCTCAAAGTTTGGAGATATTGTGCAGGTCCATATTGGTGAGCTATATTTCACACTGCCCAAACCCCTGTGCATGCGGTTGAATGCTCTCATGGATTGGGAATAATACAGCTCCTCGCTTTCTTCCTTCTGTGGCTAACTTCCAATTTTATGTTAGCCAGACGTGAAGGCAACCGTACAGTTGCATGGGTCAAGTTCTCGAACGAGAGTCAAGCCGAAATGGCTCTCAATGCACTACAGCGGAAACCTATCGAGCCGGATGGTGACCCAGTCCGACTCGACTATGCGGTCAATAAAGACCGCGACCGCGATTCTCCTCAGAAAAAGCCCAACGAGCGAATTTTCGTCTCCGGGTTCGGTGCACATCCTCCCGAGGAGGTTGCTGATGCATTCAAGCGGTTCCGAGTAAAATCTTTCAAAGTCGGTCAGTTCGAATACCTCTGGTGTTGCCCCCTCCCCCCCAGCATTGTTAGGCTCATTATTCCCTTTCCGTTTAGCTACTGAACCTGTTACAAACCAGCCACGCGGTTATGGGTGGATGGACTTCGAGACGACAGCTGACGCGATGCAAGCTATGGACACGCTTTTAACGGAGAAGCCGTTAATCGGTGGCGTGCCGTTGAGATTGGAATACGCCAACATCAGAAAGGACAACGACAAGAAACAAATTAGAGAGGGACGCTTCAAGTCGACTTAACCAACCCAAAAGGGCTCGTGAAGAACTGAGTTCTCGCTTCCAAGAAACTACTGATCTCAAACCTTCAATCTTCTAGCCCCCACTCTCTACTACTATTTATTTACGAATTCAATTCTTTACTCGAGAATACCAGCGTGAAGCTAGGATGGCCGTGAATTGAATGGATTGCTTTGCACGTTTCAGAAATATGCTTCCTTGTTCAAATGTACCTAAGACCACAACGACTGGGGCTATGTCTACAAATTATCAGCTGAGGCTGCTCCATGCAGTTGAGGAATTGTCCATGATTGTGCTTGGACCGTAACGGCCAGTAACCATAGAGCTCCGGCATCACACTACAATTCGACATCGCCGGATCTTAAGCTAGGTATCGCTACACGGCCAACATCAGGAAGTGTGCCAATAGACTATTCCTTGGACAACTGCCTCAAGGAATTAGGGGTCTGATCGTTTGTTGCGCGCGCGATCAGTGGCTTGTCCATCCGAGCCTTGATCGATTGTTTCCAGCAGTGCTTATGCTTCGCAGTTTGACCAATTCTTTCATCCCATTCACAGGTGCGTTGATGGGGTCCGGTGTCGGTCCGGGGTGGGAGTGAATGACGATTTGTGATTTGCGTGGCGGCAATTAGGAGAGACTTGGGAGTTGATTGGGGCGGCTCCATCGAGCTAACGGTATATACCATCTGCATGCTATATAGTATATACTATTATAAAATTCTGATTCGAGTCGGTACTTTTTTGTTGAGAGGCTGGCATAACCCATGAAGAGCCGTGACATAGAGCCTTACTTGCCTCACCCTCCCTTGGCCGCATCTTCCTTACCAATACCGTAGGCAGGTGGCCGGCCTCTGTTGAAACTGCATGCTTATTTCCCGGCGCATCGGACGACGGACCGGAATACTCACTTCTCCGAAGACTGAGCATTGCGGCACGGTTGAATCCCACTTCGATTGTACGCTTTTCATTGCTGGTGGACAATGAGCCATAGGAAGTCGGGTCTGCTCTCCACTGTGCATCACTGTTCCAATACATTGATAATGCACTCCATGAATGCACCCCATGAATTTGTGGCCGCTCCTGAACGTTGACCGTCCATCAGGGGAGTTTGCACTGACGATCGTGCGGCTGCTCTTGGACTTCGGGGTGGAAAAAGAAGCATCGCTTGCTTTGAGAAGTGTATCGTATTATAGAGTTGAATTCCCTTATCCCGAACTCCGACAAGGGGGCGCGGGAACCATTTCCTTCGATTGTCTGTGCAACATCCTGATGTACACAGGGCGTCCAAAGGTGCACAGGTTCGGCAGAGCAAACCAACCATAAAGATTGTCCCCGACGCAACTAGCGGGACTCACAAGAATGTTCCCAGCGACGTCCCATATTCCAGAATCATGGAATGGTTGTAAGTATCGTACAAGGTTGAACTATGCATATAAGAAGATTCAACGAGTGAGATGTGCACTCTGCATCTTGGTTAAAGATCATACGGATGCGTCGTAGACATGTCTGGCTCACAGGACTTAAATCAAAGAGATGGAAAAGGCTGACTTGAACAGAGAACTAGCCCCAGATAATAACAAAATAGAACCAAAGGAATGTCGAAGTATGGACAGAAACAGGCTCATTGCAGATTTGATGCATCAGAAAATGCGGCGTGCGAACTAGGGGCATAATGCGAGGAGATGCTGGTTTCGCCGGCGGGAAGATATGAAAGCGGATAATTAAACAGATCGGAACGGTATTGACTTGACTGGTAGGGATCAGAATGGACGGAGTACCCTAAACTTGGGTCAACGAAGGGGTATTGATCGAATTGGGCCTGATCAGACCCTTGAGCCAGGAATTGTTGCTGGTCTGGTGTCCCTGATAGTGGGCTCGGCGGATAGGGCCGTTCAGTGTATGGGGCACTCAGCGGGGAGCGGAAACTGGAGGGATCGTTCAGGTGGGTGCTGAAGGAGTGACTAGATGGAGGAATGAGGATTCGGTCCTCGAAGCATAACGGATCGCGATCGATATTATTGGGACTGGGCCTATAGTGCCGATGACCATTTGGGACAAAATAGTCGGTATCCTGTTTCCTGCATGAGCTCGAAGAATTGAGTAGATGGATCGTGGACGCACATCAGATGATGATAACTCGCGATACAATGGCGCGTAAAATGAGTCGTGCTGACGACTTCCATACTTTAGGTCTTTGTTAATCTTATTCCAGCAAGCCTGCTCATCTGTCCTACCATCGGAATAGGAAGTGTGAGGATGGGCAGAAACAACATCATCTGGGGGACCTGATACGCATTGCCGGAATTGTGAGTCTTATAATCGTCCAAATATTCCACCAAATCATTGTCAGGGGGACTCGTCGCCGCCTGCAAGTCCGACGGTTTTAGGACTCTTGAGGGCGTGGAGTTGGCCGCACAATGCACCTTTCCCAGGGTTTGAGAGATACGGAACTCATTAAATGGCCTGGTCTGAGGGTTTATCTGCAGAGTACTCTGGGTTGATGGTGTCCGAAGTTCGTCGGAAGAACCGTCATTTGAGGGCGATGTAGGAGAAGTCAAGTCCGCAGGACTGGTTTCATAACAAGCTTGTTGAGGTGATTGTAGGGTTTCATGGAACTGGTAGAGAAACTCGTTCCCCAATGTCTCTTCTCGGACCGTATCTAGGGTTCTGGTAGTAGAAACGTCGCCTGGCGTGCTTCGGCTAGAGCCGGCTTCCACGAGACAGCGGGCTGGGACGCGAGCGTACTCCAAGAGGTTCTGAGGCGGGGGACCGTAAGGATCCCATGAATGAACATTGTTCTGTATTTTTTGCCCATCTTCCATGGTGTTAGGCATGCTAAATTTGCACCCAACCTTTGGATCAGTAGAGATCGGTTGAAGAGCAGCGCCCGGGTCTTTTCCGGTAGGTGACTTGGGTACGTTAGACTTCTTCCTAGGCCGAGGCTTAAACATATAGTTAGGATAGAGCCTTTTGTGTTCGTTTGTAAGCTCAGTTGCGACATCCTGATACGGCTTTCTCCTCTTCCAATCTGTACTACGCCAAATGTCACCCAAGTGCTGCGGGCTTATCAGTTCATGTACAATAGCCAGTGGACTTCTCTAATTCATTGCTCACTCGTAGTAGCTCCTTTCTTCGGGGATAATACTCCTGATCAAGACTTACATTCAGTAAACGAGTGTGATGACGGAGATCAACGCTTACCTGAAGTGTCTCGTGCTCAGGCGAAATTGTCCTTGAGCGATTTTCAGTGGGGGGCGCGCCAAGGATTCCAGCGCACTCAGCTTACGTGAATAAAATGAACGCATTCATGGGTCGGGGGATGTGGCCCTCCTGAGTCTTGGGCACGCGAGACTGTCGGGCGTTCCTGACATACTCGGCGGTAACCCGCTTGATTCCCTTGAGACGAATGGACTCGAGGACTTCTTCGGCTGATATGTTGTTAGTGATGAGTGGAGATGGCGGGCCGGGGAAGCCTGACCTTCGGAGCGGGAGCTTGCTGAAGGGGGGGAGGCCATCCCAGGGTGGCCTCTCTAAATACCTAACGTATCTCGATGCTTTTGTGGAGGGGAAGCAATACACTTGTTGCCTCGCTGGTTGAGGAAGAGTGACTCCGAGATTTTATTCCGCAGTCTGCTCTCTAACTTCGAATTCCGACGCTAAGGCGCACTGGAAGTCGACTATACTGAGGAAAAACGGTCCTGGGCCTATGTAGCCGCAAAATGCGCGCAAGATGCGCTACCCTTCAAGATTCCAGGCGTGGTCCGGAATCAACCTTGCGTTTGTTTGTCACCTGGCAACTTCCGAAACTTTCGCTCTATTTCGTCTTGGGCATGTAACTATGCCCAATGCCTGTTCAGCATACCCCGAGTACCTTGTACATATTACGACAGATTTGAACACATGATGGAAATGTTTATATCGAGAAGCTTGACGGCAATTTTTCAGTATCCTTGGACATAGTAGCCGTTTACAAGTTAGGCAAGATCCCAGCCTCTACTAAAGTAGAAGGGAAGGTGACCAGCCTTAGATCCTAAAATAAACTATCCACATCACTCGGAATTTAGGTAAATTCTCCTGCGCAACCGATATTCCCATCACCCACGCAAGGCCACGTCGCAATGGATCGTGGCTAGCCATCGATCATGTTAGAGGTTATGCCAATGATGGAGTAGTAATTCTTCATGGCTGGGGCAGATCTGAATTAGAAGGTCAAACGTGATGCGATTGAGAACTGCCCTGCATGACTATTCCTATAAAACCAACAAGATTTCAGTTCTTACATCAGAGACAGGCAGGTGAAGATTTTGATGCCCAGATATTCCGAGAGAAGGAATAATACGGGTCTGCCAAAGCAATGACCGTGGCGCACATGGATGACTGGATTATCAAACTGTAGGGATCCATATTCCATGTCCCCAATAAGGGACTCACATAGCGTCTCGATAACTTCACTGTTCCTGCTGTGTTGGTAGTCATGATAAACACCTCTAGAACTCCAATTGAGGAATTTCTGGGGAATCGCCTTATCGGCCTATTATCCTTAGGAAATGTCGGACCAATGAGATACATCTCCGCCATCATTTCTGTTGGTCTTTCAGGGTTCATAGAGGCTGGTAACCTGCCTATTTTAGAGTGACGGTTCGTGGAACACTGCCCAGGATCGATCAATTGAGTTGAGTGGTTCTGAGCACAGCCACAGCCACGATTCTCAACACCTTTGTGCAAACTCATGAACGCTCGAATCCAGTCACTCCTACAGGGAAAAATCGTAAGTGTGAACCACAGCTTTCCATGGGACTATCTGATGATGTCCGTTTAGGACTTTGAAGGGCAGAAGCTAGCTGAGCGCATGTTACATGTCTCTTTGATTTCGTCAACCGTGCGTCGCCACTTCCACTACTGGCGTTATATTTTGATCTTGCACGTTGTGAATGAGCTTATTGGGGCATCTGTTGCTGCTAGGTCATGTCATTTCTCGCTGGGTTTGCTATGCAGTCGTTACAAGTGACGTTCTCGACCCTCGGGGTTGCAACCTTACTCATAGCCCTTGTAGGTCTACTTGTCGTCCTATTTCCATTATCGTACGCTGATATCGAGATGGCTAGGTTACTATCCCTCAATGGTCCATGTACAGGAGACACCAGCTTACATGGCTCCCTGCGCTTGAATTGAAAGACTTGACGAAGGAACAATGATCCCTGATCAGTATTTGCCATGTACCAGACTTTCCTAAGGCATTTCTGTATCTTCACTACTTGGGCGGCATTCGGCCATTCGCATGATGCCTCCGATTCGAAGCGTGTTCCGTAGACTACTTAACGACACTAGTGTCATCTAGGCTGTGCTAATTTCCCATTTTGTGTGGGTCGTGTGATGCATTCAAGACTGCATCCCACCTCGATGAATCATGGGTATTAAGCTGTTCGGCAGCCACCAATTTTTGCGTCGCAATGGGGACTCCCTTCGTAGTTGTACCGATCGAAAGATTGATGTATGTCAACGAGCACTGCCTCTCACCCGTCCACTGGTCGTCATTCCATTGTGGCGTGTCTCCCTCCGATGTGATCTCGTTCTTGGAGCTGGTTGGACCATGTAGCCTAACCCGACTACGGGTGTGGCTATATATGGACTGCCTCAAATTGATTTGAAGTCCCATCTTGATGTAGAGTCCCTGGAGAAGTACTCGCCGTGATTCCCAGATCAACACTCCGTGAGACTCGAATCTGTCATCAGTGCAAGCGACCGTTGCGAAGTCCGTTGTCAGCGGTCTACCCGCTCAGAAAGCATAAATATGATCCCACCTCCCAGCCTGCTCTGCTTCCTTCAGCATCTCATCTCAGCAAATCTAGTAACATGTCTAATGAACAAAACACTGATCCTGCTGGCCAGGCTCCTTTCCAAAACCAAAACTCTCCCAATCCGTACTGGGTTCAGTGTCCCACTGGAGGAGCTCCCGCACGGTGGGTTCAGGGTGGCGCCCCACAATACCAAAGGTTTGCCTTTAACTCCATTAGTACCCCACCACACTAACACGCCCTCCAGTAACCGGGGCCCCCAGCAAGTCCAATCGCCCACGTCTAATGGATACAATCCTTATCAGAGTTAGTTAACACGCTTTGAGCTGCGCTCCGAAGACGCTGAACGTATGCTCAGACGTTGGTGGTCCGGTCCCACCGCCTGGCCAATTAACAACAATGCCCTCCGTACCCTCAGAAGGCGGACAAAGGCTACCCTGCACAGCCCCAGCCATCGTTTTTCTTTTTTTCTGCTTCGAATGACAAGCTCTTGAACTCGAACATCTCGGACGCTCATGGCCGTGCAGTCTTCACCGTTTCCACCCCGAAGAAAGAGAAAAAAACCTTCATCTCGGACGCGTCTGGCGCGACTGTTGCCGTTATTGGGTGGCATTCCCTTCCCACAATTCGTCTTCATCGTCAGCAGGAGATAGATCTCAAGAACTGGATCCCTTACGACCACTCTGACCAGGAGAGGAAAACTTACTGCCTCCACGTTCTGTGGTACTGACTTCCTCGGCAAAGGACGCGCTCTATCCTGCTCCGAGGCACTAGATTTACCTTCATCGCCAAAAATGGTATTGGGTTGCAGGTCAGTAATGATGGGTAATTCAGACAATGAGGGACTCAGAAACTGCAGATCCTCCTCGATGGTCAGCCAGTCGGTGCCGTTCACCAGAAGGCGAATAGGAGTAGTCTCGAGGTTGGACCATCCGCTCTTGCATTCCTTCCCGACCTTGTGGTTGCCACGACTATACTTCAATGCCCCAACGAAATAGAACATCACAAAAACGGCTCGTTCAACTCTCAGGACTTCATGGGCGGTTTCATAGGCGGGAGCGGAGCCGCTTTTGCTGGTACCTTTTAAGATACCTCAACACTTATACACCTCCAAGACCTTTAATACCTGGCGGGCAATTAACCGACGCACACCTTGAAAATATTTCGAGAATTCGCTCCATGTTTCAGTCAATGTAAATATTATTATTATTTGGGCGTATTATATACACTGCAATACCTTATACATGGCGCATGATTTGTTTAACACCATTCATACGGTATTGCTGAACGCGATGTCGGAGCACGATCAAGCTTTGAGACCGAGTCCCACGATCACGTTCCCCAACGTCGATGCGGGTTTCAATACCGACCATATCTTTGGACCCTCTTGTCACCAAGGCATTCCCTCAAGTCTCCAAGACTGAAGCCGTATCTCGCCTAGTGTCTTTCATAGAACCTGGAAATGTCGCTGTGCTGACGGGCGCAGGCATTAGTGTAGATTCTGGCATACGCGCGTACAGAGGACAAAACGGCCGATATCTCAACCCAAACTATCATCCCATCTTCTTTCACGAACTGGCCGACCCAACCCCTAAAGGCCACCGGTTTAGGCAGAGGTACTGGGCACGATCATATCTAGGGTGGCCAGCTATCAAAGAAGCAAAACCATCAACATCCCATTATGCTATAGGGGCTCTACAATATTCAAATCTTGTCCATAAGCTCATCACCCAAAATGTAGACGGCCTTCATGGAAAGGCGATTCCAATAACTTGGGGAGCTTATGAGAAACAAAGACGAATTCTGGAATTGCATGGACGTTTAAGGGTACCGTATTGTCAGTCTGTGTTCATGCAGCGTGGTGTTCATCGGCATTTACACAGACAGTTAGCTGTACTAGGGGTCACTCGCAATCTAGGGCAGTTTTTCAAGAGCGAATATCTTCCCTTAACCCCTCTTGGCGCAAGTATGTGGACGAACTCGCGCGTACAGGGTCCGAACCTCGGACAAATCCTGATGGTGATGTGAGTGCAGACGATCTAGCCATCATAGCTTTCAACGCGCTTAGAATATGCTCTTAGGTCGAATTGAGGGGCCGTTATTTTACTGACTTTGTCGTCCCGAACTGCGAGTTGTGTTTGCTCGAGGGGGTAAATGCGGATGAGGCCTCAATTGTACATGCTCATTCTTCCACTCGCATTGTCTATCGTCACTCAGCTTGCATTCGAGTTTACAGATAAAGCCGGACGTTATATTCTTTGGGGAATCAATATCATCTGCCGTGAAAGATCGATCGTGAGCCGAGCATTCCGCTGGTCACAGTACCATGTCCTAATTCACCAATCAGATTTCGGGATCTTGAGTGTTGCGATAAGCTGTTGGTAATTGGGACAACTCTAGCGACTTATTCTGCATTCAGGTGTGTCTTGTCGTTTCGGAATTTCCCTTTATTCACTCCAAATCTCCCTCATAAGGATTGTCAAACATGCATTGGAAGTAGGAAAGCCAGTCATGATGCTGAACATTGGGCCGACCCGAGCAGATAAGTTTGAACGAATTGAGAAAATAGAAATGAAAAGTGGGGCTGTTCTTACGGACGTTTGTTCGCTAGTTCTGTGCGTGTCCCTCATCCGTGGCCCTTTATGGTACTGATGAGTGAACATAAGAGGGCCAAAAGCACATCACGATCCAGAGTTACGCCGTTTAATGATGAGTGGTGTTGTTCAACCGCCTATCGATGATACAGCGGACAATGACACTGGCGGATGAATCGTCCGAGTTGGTACAGCAATCAGAAGCTTTCTATGGTGCCTTGAATGTTGCCTTATTCGGCATGCTTCCCTGTAGCTTGATCATTGCCGGCAGATCCAATAATTCTCCGGATTCTGAACGCGTGCTTGGTGGTGGCGATTGCGCAAAACTCCATATGCTCACCGGCCCACTTTGGGAGCCTACTGTAAGCAAAGTATGCGTTGCCCCCTACGAGCAATGGGATATTAGGTCGGGCTTGATGGGTCATTGTAGGCAAACTCGATACCTTTTGCCTGCGATCACCACAATCTGTGGTCCTCCACCATCCCTCATTGTGCCACCGAAGAATGCCCGGTCTTGAAGGCCAACATAACTGGGAGGGTGATACGAGTTCAAGAGGGATCCTCAAGCGTCTCCATTTTGAGATTGTCAATTCGAAATAGTTGGGGGCAAGACTAGAATTTGAGACATGAGAATACTCGACTTATGTGTGATGTGTTGAGAAGTTAACCGATAACACGCTCCAAGCACCCGTCGCCGGCCCCCGCCTCAAGCACGACACCCCGACGCTGAAACCGCCATTTCAGTTGTCGTCTCAAATCACAGTCACCGTATATAAACGATAAGCGCACCCCTTGCCTCAATTGGTGGGTCGACGCCCTGGCCGCCCGGTACCGCAAGTAATAGACATACCCTAGTACCTAAGGTTGTCCTGCGTACCGCAGTTTGTAATATTCCGGCCGGTGATACATCGATATCCTTGATGTCTCTGAAAGTAGGGATCTGAATGAATCGACGTATACCGCGCTGAGCCAAATACTGTATTGACGACTGCGACTTCCAGTCACTCACTACTCTATTTGAAGTTGAATACTAAAGAAAATGAGTAATGGGAAAGCAAAATACTCCCAGCCACGAGCTTACTCAAGATGCGGGTGTCCGTCTTGGACATTCCAGCTTCATGGCCATCGAGTGCATTGTGTGAGACTCGTTGCACATTAATAGCAAAAGTGTGAACATTCAAAATCATGCGTCGAGTTTATGTTCCTGGCAGGATGTCGGATCACAACCAAGCAGATAAGGGCAAAAAATCTTGCACCAAGCGGTGGATTTTTATTCCCTCGGCAGTAAGAAAACCGTCTTAACCAGGCCACTTGCTTGATGTCCCGTGGGCGGTTGATGGTTCGGAGTAGTTGACCCGTCTTTGTATTTTCACCGAGCTCAGTAATTAAACATAGACAGCACAAGGCAGAGGGGCCGATATGGATGCCCCAGAGTCCAGTGAGTATTGTATTCATCCGGATTGTAACATGGCTCTCTTTTCTCGACCAAGCAATTTGGCAAATGAAGCCACGACGGTGTGGTGACTTCTAAGGGAGAAGAAGAATCGCTAACGAGCCATATAACAACGGTTTGATCCGTGGAGGTCGCTAGAAACGGGCCCTTGGGGCCGAAGTCTAAGAAGCGCCCATGAGATGTACTTTCTTAGGACCTTTAACTGGTGTAACTGACACAGCATTTCAACGTATGCAACATTTTTACGCAAGAAGTGGCCGGGCGCAGTGCTTTCAGACCGATCGGCACCTAGGCCTAAAGTAGTAGAAGCTGGGATCCTGCCCAGGCCTAAAGTCCCTACTGTGGAAATAACGGATGTTGTGCTCTAGGTGTGTGGGAGTCTTCCCGTTGGGTTGCACTGTGTGGACTGGATTGCCGTCTTTGTAGTTCATCAGCAGGAGTTGCCGGTTCACGGGTGGTTGGAAGGATCATGGGCACCCGTGGCGTGCTAATAAACCGTTCTGCAATCCCCGGGAGAGGAGCAACAAACGCCTTCCATCTATGAGAGGAGAGATCCAGGCCCGAAGGCTTGGGAGTCTGACGAACGGTCGGGCGGCCATAAGTCAATGCACCATCGGGCTCCGTGTATGCGAGAAAGTGAATATTTCCAGCAACATAGTAGGATGCTGTAATCCCGCCGATAGCCGTGATCGCAATTGGAATGAACGTCCCTGCATATGCACTAAAGGAAAAGCACACTAGGCCGCCAGAAAAGGAGAGAACTTTGCACACCAATAGCAGTAAGGGTGTGTTGGCAATTGTATTGATATACGTGAGTCAGGACTTCTATAAGTGGCTAATCGCCAACGAGATGAAATCAGGCTATTGATGCAGATGCAACAGTGAACAGAAGAGAGCATGTCCAAAGAAAACTAACTTCTTACTGCGCCACGGTCTTATCACCTGGGAATAACAGCCCTATCGGTGTGGTGTATTGTGGAGCGGACCTGCCGCACTGAACTGAAGGGTGGACGCGGCCACGCCAGCAAAAAACACTGCGACGATAGAAAAGGTATGAAGCCCATCGGCTGCTTGTTGCTGCGCGAAGCTGTGAGGGACCAGATCTCACCAATAACTTGCTGTATGGTAGGAACACCTGAAATGAATGAGCCTCTTGGATGAATTACGAGATTATAGATATCTTGAAATCATACTTTTTCTGTAAACTCAATAACAACAGACCCCAATTGTTCTAGACTTGGATGTATTTCATGCGATAACTTGGTCACATAACGGCGAACATGTGGCTGTCGAAACAAGCCTAGAGCTCAAGTGTCTTCCTCACAAGAGCACTTCAGACCGTGAAAGTCGGATAGGCAAGAAGATCAGTATGTAAGTCCGTTGCGAAAGTCCACGATGACGTTGTCCAATCGTTCGAGAATGACTTCATCGTAAATTCTGGAATCTCATGTATGCACTAACCAAAAAAAGGAGGGTGGACTTCTTGCGGCCAAATTACCTCAAGAAATCGTATCAAGTCATGAGCCAGCAATTGCAATGAGCAACTCGGGATTTTTGGCAGAGAGCTGCTTTCTCTTCGAAGAGAGGGATTATCGTGTAGCATTATGGATCACTTTTGGATCCATTGAATTCACACGAAACAAGGCTCCAAGCATTTTCCCGGAAGAGGGATTGCAACCTTAAGAAAACGCTTTTGCGCAGTTGTTGAGACGTGTACAGAAGTCCAGCACTGGAACTGAGCTAATGTATAGTGTTACTTAAGCCTCGGAGACAAGAACTGAGAGTCAGGATGCGCCTGTTCAGTAAGCAATGGTTAGTTTTCAATCTTCTGGTAACGCGAAGAGTAATACGCATAAGCTGACAGTTCCAAGAGTTCAAGTACTTTCTCCCCCCTGTGTGCATCCTCATGGACTTTTCAGCGTTGAGTGGGGATAATTCCCAGGCTAGTTGGTTCAAGCAATGCTCAAGGCTGCGGCACAAACCAGAATCCGTTAATCCGATGAAAGGTGTAGTACAGCTTTTTCCCGGTTGTGCTTCAGGATTTATAGCACTGTCGAGAACCTCCCTAAGCTGTTGAGCGATTTTCTGCAGTCCATTTTTTTCCCTTCATATGTGGCACAGAATGCACGGTCGGCGTCCGAAACAACAAACTTGGCACGTGATTGGGTACCTAAATTTTTCTCAATCTTGAAACTAGCTATGATGGGTGCAGACGGGATGCACACATGGCCTTTGCGAGAGATGAAGCCAGCCATGGGAAGCGCAACCACAAACAGAGGAACGGCTGAGTACGAGCCTGTGGGAAGCGATGACTCCAGCGAGGAACACTGTACCATCTGCCTGCAAAGAATCATAGACAAGGCCCTCCTGTTGTGCTCCCACGACGCATTTGTTATGAGTGCATGATGATATGGCTGAGTGAGTACCATGTCTCGCGCGGGTATACTTTAAGATAGCGTTGCGATTGTTTTCGATTTTGGCACGCATTAATGCGGCACAGAACAGTCACGACGCTGCCCTCTGTGTACCGCCGAGATAGGGCCATACATCATACATGGAATCCGGTCAAAGTTTGACTACCAGAAACATTTCCTCCCGCCTCTGCGCAGATCACCCTCACCCCAAACTTCCCACACGCCACGCGGTTCTGACACAACACAGTTCCGTCGACGTCGCCGAACCGAAGTGTCGTGGGGTGTAGCATCATCCACACGCCAGGACTTGGAAAACACTCGAGATGAACTTGGGCGAGCTATTGAGCGAAGAAGGCATGTATATCGTAATCGATTATTTGCCAAAGTAAGTCATTGCACTTCATAATTATTTGCGATTGTCATAATCCTGTATTTCTTTTCAGCACATTGCGTCGAATGCGTTTACCAAATTCAGGCCTTATCCCACGCCATCTCAAATAGCATCGTCCGACGAATTACAGAGCCGTGCTACTGCCTTCATTCGTCGAGAATTACGGATATGGCCGAATTTGGACGTCGAGTTTTTTACCCAGTTCGTTCTTTCACTTCTTCGTCGACTAGATATTCGATCAGAGGCGAGTGGTTCTGTTTGATAGTCGCTCATCTCAGTCAAGATGACCACTGTTGCACCCTCAGCCTGCAGTTCGTGCACTTGCAGAATTCTTGGACCTCAGTAAGTACCGGAATGATCTCTCGGCCCTCTTCTTAATAAATTTATGCTCCAGGTGGAAAATCCTACACGCCAGGTGCAGCAGTTCATAATGCGGAGCATTTTGCTCATGGTTAGATCTCAAACATTTAAATTTTTAAAATGGATATTTCACCTTACGACTTCATGTTCAGAACTATATTCCTATCTCCGTTCGCCATTTAAGGAGCTCACTGCTTATGACCGCTATGTTCAGGTAACAGCCAGAACCTCCCATTATATCAGTCTGACTGAATCCAGCTACTCCCTCAGTATGATGAAACTATCTCCCTGTCATCAGTCCCCCAACAAGATGGAAGAATCAGCGTTCAGGCGCTTTGGATCCATCATCGCTAAGTTCCCCCTCGAGCTCAACAGCCCCTAGCTCCTCCCGGGGCAATGAAGGGCAATTGCAGGTGCATCCGGAGCCCCAACGGAGAAGCCTCCAATCTCCGTATGATATGTTGGGGCATGGATCTCCTGTGCGATTACCAACCCAATTTTCAAGCGCACCAGAATCAGTCCACAGTGTTTCCCTCCCCGGCGAGAGCCACCCGTCAGATGGGGCGTCTCGCAAGGACGGATCGCATTCATACAACCATTCTGCGTCACCCAGAGGATTGGTTTCAGTTTCGAGAAGAGGCCAATCTCGGCACAGTACGAGCCCATTGCGACGCCAAACCAGGAGCTTGTCAAGGGGGGGGAGCAACAATATGCAATCGCCAGGTTTCAGGCAGCGTCATTCAACTTCTCCGGGGGGTTACGTATTCGGAAGCAGAAGAGAGAGATCTGGGGTTCGTCCCTCTAGATACCACAATATTGGGTCGCCGATAAGCTTCTCGTCCCAGCAATTTGATGACTGTTCAGATGATGCTTTACCACATTTCGCTGATCCAGTGCAGAAAACTGTTAGTAACGATGACTCTCACCAAATTAACGAAGAATTGAAAAGCAACATGACTTGCGGCGAAGATGAGGTACGACGGGCTACTGAAGTAGACCCCCAAATGGAGCGTTCAATTCTACGGTCTGTTGTGCCCCTATCTTCACCGCCCCACTCCTCACTAGCGTATGAATTCCCTGAACCTCCTCCTGCCTTATTGTCTCTAAGGAACGCTGCTACGCGTATACGTGAAAAATCCCAAGTTGGCCATGGAGATTCTGAAGCTCCGGGGACAACCAACAATCCTTCGCTTAGCCACTCACAACCATTAATAGTCCCAAATGCATCTTTACCCAGGGATGGCATTGAGGGACTTGCCAATAATGCTCCCCTTACTCCATGTTCAACATCTTCTCACCAGGTTGTAACAGAAGCAACAGACTTCTTTAGACAACGTTCGCTTGCTCGTCTTAATCAGGAGCCTAGCTGTACCCTTTCATCTGTTGCGGTACTCCCTCCCCCGCTCATCACCACTTCAGGCTTCTCTGGTTCCCGCATCCTTTCCCGCGGCCTTACTCCTAATCATACGACAATACTCGGCGTGCAAAGGAGCAAGTCCGCTATCTGCACTCGTCCCTCGCTCACAAACACAGAATCTCTGCTTCGAAAGCGGAAATTTGCGGACGCTGCTGTTCTGGACTCTAACATCACAGCGACTCGCACGCATGTTGCAGTGACAACTCTGCCACTCCCTTCCCCGGATCCCTCAGCGGTCAAGGAGCAAGCACTAAAAGCCCGTCTCATCCGTCGTCGCAAGCATGCTAACACAGCCCTGTAACAGAATCATAGAGGCTGGGACGGGCTTTTTGCTTTCTGCAGATCTCTCACATCCAGAGTCACACACTTAGGAGGTACGCAGATGTTCGTTGCGTGTCAGGAGTGAAACCATGAATTAGAGCAGTTGTCTGACCACGAGCCCAACAATGCACTAGTGCTTTGACCCATTTTTCGGAATCCCCCTTTATTCCCCCAATTCGCCTGACTCCTACAACAAACCATCCCACCCATGATCAAAGAATGAATGGAGGCATTTGATTCATTATTGTCACACCTGCACAACCACTCAAGTATCATGATTATATTATCCCCAACAACATAGCCCTACAGTCAACAGAGCAATGAGGACATGAAACCCGGACTGCGCGCGACCGCTGAGGTCTAACGCGCTTCACGGTACTTACTGAGATAACCCGAGCAGTAGAGGCTTCTCCAAATCGCACCGTTTCATCTGCTCGACGACGCGTTGGGCCGACGCCTAATCAGGACACCTCCTTGATGAAGAGAACAAATAATGCGTCATTGCCTGCACGCGTCGACAGTTGCGAACGCGAACGTTTCCTTGGTTACCGCTCACCGACTCCAGCGGCGACAGGCAGGATTACGGGCGACAATTGCATGCATGATGGGTTCTGAATTGTATTAGGCGCAGCATTGATTGCGTAGTTACATGCTTGTGAGAGAAAAATGTAGATCCCAAATTGGCGCATATAGCTTCTACCGTTGTCTCAGATTGTGACATGCATGAGAGAAGAAAAGAAAGAAATGCAATGATGTGTTGGAGAATGGTACTATGCGATGTAATGTAGAATCTTGGAGATGTGATTGGATTGGATTGAACATGACGAATCAGATTAGGGAGAAGAAATAGTGTAGGATCCAGTATACGGATGTCGGAGATCAAGATTGAACATGGACTGTTACGAGGTCAATTATGGTGAACGAACCTTGAGGTTGAGTAAATGCAGCGACGATGTGAAAAATGAGGATGAAGACGCGCGTAATTGAGGAATAAGAAACATGGGATGGTCAAAACCAAGACGAAGTTGGGTCAAAGGGTATCTAAATAAGACAAACGAATAAATCAGGGCGGCGCTAAGGGAAAAAAGGCCGTGCCAACAGTCAGAGAGACACTCCATTGCCCTCCCAACCTCGTAAGAAATGACTGATGTGGTCCAGCCTCGTCGTCAAGCGAACGAATGAACATTGCCGGGACATGAAATGCGAATGGGATGGGTTTAACGATGTGAAGAATGGACCTGAGCTTCACGCTGGGGTGAGTTTGAGCCACGGCCAAACCTCCAAAAGGACCAACCTCTGCTCCCCGAACCAGGCGGTGAAGGTGCGGGCGCATGACGAGGAGGAGAAGGCGTCGCCACCACCGCGCTACGACCCCCACCACCACGAGAAGATGAAGGTAGAACGACCGGAACTGGAGAGTTGGATGTCGCACGCAGCAGCCCCTGAAGAGGAACCCGTGAAGTCGTTCGTGGTGGGGAATATTGTGTGTATCAGGGCGTTGTTCATACGTGGCAGGGCTCGCAGATCTATGTTCTGATCGAGGGACGGCTCCTCCGTACAGAACTGATGACAAACCAGCTCTTGCACTGCTTGAGTAGGCAGGATTCCTCTCCCAGATGGGTTCAGGCTCAAGAGTTGTAGGAGGGGGTATCGCAGGTCTCTGCCTAGGCGCATCTCTTCCGCTGAGCCCACTTCTCCCGGTAGGGGAAGTTGGTCTACCAACGCTAAAGTTGAGGATAGGCGGCAATCTGAGCTCCTCCTTAGGGTGATCATCCGGAAAAGCTTGATTACCACCAGGACGAGGGCCCGAAGAACGAATGGAACGAAGGCGGTAAGATTCTGCGGATTGTGGAGCGTCATCAAAAGGCTGATTGTCCGCGGGCGACCACGGGGGATCAGCGTCCATAACGTAGTGAGATCCACCGCTCCCACCGCGACCGCTCGAAGATGTACCAATGTGATGATGATGATGGGATGCTCCCTCGGCGGGATGTGATGGCGCGGAGCGGCGGGAGGCGTTGCCACACGTCTCGAACCAGCTTCACGGTCGCGGTGGAACACAGGCTGCGGTTGCTGTTGATGCTGAAAATGCTGAAAATGTTGCCGGTGAATATGCTGGTCGTGCTGCTGTGCCATCCATGCCTTTGTGCGATTCTCTGCACTCGAAGAGTCCACCGCCCCACGAGTATCTGGAGGACCAGACGGAGCAGCGTGGTAGCGAGATTGGGACGAGTATTGATGGGGTCGCTGATGTAACGATATCCCAGGTGCATGTGCCATTTGAATCCCGCTTCGTGAGTCTACTGAGTGGGGGGCGTGAACCTCCTGCGCGTACTGCATCGGGCTAGAAGGCCCATCATCTCCTTGTAGTGGTGCAGTGGCATACATGTTCTGTGCTCTTTTCAAAGCTTCATTCTGCAGAGAAGGAAAGAAAAATACGGAACAGCGGAAAAGATTTTGGAATTTGTAATTGAGTTCGTTAGTAAAGGCAAAAGCTTCAATTACAGGAGTAAAAAGGGGAGTAGGCTGATACTCAACTTGTTTCTGGCGCTGGTTCTGATCATGAGGAAATGGAAATAAGACGGAAAACATGAATTCGCCACATTCAAAAACCCAAAGGATTCCAAGACCCTTACCTGGAACCAAACCTAAACATTAGAAATGAGTACCATGAACTAATAGCACGGTCGCATATGAGAATTGACGTACTTGAACTTTTCGCGGGGTCAACACAGTTTGACGAGCGGCCTCTTCTCGTTGAGCTGTCGTTGGGAATCGAGTCTACAAAGCAGGAAAAACGTGAGAGCGCTTTAGTAACTCCGTCTTATTGCATTTGTGAGATAAAAAAAATTGAATGAGGACCACAAGGCATAAGCGAAAACGGAGAATATGCCCGGAGTTATACAAGGTAGGGTTCCAATTGTAATACAAGATAAGACCAGAGAAGCAGGACACGAAATTTCGACGTGAATTTTCATTTACTCACCTGAGCCAACAGGGCATGAAGAATGGTAAGTTGCTGCGATGTCATCAGGGTCCGCGTGCGCCGCGGACGAGGCCCTTGACTAAGATTTAGTACGCTCTGGCCATCCTTGGCACTCCCAGGTTCGCGGGGACCATCGCTCTCTATGGAGCGTCCGTCATCGGTCACATCCCAGTCCTCATACTCTGAGGGATATCGTTTGGCATTGCTCGCGTCTCGCGTGTCATAGTGTGCGCTGGATGAGGCTGCGAAACCGCGTGAGTCGGACCTCTGACCCGCACCGAAGGAAGTTCTGCGAGGTCGCCCCCGAGTTGGTTGGCGGGAACCACCAGGCTGGGTTGTCATTGATGGAGCCGAGTTGGGTATGAGTAATTGACAGGGAAAGGATTTGCTTGAGGGTCGAGATAGGTTAGTCCCTGGGGCCTGGAGTGTTATCAACTATAAATACCTTTCGAAGACTAATCAGGCTTCAAGGTCCATTCCAAACGCGTTCTGCAAAGAACGACTTACTGAGGCAGAGCGAAGCGTCGGGACGCTAACCAAAGGAGCGCCGCTAATGTGAATGACGATTATGAAACCCAGCTAGGTACGAGGCAAGAGCCCGCTACGCTACGTGGGAGTGGGTGTGTGTAGCAGCAAAATCCAGCCTTTGAGTCAACTAAGGGGGTGATGGGAGAAAGCGAAAGCGAAACGAGGAACAAAGCGGCTTTTCAGACTGCAGTTGGGGAACCAACGGAAGAACTAGCAGCAGTTACTGTAGAAGGGCACGATCTGACAGAGAGAGTAGGTGAAGGACTGCAGCTGTTCGTGGTAAGAGTCGCCTGCAACTTGTCTAGAACTATAAGGACACGCCAGACGGGCGTCTTCAAATCCTACAGCTAAATAGGGAAATTTAGTTTTGAATTATGTATCTGCAAATATTTGTTTCAATTACAAATACACGCAATTCATTGGGAGATCGAGTAAAAGGATATTTTAATTTTAATTTTTCTCAAAGAGGCAACTGCAAATTAGGCCCATTGGCAGGAGATACCTCAGCAACCACAAGCGTCTACATGAGAATAATTATGGACGCACGATGAGGGAAGTCTCAGCATGAATGGACTGTATATTGCAGTTTAATATGTTGAAACCCGTGTATGTGTCAGCCTTTGTTGAGTACCCATTCATGCCCTCAATTCACCAGCCAACGTTTTCCGCCACTTGGACCTGTTCAAAGCGAAAGAAGCGTACGGCGAAACGTTCTCTCCTTCAAAGAGCCATGGTCCAGAGAATATTCCCCTCAACTTACATCGCCCTGCCAGTCACAGCAGTACACAGAAGACACGGACTATTTCAAGAGCAACCGATATATACAGCAATAGATCAGGAATTGATCCACACGCAAGATGACAATCAACGTAGCATCACACGGAAATCGCACATAGGACAGCGCACAATTCTCTATCGTTTGGCGGCTCCCATTCGCAACTCCTTGATGTCAATCGCAAACCAGTATAATCATAATTAAGATTTCTCCAACAATGAGCAATAAATGTCTCATCTACTGATGCGGCTGTATACGATCCAGCTGGATCTATAAACTTCTGTTGTCCGCCCCGCCAATCCAGCCCCGAGGAAGGCAACGCACCACGTACTATCCTGTCCGCCATCGCGTCTCAGAAAATTTGTGACAAGTTTTTCCAGACCCGGTTTCCGCCACACACCCCAATCCAAGTCATACACACGCTCGCCATACGTTTACCCACGCTACTTGACCCGAAAGTGGCGCTACATCTATCTCACAGCAGGGTCGGCATTTTATTTTATTTTGGCACCCCCAAATGTGGTTGATTGACAATGCCACATCTTGCGTCGGCACTCGCTTTCACATCCTTACGTGTCTACCTATGCATGCAGCCACATGTATGCATAAACCACCGACTCATTTGGATCGGAAGATCAACCATCGACATGCGTAGACCGACGCGGTCCCAGACCAGTTCGTGTAACTCAGGGGCCGCGTCCGCTGCGCAGCTCACCCCCGCACCATCGACCATGACTAATTGGCCCTTCAGCCATGCACCCTGTGCATGTATCTCGGAAGCGAGTTCGACTCGGCGTAATACGGTTTCATTAAATCATTAAACAACAAAAGTGCGGAGCCTCGATGCCACATGTACCTAGAAAGGACTGTATTTCTATCTCTAATAGTCTCAGCGGCCCGTACTCAGCCCCGCAATTTTCCATTTCACCAACGACATTCGACCAGAGCCAAACGGGTCTCAGCTGAAAGCACAAACCCATATCGATCTGCGATCGGTAACAATCTGTGTCAGGCTGTGACCAGATCACGCATGATAGATCCCTTCTAGTGCCATTACGAGCAATCTGCATAGCCCCGCTAGCCGCATGCAAAGCGTCTCCTCACTCACAAGTCGTGTCATCAAGGCAAGACCCGCGCGGCGCGTTAGGACGCCGAACAGCATGATAGACGCTTCCTGGATCAACGAGACGGTTCACTGAAGCATTATGCGCGCGCGAGGATGGCGACCCGCATCAAGAGCGTTATTAGCTTCATTAGTAACCGAGGGGTCTGCCTGGCAACTGGACCACATTGATCCCTTCGCGTTGCATAATTGAGCATCTCAATAAAGGAGTTTTGTCTGATAACAAGAAACACGGTCGGTTGGGCGAAGGGTAGCGTTTCGAATTCACACGGATCCCAGGTATTTGGAGGGAGTCGCACTCCTTGTATGCCATGTTGTGGGCGGGCACGACGTGTGTGTCTCAAGTGTACAACGCGTGGGACCATCCTATCTAGGCGGCGGGGGTAGCCTCGCACAAAGCCGCTGAGCCTGCAAAAATGCACATGTTGTGCCGTGACTGGCTGCTTTGTAGCGAGCGCGCCGCTGCCGCCCGGTTGGCAATTCGTTCGAGGTTGCACATGCAACATTGCACGAAGCCGCGAAAGATAGAGGATAAGGGTCAGGTGTACGTGTGAGATTGCATGCATCGCGGCCGACACGAGGCCAGCCATCTCCTGCATGCAAAATCATCGTTGGTAGTGCGCGGATGCTCAAGCCAGAGGAGGAAGGCCCGATGTTGCCAAGACAACGAATAGATTTAGATCGGTCGGGACTCCCTTTTTTTTGTTCAAGTGTTATTCACTTTGATGCCCCTTTCTGTAAATCCCGCTCCTATAATACAATGTCATTGAACCAGATCCGATTTCCTTAGGATTATGTTTCATTGTTATGTACCCTCGTCAGTTCGCTGCTGAATAGGAAAAAAATTCTCCTGTGCAAATGGCTTCCAAGGGTGATATGAAATTTCCGGAAGTTCGAACCGGAGCGAAGGCTATATGTAAGCGTCAACTATTGTAATTGTCTCAATTGATCTGATCGAGAAATTACCAACGCATTAGCGCCCCCCCTTCGTATGATGGATATCACGCGTGGGTTGTGTGATTAGGTCGACATCATATCATAATCAGTGGTCACTGTCCATAACAGGGTCAACAACCGGGCCGCGGGAGAGCAAGAACGGACTTTGACAGTCAAAGAAAGGAATGCGGTGCCAGCCTGCCGGTTGCACCATGACCACCCCGATTAGGTTGACCTGACAGAGAACCAGTATGCTGGGACAATTACAAACCGCTGTTAGGTACCCCTTCGAATTGGTGAAATCGACCCAAACTGAAACTGGCAGCTCATGTTGGGGTACATATTTTCTCCTGCCTTTATCCATGTTATGTACATAAAGGGTCGATGGGAATGAGGAGGCGGTGATTTAGGTCACACCACCACGTCTCAGTTAGAATCAAATTAGTCATCCTCCCCCTCGCATAGCCAGCACCTGATGCGATGAACGTCACAGACTGCGTCAAGGTAATTATTGTAGCAGCAACATTTACATATCATGTCGCGGGGACGACGCAGCATTTACTTAATCCCCTCTTCCCCCCCCCCCCCCCTTTCCATAAAGCAATTGGTGATCTTTATTGCAATCATACGAAAACCCTTTTTTGATGTCAATGAAAGACTTATTCCTGCACGAGGAAAATCGATCTTCAAGGGGCATGATTGGCCGAACACGGCGAAATAGATCACTGTGAGCGATCGCTTGGAGCAAACCGGTGCTGATAACCAATTTCTGGGTTCAAAGTGAACTTTTTGCGGTACAAAGCATCGGTAGTTGGATCAGCACTGCAAGACCCATGGATGCACTAGGACCTTCAGCTGTGAATGATTACGTCTCAGCCGCGGATAGCGAATTCTCCGAAGTCTTTCCAGGGTATCGCAAACATCTGACAGGGTCGTCGAGGATTGACCACAAATGCAAATACCTGAGTATCTATCCACCCGTGTATGTAAACAACGCCTCATGTGTGCAGATGGAGGGTAATGAGCGGCAAACATTTCAATAAATATCAAACGCGTGTGTGAGGGTCGCATGGGCACGGAGAGAACTTTCAATTTGTGCCGAGCACAAGTTTTTGCAATATCAGATTGATTGGAGGACATATGATCCCACCCACGACCGGCTAGCATTCCGAATGTAGGGCTGCGTGGTATAAATCAAATGACCCCGATCATGATCCTTTAGGAGATGATCGCGAATGGATCTTTGCTGCCCCCTTCAAGGGCAGCTAGGCTTGCCTCTCGGACCGTAGCAAGGTATTCCGGCAACCGGTTCCTATCGGGTGTTATGAAATCCCGATACAACACGTACCGGTCATCAGCTACAACAGTTGTCAGCCGCAAAATGTGTTTGAGGTTTCTGTGTGAAACGATCACGTTTGGCATTTAAGAACGCGGTCACGGAGTTCATGCGATGATGATGCTCACCCAGGGAAGAGGCGTCGTGAGATGAAGAGCTCTTGATGGAGCCGCAGCACAAGCTCTGGGATGAAAATTTGCCGTATGCGCGCACATTCGAGTTCTCTTCTTTCATCTACCAGTGGTTTGTGCGAATGAAGGCCGGAAGCATGTCACGACCTGCGCACTGACCTTCGATTTGATCCTCCTCCATGTGACCAAGCCAGCCAGAAGTGAATAGACCTTCGGCTAGTTCCCGGACGCGATCCAACGTAGCCTGCACATCACATGAGGGTAAAAGGAACGGAAAAGTCCACGAGATGGCAGATGCCCGTACCGAATAGAGCTTTTTCCATTCGAGAGCCTCGAACTTCTGCGCAGGGTCTTGTGGTTCCGAGTTTCTAACCACCCCAAGATCCGACCACCCATCCCACACCTCGAAGAATCGCCTAAAGTGCACGAGTTCAACCCCTTCGATATCAAAAGATACCGCGTGGCTCGTCACATGCGATGGCAAGCTGATAAGCAGATCGCGGGCAACCGAAAGACGTCCCGAGCCTGTGGGCAAAGGAGACTCGGCTGTCACTGGCTGCAGAGTCGGAACACCGATGCACGACTCACCAAGCAAGTACCGGAGGATTGCGTTAGTTTGTCTCAATGCGTGTTCAAAATTACTTTGATGGAACGTCAGCCATTCAATAGATCGGCACAGCGTAAGCTCAATTGGGTTGATGTGTATGCTTGAATCTTGTACGGGTGGTAGCACATTTGTGTTGGCTGGCAGATTCTATGAAGGGTCTCAATGGCACACGCCAACACTTGCTCTGATACAGCATACCTCCAGAGCTTGCTGGGCTACCAAACCGGCAGTGGAGAATGCAACAGCTTCTATATCAAGGCCATGGTCCTTAGCACGATTCAGGGCGAGGTATCGGTCGTGCTTCGTCAGCTCGATCGGAAGGTCTATTTATGGCGTTTGTTAAGTAGAATGCAAGTCCAAGGTCAGAGGCATACTGGAAAGATAAAGGGCGTAGCGCTGGATTGCATTGTCTCCGAGAGCCCCAACATACAGGGCTACAAGGTCACCGCGTTCTTGAGCCTATGGAAGACCGTGGGTGCGACTGGGCGATACATTGGTATTTACCTCGAACTCACCTCCAATTGGGCAATGTAAGTTTGAATGATGACGTCAGTGGCCTCAGGCGGAGTTCGTCGGCCAATATGCCTCAAGAAAAGGCATATATGGGCGAAAAATCTTAGTGTCTGGTGGAGATCACTGTTGTGACATTCAATCACGTTTCTGACTGAGCCTGAGCCTGCAAAATCAAGGACGCAAGACTTACCTTGGCGGGAGATCAAGAGACGGATTGTTCCTTAATTCTTCGGAAATTTCGGTGAATAATCTGTCCGTGTCCTCCATGATGATACTATATTGCGCACGGTGAAAATGGTTACGGTAATCAAACCTGGTTAAGGTTGATTGAGTTGCAGACGGATATAAGCCTCGTATGGCACCCACTGATCATGCAAGCTGATGTTCTTCATTTCAGCCAACGAAGAATGAATGTCATGACGGAAAGATTCCTCGCTGAACTCATCGTGGGCTGCAGAATACATGCTAGTGTTGTCGTCTTCCTCCAATTGGTCGGACCGAGGTGTATTCCAACCTGATTCATCAAGTTTTATCCAGAAGCTCTGGTAATGCCCTAATAAAGCGTCCACTCTCTCCTCAAGCAAAGCGGAAACTCGGGCCCAAAGATGATCCTCCCATGTACGTAAAGCCGGCAAAAGTGTAGGAAGAGTGGCTAATGATGGGGCTAAAGCGGCTAATAGAGTACGAGAAGTAGACGGAAGGGTGGACTTTGAAGGTGTTGAGTCCCGGTGGCAGAAAAACTGATTTGTACGCACAGATCTCGCCGCCGTCTGACACGACTTTCTCCACAGCTTTCGGCGTATATTCCCCCTGCAGCCTTCCATAAGGGCCGCATCCTCATCCATGGCGGTATCATCAGGTTCTTCCGCACTAGTTTCTAAAAAGCAATCTAGGTCACAACGGCGGCAAGATCGTTGCCGATTGACGCATACCCAAGAACTGCCATGAAAAAGAATGTGCACCACGCATGGCCGCGCTCCTCCATGGTTGATCCACGACCTTACAGATATCAATAGCAGTCTCGATATCTCCGGCCCTGATATATGTATATAGGCGCTGTGAAAGTGCTTTCTCGAATTCCTAGGATGATAAATTCCATTAACGAACGATGTCAAACGACCGGGTAGGGTGCATACGGCATCTTTAGGCTCCAGGACGGAGGGCTCCGCACCATGAATAGCGGAGCGAGTCACGGCATCAGGGTCGAGTTCTTTAACCAACCCCCGTATTGGTTGACGATGCGAAGGTGCACCTTTGGAGCGTAATTGATGCATAAGCTCGAGTTTTGTGAATCTCCAGTAACTTTTTCGACGCTCAGGGGGAACGGGAGGCGGGGCATTCCGTTGAAGCCAATTTCGAGCAATCTGTTCGCACCATCAGTCCACGTAGGTAAGACACACAGAAACTGGACTGGTTCCCTTACGAGAAGTTCGTTTAAGGTTTGAGAACAGTCCATGCATTGTCGAATCAAGGCAGTTTCTGGGGTGTATGGATTTTTCGTGATAACGTCATGCGGAGTCAGGCCATCAATCAGTGGCGACGCGCGGGAGCTAAAGAGATACGTAGTCGTGAAATGGGGCGTCATCAGCGAGTGATGCGCAGAATCACATGAGCTGGCCGACGCGTTCTACATACAGATACAGGTCTCCGACTAGATCCCATGTGTCCTTTTCTAATGCCCAGAGTTTTTGGCTATTCACCGATGAAAGAGGCGCAACACTGGGTCCACTCAGTTCTACCATTCGATCCTCACATACTTGACGGAATCTTGCTGCGAGACCATCGGAGATGTCTAACATAGGATCATCCTCTTGAGCAAGTGTCGCGGAAGGTTTAAACAACTGCAGAGACTGGGCGAATAGCGTTGCGGCGTTATCCCCCCCGCTTCGCAATGCAGTGTTCATCGCTAATGGGAAAACAAGGGAGTGTCTGTTGTAGCTGAGGACGGACGACGAGACTCAAGGATGAAATTGAAAGGCTTGTGGATAGCCGGAAGCAAATTGACTCTTTGGTGGCCTTGCTGTCTGACTCTACGCTCTGTTAAGAGGCTGGTCACCTGCCTAACGCTCTGTCCATATACCATTCGACGCTAGCATGTTTGAAGCAAAATTAGAGGCCGCCAACGTCATCAAAAAAGTTCTTGAAGGTCGGTTTTAGCAACAACCTCACGCTGGACATCAATCTCACGCGCCGTTTTTTATCAACTTATCGCGTCGCGTCGTACCACGTTCACAGCCGCTAAAGTACGCGTCTCTCTTTCGCATATTCCCATCCACATCACAAATGCCTTTTTTCCTTTGTAGGAACTAGTCACTGACGCGAACTTCGAGTGCAATGACGAAGGCCTGGTGGGTGTATCTCGACCAATGACGCATGGACTCGCTTTCGCCACGGAGTGCGATAACTAATTATACCATCTCGATTAAAGAACCTCCAAGCTATGGATAACTCACATGTTGCTCTTGTTGCGGTGAAACTACAAAAAGATGGTTTCAAGCAGTACCGCTGTGACCACGCCATGCCTCTAGGTGTCAATCTCGGGTCCTTGACTAAAGTCCTCAAGTGCGCGAAAGATGATGACGAAGTCACTCTAAGGGCAGATGACAATGCAGATGTCCTTCTTCTCAAATTCGAAGCCAAAAGTAAATCAATGACCCCGTCTCCATCCTCTCAGCTGCTCAGACCTTCCATTAGACACGGATCGCGTGGCAGAATACGAAATGAAACTTATGGACATCGATACTGATACTCTCGGTATACCAGACACAGAGTACGATGCCAAGGTATCCATGCCGGCTGGTGAATTCCAGCGTATTTGCCGAGAACTGTCGCAACTAGGGGAATCCGTTCGGATCGAAGTAACCAAAGAGGGCATCCGCTTCAACTCCGAAGGTGATATCGCCAATGGGAGTGTTCTTCTTAAGCCTACAGATGGTGGGTCGGGACGATACGCAAAAAATGGTTCTTCTTCGAAAGAGAACAAAGTGAAGAAGGAAAAGGGGGAAGATGAAGAGATGGAAGATGATGAAGGTGGTTCGACAAAGGGAGGCGATGAGGAGCGAAAGCCATCGAGGGCGGAGGAAGAGGAAGAACCTGCATCGGAGCGAGAAGAGGAAGAGGAGAGCTCGAAGAAACGCAAGCGGAAGGGAGATGCGTCCAGTGGAAAAGCAAAAAAGACAAAAACAGCCGAAGATGAAGATGTTGTATCCATCTCTGTTGCCCAGGCTGTCTCATTGAGCTTCTCACTCAAATATCTCGTTAACTTCGCGAAAAGTACCGGGCTTACGAGCTTGGTGGAGCTTAAAATGAGTGCTGACGTCCCTCTGCTGGTATGCGTCCATCTGAATGTTCAATGTTCCCGCAACTTAACGCGTTCATTCGCAGGTATCCTATGAATTCGAGCAAGGGACCATTCAGTACTATCTTGCTCCCAAGATTGGCGACGACTAGACCCGTTCGCGAAAATGAGATTATTTTACATTCAACGACAGGCCGTAGTTTATCTGGTTCGAAATGTTTCTTGTATCCGTATATCCCGCTCATGTTCCGATTCTCAATTTAATAATATTCTCGACTGGCGTTGCACACGAATTTAGCATTTACAGCAGCGGTGATCAATCAGAGTCATAGTCTCATAGGCCAGTTAGACTGAGTCCCTGGCGCCATTACTTTCACAGTAGCAGCTTCTCACTTGAACCTCTCCCAAGCCACTTTCCACCTTCCCCTTAGGAACGCAAACCTAGGGTTAGCGCTGTCATTGGCGAGAATGCGCATTTCCAGTCAGGTGGACTGGGGAATCGAGCGAGGTTCGCATGATGTGCAATATGCAAGTCCGTCGGGCTGGCAGAGATCAGGTTGTGTAGGCGGAGACCATCGCAGGAAGCGGGGTCACTACCGGCTTCTTCTTCGGCGTTGTCTGTCCAGGCGTCGGGGGCCTGGGGACGTTCGACCTCAGCGATTTCGATAGCACACGAGCCCTTCCTATTTCGTTTGAAAACGGTCCCTTCGGAGGCCCTTTGGGGTGAAGGTTGTCGATAAGTGCTGAGAATCCCAATCCCAACAGGCTAGCATACGTCAACATCCATGGGAGACATGTAGAATATCTCCTGGAAACCCACGGGCCGATCTTCCCATCCAATACCATTTGATACTGTCGGAAGAGACGAGAGTAGGAACCGAATATCATATCTATCAAGGGTAGCGTGGAAAAGTTAGGCGCTGCAAAGGTCGAAATATCTAGACAAGTGGAAGAAATTAATCACCAATCTCAGCATACGCTGTAAGCCTGGGAAGATGGGCAAAAAATGAGGAGCCTCAAGGTGTTCGTAGGTTTATCGTATGAAAGGTCCGCAGGCTCGAGTCGAGAGCCTGCCTGTCAAGGGAATGTGTTGTCCTGCCCGTCTTTGATGACAGGACACGAAAGAAGCCTCCCACGAGGGTCGTCACGAGTTTGATTTCAAGGTAGCTCGCAACGTGGCTCCGCATGCCTGCATTCGGGGTCCTAGTGGTTCATCTGGTTTAATGGGACTGGAAGACAGGGCATCATTAGCAAGGATTGGGCCCTCTTTGTTGATATTTTAACTCATTGCTACTGGCTGAGTGATAAGCGGTGTCTCCGTTATAGATATGGGGTACCCCGGTATGAAAAGCTGAGGGTTACAAATGGCTCTCGATTAATTGGGGTTCTCAGAGCATCGAACGTTGCATCAATACACATGAAGCGGATACAAAGGACTCGTCTCACGGCTTAATCGATCGATTGCGACATCTGAAACGATTGCAACCAAAGAGCTGTTCCGATGTCATTCTTCAACAAGCTCAAGGATGAGCTCAAAGAGCATACAACCAAGATTCACGATCTTGTCGAGGACCATAAAAATTTGGTGGGGCGGTCCTTGTCTTAGGATCTTTAAATAACTTACCTTATCACATTTACAGGAGCCCCGCCTTCGTGAAGGAGGCAAACGAACTCTCTCAGAAAGTGAGTAGCGCAGCGCTGATCTGCTGACCATTGCCGATGATTCTATATTTGTATTTCTTAAACGACTTGTGTTGCCAATTTTACACCAGTCAAAGGTTCAGTGTTCCAGTTCCTCACTCCATAGTGGATGCTGTACTTAACTGAATATGTGCCAACAGGTCTACTGAACCCTAGCCGTAAGTGGTTCCATTGTTCCATGCGAATAAAGTTCACTTGCTCAACTTTTTTCCAAGACCGCCACAATGAAGCCCATGAGAAAGAACGCGATCGCGTTCGTGCCGAGATCATGGATAATCATCGCTTCCAAAGTTTCGCCAAACAGCGCAGCAATAACTGCGTGAAATGGTGCCCTCGAGTCCTTCTCGATCTCCCCAAACTAACGAACGACTTTGTCTTGGTAATTCCCTTATAGGCATATCGCAGGTCATGATTATTTCTGGGCCTTATCTGAAATTCTCGCCTCAGCTAGGGAATGCATTTTCATTTTGGATTGGTGGCTTTCCCCAGAATTATATCTTCGTCGACCACCTGCGTATTATCCTGAGTGGAGAGTCGATAGACTTTTATTAAGGAAGGCTCGGGAGGGCGTTAAAATTCATATCGTCGTTTATAAGGAGGTCGTTCCGACTATGTCAATGAGTTCTAAACATACCAAGGTCGGTCCCGAGTCTGAATTACGGAGCTTGAAGTCGAGGTTGATCGTGATAAAGCATGCACTGGAGGACCTTCACCAGAATATCGCGGTCATGGTGCGTCTTCAGTTGGCTTGGAGATTTACATTAAGCTTTTCTTTTCCCTACCTGTTTCCAGAGGCACCCGGACCATATCGGCACCATGGATGATGTAGAATTCTGGAGTCATCACGAGAAAGTAAGATTGGGACAATGAAGGAGGTTAAATTAAGCCATCTCACTATCTATTGCTGGTTAGGTCGTCGTAGTCGACAATAGACGTGCTTGTATTGGTGGTCTCGATATCTGCTTCGGACGCTGGGATACTACCTCTCAGTAAGTCAATCCATATCCTCGCACAACGGCCTCATAATAAGCTTTGGTTCTCTCCCAGTCCTCTGGCAGATGCCCACCCTACTGAGATGTACAAGACACTCTTCCCGGGACAAGATTACAACGATGCTCGTGTCGCAGATTTCAAAGATGTGGATCACTACGTTAGCAATACTATCTCCGTCCTGGAACAACCTCGCATGCCTTGGCAAGATGTAGGGTTGATGTTTGCCGCTGCATCCAGGATAAGTGCTGACTTTTGAATCCAGGTCCATATGACTTTGATGGGACCAGCTGTTTTGGATATTAGTCAGCATTTTATTGAAAGGTGGAATGAAGTTAAGGAACGAAAGGTGATTTCAGTGATTCGTCTTGGAGTTGCCGGAACTCATCGGATTGTGCGTGGTTTAGTACAAGGATGATAGGTGTGTGAATCCTAGATTGTACCACAGCCTGGATCTGAAACATACCCAGCCGATTCGAGTGGCTATCGCTGCCGCATGCTCTCGATGCTGCATCAGATGAGCCAGTTGCTAGTAGGTCTCATGCCTTCTGTTCTCCCTTTTTCTCTAGAATCACCCAATCTGCAGGACACCCGTTTAGGGACGCCTGGCTCGCAAGAGGCCGTCACTACAAACAACGCTGGCTCGGAGAAGACGCTCCTCCAGAGCCGGAAGAAGGACATGGGCCCCACGGAACGTGTGATGTTCAAGTTGTGCGAAGTGTTTGCGATTGGAGCATGGGGACTCTTACGGAACATTCTATTCAAAACGCTTGTGAGTGTGTTTGTTTTAGTTTTATTTTGGACACCAACCAGTGTTGATGGGTATGGGCGATAGATATTGAGCTCATCAATGAGGCCAATCACTTTATCTATATTGGTGCGTTTTATCGGTTTGAGGGCGATACTCAGCGTGTGCGGTGTTTGCTGAATTTCCGTTTGTCGGTATGGACAGAGAATCAATTCTTGTACGTTGAGCAGATTATCCCTAAAGGACTTGTTTTATGGTGGCGCGCGGTTTCTCTCGTAGCATTTCGAACACGGGGGATCACGGCCCTGTTAAGAATCGTATTGCAGAGGCGCTTGTCAACCGGATCGTGTCGGCTGCAAAGGAAGGTCGCAAGTTCCGAGTGAGTGGCGAAAACAACGATTTCTGGCTTTGTTGATGTTAGGAATTTTCAGGTAATTGTCGTGTTCCCCGAGGTGAGAAGGCTCGTGACTCTCTGCCACGTAAGTCTTCTTGACGATGGTTTGAACCATTAAGGTTCCGTCTTTTACCGGACCTGTCGACACTACGTCAATCAAAACAATCCTGTAAGTCCCTGATGTGTTCAATTTGACAAGTATTTCCCCCTACCTTTCGTAATCTTGTGCTAGGGCTGCGCAATATCGGACTATCAATCGTGGAGGCCATTCGATCCTCGAAGAGATCAAGAAGGCTGGATTCGAACCGTGAGCTCTTAGTTGCATATTTTTAGGTTCTATCACTAATCCTGTTGTGTTCCAGGTCTGACTATATTAGCTTCTATCATCTTCGTACCTATGACGTGAGATCGATTCCACTTTCATTCCTTCGCGTTTGTGAGGGTTGCTCAATACAATATCCAGAGGATCAATAACTCTCAGCAATTTATCTCAGAAATGGAGAGAAATAGCAGGGTCACGTTTGATGATGCCCAGGTTGCCTTAGCTAGACTCTGGCTCGGACCTCGCGAGGGACAACCGGAGTACAAGGTTAAGATTAGGTCCGTGGCACCGCAGCAGGCGGACTTCGATGCTGTGGGTCAAATGGTCTCACAGGGTCCGAAAGGCGAGCACGGGTCTAAATTTGTCGCAAGTTTTGCGGGTGGGTAATTAATGGAACGGATTCACTGATAATAGATGAAATCAAAGAAATTCGAGTCCCGCCTACTGTTGAAGAGGCTCAGGAGACTATCGCCAGGTTCCAAAGCGGTGCACCTCGGGCGGATACGGCCGTTTCGGATAGTGTTAACCGGCATGTTCAGCTGGACGTTACTGATTTAAGACGGGAGCAATGGCTTGGGACAGCAGAAGAAGAACGGAATGCGTAAGATTTTTGCAATGTTTCATCTTTTCTAATTTCTTTTCTTTTACCCGTGTGGTGATCGGCTAACATTGGTCGTTCTTTCTCGTAGTTATGTTTCAGAGCTTCTCTATATCCATACGAAGGTTAGTGATGGGTTGAGGTGACTTTATTCGGACATCATCTCTGATTATATGATATCGTCCAGCTTTTGATCGTCGATGATAGGCGTGTCATTGTGTGTCTTCCACTTCACACAACTCCGTCATTATGTCGTGCTCATCCATCTGACTTTGGGTAATGCACAGCTGGGATCTGCAAATCTCAACGAACGTTCTCAGAAGGGTAATGGAGATTCAGAGATTTGCCTTGTTGTTGAAGATACGGATCTGATTCCATCTAGGATGGACGGTCAACATGTGAGTGGAGTGGTAGATTCACGGGAACCCAAGTTTCAGCGGTGACTTGACTTCTTGGCGCCACTTCCCAGTACATGGCAAGCCGATTTGCAGCGACTCTACGCAGGAAGCTGTTCAGGAGTGAGTTAATTCCACCTCGGCAGCATGCGCTCCTACTGATAAATGCATTCTCCAGAACATCTTGGACTGATTGAACCCCAAGAATGCAACGGTCCGAATGATCCCGTTACGCTCTTCATGAGACCAACTCCAATTCCCCAAAAGGACGAGTCCCAACACCCCTACAACGAATTTGTCATTGATCCTTTAGATGACGGTACGATTGCCTCGTGCGCGATCTTAAGCAGATTGACACCAACACTTCATCCTCCAATCATATTGTTGTTTCACTCAGAATTCTATTCCCAATGGACCGGCATTGCCCAGAAGAATGCAGAGATTTTCCACGATATTTTCAGACCGGTGCCTACTAACCAAGTCCGAACTTGGGAGCAGCTCAAGGTGTGTCTGTCTGCCTGGGGAATTTTTCATTTAACGTTCAACTGTTTTTAGAATTACTTGCCCAAGATTCAGCCCTGCCACGTTGCGAACGACTCGTTGAGTTTGTATGAGATTAAGAATCGGCTTGCTGAAGGTGAGTGTCCCGTTTTCCCTATAGTCCTTTTGACCTGACGCGAGCTGCACTTGTTTAGTGAGAGGACACCTCGTCACCGCACCACTTGATTTCCTGGCCGATGAGCGTGAACTCACTAGCGACGATTCGTTCGATTGGCGAGGACTCAATCCCACGTTGCCCATCTACATCTAGCGCATTCCAGGCCTGAGGCACTATGAGAGATATTGGACACTTTCTGGTTCGGGATCACGCCACTGCTGTCCGCTTGTAAACGAAATTGAGCCTTGCAGATGTACTAACATGTATTTGCACCGGGACTGGTCCAATAAGGATTCAACTTGTGTTGGGTTTCACCCAGTCGTGTCTGGAGTTGTGTGAATGAGATAAGCTGCCTAAATTTGGAAAGTGGCGTTTTAATATATTACCAAAGATTCGGCTGGTGATCATGTCCCGCTCCGCGCCACGCTGCCCATCGATGGCTACTATGGACACATGTGCTGGGCGTTAATGACAATGATTTGCAAGTGCCGTGAAGGGTATTAATCGGGCCCGGCACCCCGGCCAGTGTAATTAACATTAACGTAACATTCGCCCGTCATTGGGACTTAACGCAACGTGTCTGTGCGTCAGCACTGCGTGTCCGTGAACCAGTGTCGCATCGGGTAATTGAAGCCCGATCTTTGAGCTTGATTATCAATTAGCGGAGACTCCCCCTTGTTCAGACAATATGCGAAACATCGCACAATCGCAAAGGTTGCTCAACCCATTTTTGCACCCATCGGATCTGCGGAAAACACAGTGTCATGAGTATTCTGTGGTGAAAGGCGGTGCGGGATCGCTCGGGCATCTGCGAGATGGTGAAACATCGCTGGATCCGTGTCATTGGATCGACAAGAAAAAACATACCCTTTGTGGAATTACGGGGCACAACTCGTTGGTAGCTCTTGTGGCTTCGAAGCGGGCATGGTATCAATAAAGTCAGCAACCATAGCAGTTAACAATTTTAATTTTGTTGGTTAAAAATGCCTCCAATAGGGTAGCCCATGTTGATGTGGCAGCCCGACGCCACACGAGGACAAGGAAGCAGAGCTGCAGGCAAATTAAGCGTTGCCGAGTGGCGAATCCTTAGTCGTACAGAGCACCAGAGGCGCTAGTTTCACCTTCAGTTTCACGTTTGTTGTTCACACAGTTAGATAATAAAAGGGTCACGGTAAAGACTACCTGAGTGCGATGCTAAACTACGCTGGACATTGCGCTCTAGGTAAGTCTCGACCCAACAGATTGTACATAGAGGTTTACACACTTATATCTACGCTTGACATCGTGCTTTAGACATCGCGCTCTAGCTCGACTTCACGCTCCCGTTCGCCCAAGTCTTCCCTGAGCTGCTTGACTAGCCGGGTTGGCGAAACCCTGTGATGTCTGGAAATGCCTTGACTCGCTGTGTAATCTAACGTTGACTAATTGTTTTGTGGGTCAACTCCGCCAATTCGAAGGATAGTCCGCGTCAAAGAAACCGCGGAAGTTGAAAATTTTGAGCAAGGCCCCCCCGGAATAGAATGAGGAAATGGAAGCCGAACTTTAGTCTCCTGGCTTTGCTCAGCGCAGTCGGCACATCAACACTCTACAGATGTGCATTTGCAGCCTGCAAGAACCAACCTGTGGCCCAATGCCATTCCTGATCTTATGGTTTATATGGGGCTCTGCGTATTCCAATATGTTGCATGTGTTGATGAACAAAAATCCCCCCATTCCGCAAGATGGTGAACAAGACCGATATGTTGTTCGTTTTTACATGGAGAAGATACTCGCACTGAGCACTCTGAGCGCTTTTATCTGAGGTACTGTGGCGTATGAAGTTAGGAATATCCATCATGCAATGAGCCTCAGCTGAAAAAGCAAAAGGCGGTAGGGATATCTAGTACTGCTATGTCAGGCTTAAGTTTGACTGTTTGAGGACTGTAATGCAACTTGAATTTGGCGTTGAGGGCCACATGCACATGCACTCTATTAGAATTCTTGGGATCGTAGCGTACGCTGAGGCCGACTCATGTTTGTTGATGTTGAGTACATCTTGCGGCGCTCATAATCACTTTGTTTCCTTTCTTGGAATACTCGCTGCAAGTCAGTGCGCATTCATAGCGTCTGACTATAAAACACCAATTTTCCACTCGACGTACTTCTCCTCAGTTCACGCACAGCGAACTGAGGTGAGTCAGAGTTTTTCCCTTCTTTTATTGTATCCGTTATCGTACACTCGTTTATATACCAGCGAGAATATCATGATCATGTATCTTAGTTCACGCATACGCGCACGGCGGACTGGGCGAGAACATCGCCAGTCTACCATTCTAATACACTCGAACAGCGAACTGCATGACCTCTATAGCCATCAATCTCTCACATAGGCTACAAGCTGGGAGAAAGTACTTGATCTGCGCCATTTATGACGGCGGCGATAGTGATCAGAGCTTCCGCTGATGATGCGGGGCAGCGCGGAAAATTCCGCAAGTTCGTCGATTGCAGTAATTTATTTCCCTGATCGCTTACTTTTTTAAAAAAAAACCTTCCATCTCATCACTTCTACCACCAAGGGAACCCCTTCGTTCGTCATGGTCCTCACTCATCCTTCAATCACAGGTGAATCTATTATTCTAGGGGAGGTGAGGATATATTTGCTGACCCTTATTCTAGATGGCTGGTTCAGGGAAATTTCGGCTCAATGGCCAGGGCAGGCGATGAGCTTAAAAGTCCGAAAGATCCTCCATGTTGAGAGATCCAAATTCCAAGATGTGCTTGTGTTCGAGTCAGAGACGTACGGAAACGTCCTCGTTCTCGATGGTGTTATTCAATGTACCGAGCGCGATGAATTCTCGTATGTGACACGATCGATTCAGATGACAGAACTATGCTCATTACCATGCTATCAGTTATCAAGAGATGATCGCGCACATACCACTTGCATCTCACCCTAACCCTAACAAAGTTCTTGTCATTGGTGGTGGCGATGGTGGTGTCGTTCGGGAGGTGCTTAAGCACTCCACTGTCCAGCACGTCGTGTTGTGTGACATCGATGAAGCTGTTATTCGGGTCTCCAAGCAATATCTTCCTCATATGTCCTCCTTGCTGGAGGATAAACGAGTCACAGTTCACGTTGGTGACGGATTCGCCTTTCTCAGGAAAATACAGAGTCATATGATGTTATTATCACCGATTCGTCCGATCCCGTTGGTCCTGCCCAGGCTCTTTTCGAAAAACCATATTTTCAGCTTCTGCATGACGCCTTGCGTGACGGAGGCTCTATATCGACTCAAGGGGAATGCCAGTGGCTTCACTTGCCTTTCATCAAGGAGATCAACGTTTCCACAAAGACTATTTTTCCGGTGACTGAGTACGCGTTCACCACCATTCCCACTTATCCCTCGGGCCAAATTGGATTTGTTGTTGCCACTAAAGATAATGCCCGAGACCTTAAAGTCCCAATCCGAGATGTACCCAACTGCAGATACTGGACTCAGGAGGTTCACAAGTCAGCCTTCATCCTCCCAAATTCACTCGTACCTTGCTAGAAGAAGGCAAGGACATTAGGCCGGTACTTGGTGGTGTTGTCGCCCAGGGAACAATTCCGAAGAAGATTCTTCTACTGGGCAGTGGTTTCGTTGCGAAGCCAGCCGCAGAGTACATCGTGCGTGGACCCATCAATCAGCTCACTATCGGTAATTGCATTACTGGTTTGCTTTCGAGAAGCTCACAATGTCCGTCTTGCAGCCTGCCGAACTCTTGCTTCAGCAGAAAGCCTCGCCGCGGATTTGCCTCGCACGACTGCCATCTCTCTCGATGTGAATAACACCAGTGCGCTGGAAGCGGAGGTGGCCAAGTACGACGTTGTGATATCACTCATCCCTTACATGTACCATGCTGCCGTCATCAAAGCCGCTATCAAGGGTAGGACCCACGTCGTCACCACCAGCTATGTCAGTCCTGCGATGCGTGAGCTTGATGAAGAGGCCAAGAAGGCAGGCGTTGTGGTCATGAACGAGATTGGTTTAGACCCTGGTATCGACCATTTGTATGCTGTGAAGACCATCGATGAAGTCCACGAGAAGGGGGGCAAGGTGTGACTAGCCATTTGGCCTCGATTTCTCTACTGCACTGACTATATTTGCAGGTTGTGGAGTTCTTGTCCTTCTGTGGCGGCCTTCCTAGTGCGCCCGCTTCTCACAACCCACTGGGTTACAAATTTTCCTGGTCATCTCGTGGGGTCTTGTTGGCGCTTCTTAACAATGCATCGTTTTATCAAGATGGTCAGGTAACCAGAATCCCTGGCTCCGAGCTCATGAAGCATGCCAAACCGTACTACATTTCCCCAGCGTACGCTTTCGTAGGTTACCCTAACCGAGACTCGACACCATTCCGGGGTGGTACAATATTCCGGAGGCCCAGACTGTTATCCGTGGAACTCTACGTTACCAGGGATTCCCTGAGTTTGTGGCAACGTTAGTCAAGCTTGGTTGGCTTGATGATAAGGCTAAGGGTTGGTTGAAGGATGGTATTTCCTTTATGGAGGCCACACAACTCGCGAGCGGTGCGCGAGCGTCGGACGAGTCGTGAGTGATTTCACCCTTCGTTTAAATCCATTCCCCAATCTGGGTCATCGTCAGTGCCCTTGTTGAGCACATTCGCCAAATCGTGGGGTTCCCATCTGAAGCTGAGGCTTCCCGCATCATCTCGGGTCTGAGGTGGATTGGCCTTCTTTCGAGGACGGAGAAGGTCATTCCAAAAGGATCCCCTGTTAATCTTCTCGACACTCTATGTGGTCGATTGGAAGGTCTTATGAAGTTCAAGCCAGGCGAGACGGATCTGGTCATGTTACAACACAAATTTGTTGTTGAATGGAAGAGTGGAAAGAAGGCATTTGCATCCCACCTGCGCACCGTGCATGTCTGACTGTCTCAAAACCAGGAAACTATCACTTCGACACTGGAAGAGTACGGCTCGCCCCTCATTGGAGGTGACTCGGCTATGTCACGGCTCGTTGGCGTTCCCTGCGGTATTGCCGTCCAGGCTATCCTTGATGGTAGTATCAATACCCCAGGTATCCTGGTGCCTTACACGAAAGAAATATGCCATCCTCTGCGTCTGAAATTGGAGGAAGAAGGCATCACTATGATTGAATGTGTGTTGTGAGCACTAGGTTTGGATAAGCGGTAGGAAAAAGGAAAGGCTTGGTTGTATGTGATTTGGACGGAAATTTAGCCTGCTTCGTCATATTAAGATACCAATCCCTATGTGTTTGTAATTGTTGCATTAGAGTCGTCACCACAACCAGCAATTTGTTTCGTTTAGGGGATTTTCAATACCACACGTACTTGGGGCATGGAATCCGAGGTGTTCGGTTTGGATGCGTCCCCCAGCTCTTGACTTCGGTGTCAGGTACAGTCATTTGCAAAATTATGCACATGCCTCTGATCACCTATCATGGAACACAATGAGATGGTACTACTGTAGTGGAATGAGCAACTACCACGTACACACGATTGCCGAGTTCTTCAATCTCATCCATAGTGGCAGATAATTCCAGTTCCGGAGCGCCAGATCCCACGGTGCTATCGGAACTGAGTCGCCCTCTAGTGGTTAATACATGCAGCTTGAAGTCACTCTGGAGCTGCTGTCTGATAAGTCCTAAAAAGGCTTCACGAACTTCTCCGTCACGGGAGGAAGATTAGGCCAGAACCACCCAGGGTAGGCTTTCCCATGTGTACATTTGACAACGATCTTTTGCCCCGTAACATCATTGAAGGCCTGGATATAGTGGGTACACATAATGCAGGAAAGTTTAGAAACCCCAATGTAGGGTAAGACTTGCTGGACTTCGCCCTTAAACATTGCCATGATCATGGCTAGCTCGGCATGGACTGTGGGTTTCAAGCGGTCCACAGAATCCTTCAGCCCATTCCGAAGCCGCGCAATGAACGATTCGCGCTGCTCATTCCACTCCGCAGTACAGTATGTGGTTCCGGCCAGCGTGGCGTCCAGAGCCACTCGTACGTTCTCTGAAGAAAAATTGCAACGATACGGAGTCGTGGTTGGACGTGGGAGGGGTTGAATTGCGAATTTCCCTTCTATAATTTTGCGGAGGTGGTGCGACTGGGTCAAAATAACGAGCCTGTTGGCCGAGATCACGAACGACATGATCTTCACCGCCCAACGCCGAAGCTTGACATGTATGCCGCGTTCTAAAAAAAGAGATGTAGATTCAGGTGAGAGTGAGACCATCTCGGTGTCATATCACGCACTTTCAGTCAGCCACGTATCCGCGTAGTCAAGCAATGTAACCGCATCGTCGGCAAGCCCGTCTTTGGGAAGAAGGTCATTGTGCGTCCAGAGCCAATAGATTCTTAGAAGCATGCGTATAGCATCGGGGGAAAGTTGCTTCGTTGCTTGTGCATTGACGACGGCCTTGATAATCAACTCCACATGCCGAAGGAACCCTAACAACGTGGAACGCTGCTCCGCTTCGAATTCAACCTTGTCCTGTTCAATGTACCTCCGAATGTCGGAATGAGTAGTTGTGAATGGCTCTGCAGACTCTGGTTAAGCTCCCATCTAACTCCTTCGAGATGTCATTCGGGGAGCCGTCTGTTCCGAGTGGCTTGTAGGGGATTTGAGAAAGCATATCAAAGATGGACCGTAGGTGATCAGGACAACTACTGGCTGCGTCATCATCTTCGTGGTTGAAAGCGATGTATACCTGCGTTTCTAGAGTGCCTTGATGGTCCTTTACGCAGGCCATCGTAGCGGAAACGTTTCCTCGTGTAGGGAGTGAGATAGCGGCGACTACATCGAGAAGTGTCCGTAGGCGCCCGGAGAGGTTCTTATCGATACCCCGAACACCGGAGATGTCTGAACAAAGTGTTTCATCGGACAGGCGCCGATTTGGGTTGTTTCTCCAAATCTTGAAGAGAAGCTCTGCGTAATATTCTGGGTCCTCTGCACCGACGAGAATGGGCTGGTCGATCCTGGACATGGACTCGAAAAGTATGAAGAAAGGGGTGCTCAGATGGGGGGTGAGATGGAAGGGTACTGCGCTTCAGAAGGGGGTATGATGATGATGATGATAAATCTATCTTAATACCCCGCGGCCTCGTGATGACGTGGCAGTGCGGCTGTCCCATCGGTACACCGTGGCGTACATGAGGGACTTTCTATACATAGTGTGTGGGTAGTCTGGGTGGTATCGTCGGGTGATAGTGATCCTCGGGGTTTGTGGTATCTGTGGGTGTTGTCGTGTTGTTGATAATAGAGATAAAAAGAAAGAAAAATTTTGACGCTCTCATCCCCTCGTCCGTCTGTTCACCCTGCCCGCCTCAGTACCTCGATCGCCTCTTCCCTTCATCCATCTCCATTCTCCAGCTGTGCCGTGTTTCCTTACTGAGTCCGTTGCGCTTCCTGGTCTAACCTGCGTCCCTTATCTCAGGAGTCGCAATGTTTTCCCTGGGTCGATTGTCGGATCTGGGCTTGTCGCCTGTTCTGGACTTTTTGATGAAGGACGAGAGTCTCTCTACGCCTTTCACTCTGCCTACGAGGGTTCTGAACCTGGTCTGGTTGCCGCGTCCTAGTAGGTGCCTGTGTCTGCTCGTTCGGGGGCATTCCGCAAGGATGTGGGTCCTCGTTTGTCTGGGTTTGCCGCACTGGCAATCACTACTCTCCGTTGTGATGCCGAATCGGTGATAGTATTCGCCTATATGGGCGTGTCCTGTTCGGAATTGGAGGACTCGGCTGAAGGTTTTTCTGTCGAGGTTGCGGAATCGTTTGGTGGGCTTGAGTTTTGGTGCGAACTGGTTCGCTTCGTAGAAACCTGACCTCGGGGGGTTTGGGGCGTTCACCCATCGGTGCGTCCATTCTTCGTTCATCTCTCTCTTGCGTAGGCTTTCCACGTAAGATAGGGATTTGAATTTTGGCCGGGCTGGGCTTAGGCGGGCACCTTCCTTGGCTAGTTGGTCCGCTCTCTCGTTGCCTGGTATCCCGAAGTGGCCTGGGCACCAGTGCAGCGCGATTTTGACGTCTTCGAATTCGGTTAGTATTTTGCATACTGTTTTCCTGAATTCTCTCGCCGTCTCCTGTGCTTTGTGTGGTTTGCCTTGGAATACGCGTTTCAGTGCCCCTGTGTTATCTGCGTATATGACAATGTGTGTGGGTTTTTTGGTGACGTTACCGTCATCCATTGCTCGTCTGATATTGTCTGCGGCCGTCTTTAGGCCCATCATTTCCGCGTCGTAGGCCTCCACGTATTCTCCCATGGCACCTTTTTCCTCGAATATGACTTTTCCGCAGGTATATCCTACTGTGCCGTAGCCGGTTTTGATCCTTCCATCTTCTTTGTATCGGGAGCCGTCCGAGTATACGAAGAGGAGGTCTGGGTCGTCTTCGCATTCAGTGGTGAATGCCGAGTGGTCATTGGCCCATTCCTGTTTTACTGAGTCGCCGGGTTTATTGGGTGGGGTAAAGAGTTGTATGCGTTCGGAGATGTCGTGTTCGGAGATGGCCCAGGGGCTTTCAAGGAGGGGGTTGATCCTTTCTGTCCCTGAGATGATGTTGTTGGCGATCCGGGTTATGCAGGTGGAAAATCGTTTTTTCGGGTCCGCCTTGTGTCTTTTGCTGGGGTCGAAGACTGGGAGGGGTGGTGGGGTGGAGGGGGTGGTGCATCTTCTTTGGTGTGGGTACAGTCTATTGATGACTGGGTGGTCATCGGGGAGGCGGGCGAGTCTGGTGGCCTCCATTTCCATCCTGTAATCTAGGTATAGGTCAATGGGAGGGATGGATGCTTCTATTTCCATGGCGTTGATGCTGGTTGTGCGGAATGCTCCAGTTAGCATTCTGAGGCACTTGTTCTGTAAGGTGGACAAAGTCTTTAGTATGAGTCCGGGTCTGGAGCGCCAGAAAACAGGGAGCCCGTAGAGGGCGATTGGGAGGACGGCCCCTATATACATCTGGCGCAGATGTGTTTGGTGTATTCCTCTCTCTGAGTTTCCCAGCATTCTCAGTGCCTGTGCCGCGCTTGCGGCCTTCACAGCTGTTTTCTTTACGTGCTCGGTGAACTTGAGTTGTGGGTCAAACCAGATGCCTAAGTATCTCATTAGGCTGGAGGGGTTTATCGTTCTGGTTGTGCCTTCCTCATTCGTGGGTATGGTGCCAATCGATGGGCCGGGGCCTGCATTTCTGCCAGTCCTGGATTTGGTGAAGTGCATCAAATCGTTCTTTACTTGGTCGGTTTTGAGTCCTCTCCTCCTCAGCCAGCCGTGGGCTGCTGTGAATGCCAGCTGAACTACTTTTGATGCTTCGGCTCTTGATGGAGCTGATGCTGCCAGTGAGCCGTCGTCTACATATAGTGTTAGCGGCGATAGTTTTATTAGTCCCTTGTTGAGTTGCGGGCTTAGCTCTGGGTCTGCAGCCAGCTTTTCCATGGTCTCCTCTGCTACTGCTCTGCACAACGGGGAGGTGAAGAATGCGGCGAGGATTGGGGAGACGCATGATCCTTGTGGGACGCCTGTTGTGATCGGTTTGAGTTTGTCACGTTTACCGTCGAGACAGATGGCCACCTTTCTGTCTGTTAGGAAACTGTGGGTCCATTTGACTATGGGAATGGGGATGTGGTGTTTCCTCATGGTGTCGATGAGGTGTGTATGGGGGATGAAGTCGAAGAACCCGGTTATGTCAAAGGTAAGCATTGATACCACTTTGTCATGGTTCCATGTGGCCTCTATGTCATGTGTGATCATGAGTAGAGCATCCTGCGCTGATCTTCCAGGTAGGCCACCATACTGGGTGTTGGGGAATAGCTGGTGTTTCGCGGCTAGGAAGGCTAGTCTGCATGCTTGAACTCTTTCCAAGGCTTTGCCTGAGACCTCTAGAAGCTGGATGAGTCTATAGGATTGGGGGAGTGCATAGTCCCTGTTGGGTTTCTGCAGGGCTACCGTGATGGCGGTTCTCCATATTTTGGGGTGGTATCCTGAGTCGGCACATAGTCTCAGGAGGTGGTAGATCTCATTTTCCATTGTTTGCCATGCCCATTGCCATGCTCGGCCCGTCAGGCCTGATATACCTGGTGCATTGAGTTGGGCGGCTGTGAATATGGCAACGCAGACTTCTCTTTTGGTTACACTGACATACTCCATATCCTCATTGGAGGGGGTGAGGTTGATTTCTGGGGCGTCAGGTAATTGGGGTGGTTGGGGGAAGAGGTTTTCATGTAGTATATTGCATTTGTCTTTGTGGTTTACTGCCGGGTGGTTTTTATCGCTCATGATTGGGGGTGAAATATATGTTCTTTGGCATTTAGTCCACTTTCGGAAGTCCCACAAGTTGCTCGGGTTGGCTTCTTCTGTGAGCTTACGATAGTGTTCCTGTTTTGCTTTTCTGATATGTGTGCGTATATCTTTATGCAGGGATTTTACTTTGTCTGCGAGGTATACTGATGGACGGTTGAAGTCTTTCACCCATCCTTTTAGTGATTCTCTGGTTGATCTTAGTTCACAGTACATTTTAGTTAGGTCCTCATTCCACCAGGGTTTTGAGGCCTTGCTGGGTTGTCTGAGAGGGATGGATTTTGCTGCAGCACTTTCCACTAGTTTGTGGATGGTTGCCGTGGCTTCTTCAAGTTCCTCGGGAGTTGCTGTGCGTCGGTTTATGTTTAGTAGGTTGCCCTTTAGGCTTTCTACTTTTTGGTTTTCATGCGTTATTTCTTCTACTAGTGCTTTAGTGAAGTCCTCCTCATTTGCGTGCTTCCAGTTTAGTTTAGATTCGCAGGGGTTTATGACCATCTCCCTGGGGGGGCCGATTTGGAAGATTGTAGCATGGTGGTCTGAGAGGCAGCCAATTTCCGTGTCGATGTAGTGTCCAGAGATGGCCCCGGCCCCACTGGCTGCCAGGTTGGCAAAGGTTAGGTCAATCACGGATGAGTGGCCGTTGTTGTCTTCCCAGGTTGGAACATAAGGTTCATTGTAGAGTGTATATGTGCCACCTTCTAGCCATTCCAGAGTGTCCAGGGTTCTGGGGCATGGTGCGTTGACGTGGTCATCCCAGTCTGGGTGTTGGATGTTCCAGTCACCTGTGAGGATGGATGGAATATCCGCGTCCATCATAGTTTCTGCCAGTCTGTCCACTGTGTATTCTTTTGTTTGGTTTGCAGCAAGTGGTTTTTGGTTGTATATGTTGATGAGTCTTACTGGTTGTTGCATTGCACCATTTCTCTTCACATCTAATATCATGTAGTCGAGGTCCGATGCTAGGTCGTTCCTCAGTGTTAGCTCTATGTTCGCTCCCTGTCAGAAGTACACCATAGTTCTAGGCCTATAGCCTTCAGCGATGGGTTGTTTGGGGAGGATGGTTTGCCACCCCTTGAAGGCGACTGGAATGTGTATGTCATTTACTTTATGCCACCAGGGCTCTTGTAATAGAAGGATGTCAATTGCGGGTTTTCTCCACTTGGAGATGTTGTGCATGGCGGCCTGGGTGGCTGCGTTGGAGCGGTTGACATTTAGGCTGCACACTGTCAATGTCGCTGGTAGTTTAGGTTGTCGAATCATTGAGGTGGCCCTTCAGGTTGGCTCAACGGTTCGATTTCCATCTGGTGGTTGGTAGGATTGGGTTTTGGTCTGGAGATTCTGATGGGGGGAATTGATGCTACGCCTCCCCTTGCCCTTGCGCTTACCATCTTCACCACTGAGGCTCTTTGGGCCTCCGGGGATTGTTGTTGACTCAAGATGTTGCTTAGGTCTTGGTCCGATAGGCCAAGGTCTGGGGCTTCATCTGGCACGGACTGAGGGGTAGGTTGTTTTTGCTTACTTTTGCCTTTCCTTTTTGTCTGTTTCTCCACTTGGGCTGCAGGCACTCGGGGCTGAGGTGTGGGCGCGCGTTTCGGGGTTGGGGGGAGTCCCATGCGGCTTCTTCTGGCCTTGCATTCTTTATGTGTGCTATTGTGGTTGCCCTTGCAATTGATGCAGTGAAGGTTGTTGTCCTCCGGGTGGTCTGTGGTTTTGTGGTCTTTTGCACCGCATTTCAGGCATCTGGTTTGTTTGCATACAGCGGTGTGGTGGGACAGCATACCGCATTTGCTACATGTGTGTACTTGTATGCAGTCTTCATATGGTGTGATGGTGCATCTGG